TATCGGAATAAATTTACTCGCCGCGCCAACTTCCTCGCCTGCATATCAATTAGAAGCGTATGAAGTATAAAAAAAAAATAGAAACTCGTCTTTCTTTCTGTCAGATAAAGTAACAACTTGTGAATGAAAGAAAGAAAGTGTAATCCGGAGACGCGGACCGTGTTGATAAAAAATAAATAAATGAATTTGCTCTGCTGAGAAAACGTGCTCACGAATTTCCCAGTCTCAAGAGCGGCGGCTGAAACAAAAAGAGTCTGCGGATCTCTCAGAGAAGAATGAGTAATTGTCCCCGCAGAAGAGCAGATGGTGCAACAAGAGCAAATTTCGCCGGAATTTGAAAAAGAGATGAGTGGCGCAATTCGTTTTCTGCACCAGTCTTGCGTGAAATTTGCTCTCTTCTCCCTTGAATCACCTCTTAATGGCTTCAAAACTAATTTTCCAAATCGCTACCACACTTTAATTCTTAGAAATAATGTACAAAAAGAGAATTCTTTTAAGTTGATATTGAAATGAAAAGTTTTTTAAACAATTATAATAATTGCAATTAAATAGTTGAATGAGTCAAACAAATCTTATACCAAAATTTATCAATTTTGATAGTTTTCACAGATCAAATTTTTCATTAAATCTATTCTTGAAAATTAATTCGAAAGAATGCTAATTTGCAATAAATTTCTCCGAGATAAATCTCATTAAAATTTCCCCGCTCTTACTCATATTATGAAGCAAAAGCTGCTTTAAATCAATCTTGTTTAACAATGGAAACGGGCTCGACGGAATTAGACGATTTTTACCACAATGGAGAACAAAATCGAGCGACTGAATTGCAATTTTATCACTGCAAAGCGATCTCTCTTCACATCCATTGTTCCTCGGAATAATTATACACTGCCGGCCGCAGCTCAAATGGACTGAAAAATGGCTCTTTCTTCTCCACCCAGACCGACGCATCCTCTCGTTTTCATTTTTTAATTCAGGATAGAATTTGGAGCCTGGCCGAATAAACAATTTATAATGAAAAGCGGGAGAAAGCGAGAGTGTTGGTGTGTCCGCCGATGGCACTTTTGAACATTTATTCAAATATAAATGGGAGGTGTGTTTACAAATTGCGCTAATGAGTGCTGGAGAAATCGAATTCATGTAGTTGCATTGATTGAAAATTAGCACCATTAAATTACAATCATATAATTGCGGTGAGCTTCAACTCTCACAGAAAATTCTGCTGATGGAAAAATGTTAATAATCGGCCGGATTAGTTGAAATGAACAATTTATTTCTTTTATTTGTTTTTATTAATCTTGAGAATTAAATTTTTGAAAATAAACAAATTTTACTTTGCATAATTTTTGATAAATATTTATTAAAATACCATCAAATCAACTTAAATCACAAAAATTAATCTACCAAAATAAATAAATTGCAGACATTTTACAAGTAAAAAGTGACACATTTCCTGATTGTTTTTACTTTCTTCCGCGAGGAATCTTGTGCCAAAAATGTTGATAAAGAAATCCGCATTTGGCACTATAGCAAGCTGCATAATATAAATTTCAATTGAAATCCTCTTCTTTTTCTTCTTCCTCATTAAATCGTTGGCATTCGCCAAGATGACCTAATCCTCTAATTCGCGACCGCTGCCAGCACTTCTTCTTCTGTATAATGAATTACAAGAATGTAATAAAGCATCGAGAGGTCACTCCAAGGACGACGCAACTACTCTTTTTTTTTTCAAACAATGACAAAACTCATTTGCGATTCCCGACGCAGATGAGAAGCCAAGGGTGACAAAATGCCGCCCATTGTCTCACTTGCAAATTTTTGGCACGCAAATCAAAATTAAAGGAGAGGAAGTGCGACGAGTTCACTTTCTGTTTTAGCGGAAAACTGTTGTTTTTGTGCGGAATTAGAAAAAAAATATGTTGGCCAATCGTGAACTTTTCTCTCAATGAGGGAAGAGAATCGAAAGCATTTCCTGAACTGCCAAATCGATGGACCGCGGTGTGATTTTTCGTGTTTTGCATGCTCACTGGTGCGTCCCTGTGAGAAAAAGGAACTCGTCTCTTTCTAAGATGTCACTTGATTCAATAGAAATTCCTGCAAAAAACGAGGTTTGCTGATTGTGTAATGATAGACTCTCTCCTCTTGGTTGCGTTTTTACTCAAATTTGGACAAAGGATAAAAGATTTATTTTTTTTCTCCAGGTCTCTTTGTTTTCAATGATCAATGTAAAAAAATAAGATTAAATCAATTATTGAATTGTAAAGAACTGTTGAAAATATATTAAAATATATATTTAGTAAATTAAATTTGAATAAAAGCTTATTTTAATTTAAATATGCAGGTAAAGAAATTCAATTATATTGAAACAAAAAGACGATATTTTAATTTAATCTTTATACTTTTCTCATGTTTTTTTTTTATAGAAAATTCTCCATATTTCAAGACAATCATTTTCTCACTATTAATTACATTGATTGATCCTTGAGTGTGACTGACAAGCAATTTTCTCAACTCACATGCGAGAAAACAATCCTCTTTTATTCTTGCACGCGTCCGAGTTCAAACGGCGCGGAAAATCAGAAAAAGTAGTGCACGTGTCCGATTTTTATCGCCGCAGATCACGAAGATTCGCGACAAGTTAATTGCGTTCTTCAAGGGTTTGCGAAACCACGCAGAGCACGAACTTTAAGCCTGGAATTATTTTGTCGTCTTGAAGCTTCTCCGTCGAGGTTGCGCAAACGCGGTGGGAAAAATGCAGTATTAATTTGGGAAATTGAATTAATTACAATTGATGTTTGTTTTTTATTACAGGGAACCGGATGTTAACTTACGTAATTCATTGGAATATTATGTAGAATTTAAAAAAAGGCTCCTCAATATAATTTTTATGTAATGGATGCCCTTCGAAGTATTATTTAAATTTAGTAAAATCAATTTAAATAAATAATTTGCTCGGATTTTAATTAGCTGTGTTTATTTTAATTTGAAAAAAAAATACTTAAAATTACAAGATTAATTTCCATCAATAAATTAACAACCTTGCCTATATTGTATAAAATTATTGCCTGAGAAAAATTAATCAGGTGGGTTTCTCAATTTTAAAAACTTCTTATATTGTTGTTGTGACACAATCTCTCTCTAAACTAATAAGTTTTTTTATTTTTTCTTTCAATATAAATAAATTTTCGCAATCCTGCGTGCTAATTGAATAAGCAATTGAGTGAAACTGCTGCCCAAATCGGGGCCACCTTTGCCTTTCACATCTGGTAATTTTATTTTTTTGGCGAGGGTTGTAAAACTTCTCTTCGCAGAGCGCATTAATCACACGCACGACCGAAAAGTTGCAGCCAAAATGGCAGAGAGCGCAATAAATAAGAGTCTCAATTACAAGGTGATCAGGTGTCCGGCGAAGAAGTAGAAAAACCTGCTGATGCGTACTGCGCGAAAAGCGAACCGACCGCTTTGCAGGTGAAAGAAAAGAAGTATAGTGCGTTCAAAAATATTACCAGAGTGGTCGAAAGTGAAATTGAAACGTTACCAAACTGCGGTTTCAACTTTCGTCAATGACATTTTTAATTCACTTTTATTTGAATATCGTAAAAAATTGTTTCTCAATTAAAGAAAAGCTTAGATAGGAATTTTTTTGAATTATTTTTCAAATTATAATTATAATATTTGGATTCAATAATAAAATGACGAAAAGAAATTTTAATTCAACATTATATTATAAAATAAAGTGAATAAAATTCTTGAAAAGGTTTTTTATATTTATAAAGAATTCATTTTAATACGCGTAAAAATTTTTACTGTGAAAGAGTGCAAAGGCCTCTCATTTAACCTCTTCATAAGTTCATTTTTTTCGTTTAATTACAACCCGTGAATTTTTTTTAGATTTTCGCCACAGATACCTTTCCCAACCGAGACAATTTTCATTCCAGAATTCCTCTCTTTTTTAAAAAAAAGAATCCACCATCCATCTTCCATAAAACCCACCGCAGCATGACCACGGCAGTGGCGATTATAATAATTAAAAAGGCCCGCCGGAGATCCGGAAAGCACGCGAGGAATCCCACGATGGAAATAAAAATAAAAAATCAGCTGCTACACTAATTGAGCAGGGCTGCCTTGCCGCGACCTTGAATCACCGCAGGTCATCTCCGGAAACTCCAATCTTGACGTTGAAAATTATTATTATTGTTTGTATACAAATCAAGTTAAAAGATGTGGCAGGCAACCTGCTCGACGCTTGAACATGAAGTTTGCCTAACTGTCAGCTTACCTTACTTTTCTTATTAAACACCTAAATATTTCATTAAATAAATAATTGTGTAGCAATTAACTATTCATTTCTTCCTGATTTCTAATTTTCAATAAAAAAATTTTAATTTAACATTTTATTATATTTTATATAATAAAAAATTGCATATTTACATGATTTTCATATTTTTTAATTTTACTGAACAGAAATGCAAACAAAATTATTTATAATTTTCAATTAAATTTGTTTTCCTACATAATTTGCAAAAATATTTTTCATGTACAATTTTCTCTTATCTCGCCGGCCGTGGATCCAGTCTGGCAATTAAGAAGCGCCGAGATTTCCTTTTAGGGCCAAAGTGTATTGCGTCTTTATAACCTTGAGTTTTTTACCAAACGTCTGCTTGCACCGCATAAAACATAAATGCCAGCAGCGCAGGACAATGGATGGAAGGAATTCTGGTCGTTGGCAGTAGAGATCGAGAGCTGCTGTCGCTTTTTGTGCCTCACGCACCGAGTTTTACTGCCGGGCCGGGGTTATTTACTACCCTCCATTTACTAGGGCTACTTATTTTTATTGCCGAGACTCGGTTGACAAAAGAAAATACATAGATTTTTATTTTTTATACATTACACGCCAGCTGTGGAAATTCTTGTTGGCCTAAAGAGTCATTCTTTCACATAAATTTAATTCTTATTTCCAATAATTTCCAATCAAGTAAAATTGATAAAACTGGAAGAAAATACGAAATTTAATATATCAATTTTGTTATTTTTTATTTTTGTCTAAAATCATAATGATCAATTTTCTAATTTTCTTAACATTTAACAAATATCAAGTTGATTAAGAAATGCATCATTAATTCCTTCTTCAGATTACTCAGGGTAGACGTATCTCTTCATGACTTGGATCGCGTGGTCGATTAATTCCTCCATCTCTCTTCGGAAACTCGGATCATTTTCAAAGGCGTTCATCGTCGGCGCAGTCTTATCAGCAGTTTGCATCTCGATCAATAACTCTTCGGTAACTTCAGTCATCTCAGGCTGGAACTGCGACGCCAACATCATGGGTCTGATGCCCATGGCAAACACCACCCCGTAGTACCGCGCCTTGTCGAATCCGGCGTAGAAAGTTTCAAAGTCCAGAAGGTCAGGGGTCACGTTGGCCGCGGCGTTGAATGCCTCTACGTACGCCCGGACAAGGTCTTTCTCGTGCTGGGCTCTGAAGGGCTGGCTGGTTCCTGTGTACAAGAAGTTTACTAGATCGGTGTAGGGAGGGGCGTACCTGAGGATCTGGAAGTCGATGAATCGCATATCTAGAGGCTTGTTGGTCTCGTCTAGCCTGTACATGGTGTTGTTGACGTGACAGTCTGCGTGTAGAAGGAGGTTGGGCCCCTGCTTTTCATCGTACTTGAGGAAGGGAATCATGTTGGCGAACAACTGAGGGCTCTGCATGTACTCGATATACTTATCCAAATCAGGCATGTCTGCTTTGGTTTTGCGCATGAGAGGAATGATGGAAGCCTGGATGGAACCGAAAATCATCATTCTGAACTGCTCTCCGGCCATACCTTCCATCAGGGTGTCGAGATCAAAGAATCCTGCAGGCATGACTGCTCTCCAGTCAGTGCCCAGAGAGGCAGCGTGGAGCTTGGCTAGATTCCTGAAGCACATCCTGGCAATGGGATATGTCAGGACTTCACCTTTCGCCATGTCGCTGAAGTTCTTTGCCAGGGTCTCGAAGCCAAGGTCACACAGGTCCTCCATCAAAATTGCGTCCTGGTGACACACCAAGGGCTTGACCACCGGCAACTCAGGACACCTCTCCTTTAAGATGGGAAGAGCCGTGTTGAAGAAGAGGGCTTCTCTCTCCACGATGTTGCCCATGGTGTTCAACATGGCGGCGTGGGCGGCCACGGTCGGTGGTCTTTTGACCATCAGGTTGGCCTCTCGCTCGATGGGGGCGGGTCCGTTGTTATCCTGAACCTTTACCTTGGCCCTGAGCATGAGGGAGGCGAAACCTTGCACCGTCTCCGTGCCTTGCTTTACCTGCCAGTCGAGGAGGCGCGCGTTGGGGCCAAAGATGCCCTTGACCGCGGCTATTAGGTCACCAGGGTGGACCAGATCCTTCTTGTCGTCAGACATCTTTCACTTCTGAGAGATGAGTAACGACGCGACGATTGTATCAAATGTAGGCTCAGAACGTTTTATCTTATCTCGAGTGAGGGAGTCTGATTATACGCTAGTTATGGCCTTGCTGCTGATAATACACATTAAAAACTCTAATAATTATGTTAGTTTTAATTTGACAAACATGAATATATTATCTCAAATAAAGTTCTCCATTGAGAAGAAATGTAGTAAAATTACAATTTTTTATATCTATTATTTTATTCAGTTTTTGACATTTTCTACTTTTTTTAACAACGAAATTTTGATTTTAAAATATCAATTACATAACTTAAGTTTGTCTTTTAACCTAAATCCAGTAATATTTAGAGATCTCTTATGGTCATTCCAGTCATTCAAAAGTTTGACGCTCTTATTCATATTTTTTTATAGTTCTCTGTTCTCAATAATGCGCTCATTTTATTTGGCACGGATATGAAAAAAGTGTCATCACATCTCGCTGAAATTCGCAGTCATCCTGGCTTTCAATTTCTCGTGCAGACGCACGCAAATTGCTTAATAGTTAAATTGCACTCATTATATTTCTCATTCTTGAGGCGGCGCACCGATATGGCTCAAAATGTGATGTCAGCACATTCAGCAGCACGCGCTTCCTGTGCCCTTTTGCAAAGTCAAACCCATCATTTTTTTTTACCTCTTTTTTTGTCAGATTCACCTTTTCATCCAATGATTGCTCAAACAAATGGAGTATGGAAGAATTTTCTCCGAACAAAAGACATAAAGTTTGATGTCACATTGACCTTGAAGGAGGGATAAAAATAAATTTGGAAGGAGCACAACCGACAAGCATAAATAATTCGAGCGCCACCCGAGCGTGAATGGCGTGTAAACAAATAAGCCAATTTATTATGCCTGATTTTATTAAACCGCGGTCGTAAAAAATAAAATATAGTAAATTTCACTGGGCTGTTAAAATATATTAAAATTTATATAGTAGTTTTTTCTATGTAATTAATCAACTGGCTCTCAATAATCGCATTTTGATAATGCGCCAATCAGCCTTGTAGATAATTTGGCGAATTGATATTAATTGAAGTGACAATCGTTTGGTTTTTGTTTGGCAGGAGCGAAGACTCGTTTTGCGAGACTTTGAGCAGCGCCGGCGACGTCGCGATGGCGCCGCCACCCTCGAAACTTCACCCCAACGGCAGCGCCCTGCTGATGCGGCTGGTCACCGAGGACACGCCCCCAGACATGTTGGCAGGGTCCATGGACCTGCGAGTCACCCTTCCCAACGGCACCACCGTCAAAATGAGCGTCGAGAGAAGGTAAAAAAAAATATGATTCATTCTGTTAAAAAGCGACTTGATTAATTAAAAAAAATTGTTGTTTTTCTTTCATCAGCTATTTTATTTTTTCAAAATTAAAATTGCATTTTTGGAATAATTTGTTGTACTTAAATTTGATGAAAATAATCCCGAGACCAAATTTATATCTCACAGAAATTATAAAACAAATGTATAACTTTTAACTTCTAAAGTTGATCTTGTGAGAAATATTTTGGTAAACAATTATTACAGCTCGGCAAACTTCTTAAGAAAATATAATGAAAAATACCTGAAAAAACATATTTAGTCGAGTTAAGAAAATTTAATAACAATAATATGTTACGAATTTTATTAAAATTTTAGTAAAACTTTAGATTTTTACTAGTCAACATTAATTTTGTAAGCGGCATCTTCTTACATAGACTAATTTTATCTCTCTCTTGAGCTGATTGAGACAATCTCTCTCCCATTGCCAAATGATTAAATGAAGTGTCAATATATCTCAAAACAAACGTGTAGCATCATCGACTGTTCCGAAACTAATTCCAATTAAGGCAATATAAAATTAACAAATGATTTCTTTTAGCACCCCGATGATGGACCTGCTGATTCAGATCACAACGGCAAACAAAGTTTCTCCTGGAGACTACATCCTTCAAGTGTTGGGTGACAAAGGAATCCTGCCATACAAACCAAGCACCCCTATAGGTAAAAAGAAAGGAATTAAAAATAAATAATAATTTAATCGAAATTAATTTTATTTTGTTTTAGATTTTAAACATTGTTATTTGTCCAATTGGTTATAAATATTTTAGTAAAATATTATTTACAAATTAATGAGAAAATATTCAATTGTAAAAAAAAGTATTTTGCTCCAGCATACATATAAATAAATATTCTTTCAACTCTGTAATTTTCCATTTTAGTGTTATTTATTTTCTTGTCGTATAAAATTTTATACAAAATCTGTTCATTTTGAAGGTGCTTTGGACACCCTGAGCATTCGAGTGGTGCCTCGTCACTCGACGGCCAACAACAACCCGCACAACAACTCGCTGAACCGAAAGCGGATTCCGCTGATCAACTCGCTGATTGGCCAGCAACAGCCCTTCGAACAGACTTTCCGGCTGCAAGTGCACCTTCCTCGCAACCAGCTTTTTGTGGCCAGGCTCAGCCCCAGGACGTCCCTTGCTGAAATTTTGGTTCACGTCTGCGAGGAGAAAAACCTCGACCCCAACAAGTACGAGCTGCGACATCCAGGTCAGTATTTCGGACCAAAGAAATTAAAAACAGGAATACACAATTAAAAAGTTGCCAAAAAAAACATCAATTTTATCACAGAATAAAATCTTTAATATTTATGCAAGGAAAAAAAGAGAATGATTAAATGATTCAATTCCATTCTATTAACGTTTAAAGTAATGAATTAATAAGAGTTTATAAAGAATAGCCATTTTTTAATGCTGTTACTTTTAATTTTAACAAAAATTGAATGAAAGCTCTGCAATGGATTCCAATTTTGGGAAAGAATTAGAAGATAATTAATTACAATTCAGATATAATTTTTAGAAAAAGAACATTATTTATTGATATTTTGTAATCACCAGTTTCAAATTATGCTTCTATATAGTTTGATTTGATTTTTTTGTTCATTGTAAATTTTTATTTTGGATGCGTAAAAGTCTAGTTTTTCTCTCTTTTTTTTAAATGACCACAATGGTGATAAATGGCAATCACACGCCCGGTTTGGAGAAAGAAATCTCCTCCTTCATTCATTCAGTTTTGGCAAACCACACTTTAACCCAAAAAGAGCAACTGACCCAGAACACCGGCAAGAAAAAATCTCCTCTCCAATCGTTAGTGAGGAAGACACAGATTTGGAGGAGATAAGTATGACCAATTTGAGAGAGGGTCGGATCAAATTTTGGTCGAGTGATTAACGGTGATGGTGTTGGTCGGCTCACGCACAAAAGGACCGCCGCAGTGGTCAACCGAGGAAGGGAAATCGAGAACAAACATTTCACAAAAAAATAAAAATTGTAAAAATTGTGTTGGCCTGATTTTTTCATAATATGAATTTTTATAATTGTTCTGGTTGAAAATTCATTATTTATTTAACATTTTATTTAAAAAAAAAAGAAAATAACATCTTGCTTTCAACAAAAAGCTTTTTGTATTAAGAAAAAGAGTTACTGAAAATTCAAAATTTGAGGCGAAATTTTAATCAATCTAATTTAAGGAATTAGAAAATTCCCATAATAAAGAATTTTTATTTTCAAAAATTCTGTTTTTAAAAGTCATTCACAATTTTTTTTTATACCTTCTTGGAAATTTCAAACTACAAACTAATAGTATATAAAAATCACCAAAACTAATTTATTAAGTATTTATATTTATTAAGAAGAAATAATTGAACTAGAAGTTGTCCTTTTTGTAATTAATTTATTATTTTTATACTATCTATTTTTACTTCTAGAATAACAGAATATTGTTCACTTTTGACTGTTCTTCAATTAAATAGAGTAAATTGAGAATAATTATTTGATGCCTCGCCTCACAATCACTTAAAATCTTGGCATTTTTTTATATAAAGAGAAAAGCTGTTGTTGCGAATTCACTGATAAATCCTATGTGCGGCGGCGCCACAAGCTCTACCATTTACGGCACACCTGAAAGAAAACCTATATCGCTCCTCATTCCCCTTATCGTGCCGCCAACACGCAGCTTTTGCTTGCACAAAGCAGTCGACGATTCGAACCAGCGCCGAGATAACTCGCTCTCTTTCCAGCTGCTCGATTCTCCGCAAATTCGGATCACAAAATTCCCTGTAAGTTTACAAAAACAATAAGACTGATCAAAATTATTTAAATTTGATTACAAAAGTATTGTATTAATTTAAAAAATCAGTAATAATTTTAAAGAGTCACAAAAAGCTGAATGTAGGATATATTTTGGTTTTCATTCATTTTAAAGTTTATCAATTTTTTGATACTTGATTTTTATGCCTCGGAAAAGCACGTTTTTCAATTTTTAACATGTATTTTCTCAAGAAAGGAAAAACAGAATTCTGAAAATTACAGGGCAGACGTAAATTTTCACGGGCTACATTTTTACCTTTACTTGCAAAAAATTCCCAGGAGGCTATCATCGTAAAAATTTGACTTTTATAAAAAACAATTTTCAAATAATGACATTTTCCTTAAGCCTACAACTTTTATGTCAACAGCGAAGTTGTTCAGCGTAAAAATTCGTACTAGGAACAGTTTAAATCATTTTTCTAACTCAAACCATTCCAAAGGTATGGAAATTAAAAAATAAAAAAACCGGGGCATTTTCACGCCCCTAAATTTTGGTGTCAAAAACTGCTAGACTGACTTTGACATATTATGATAAAAAATAAGATTAGGTAATTTTTTTGTTCAATACTCCCTCAATCTCATTCGGGAATGCTGATATTATTTTTATCGATTTTTATGTAAATATTTAGGCTCTTTTTGTAAAAAAAAAAAAATAAATAAAAAAAAATTAATTTTACGTAATATACTTCTGGAAGTTTATTGGAAAGTATGTTGTGAATCAATAGTGCTTAGGTTTGTTTACCATTATAAAAAATAAGTCGCTTGAACAACACGGAAAGGTTGTGCGGCTTCGTCGGGAATCTTCTGGCTTCGAGCGTTTATATTTGCACTAAAATGATTCGAATTTCTTTCTTTCTTTCGTCCTGCAGTGAACACGGACCAGAGTCTGCAACTGTCGCTGTGTCTGGCCGACTACAAGATCACGGAAATCGTGGTGGTGCCGCGTGGCTCGCGACCTTCGACCGAACTCTCCTCGTCGGACATTCCGGCCCTGCAGAGGAGCAACAGCGAACAACGAAACGGATCCTCGGCCACTTCTTCCGGCAGCGGAAGTGGAGGAGTCTTGTCCATCCTCAAACGCAACAAATCTGTGAGTAGTAAAATCTAATTTATGACAAATTAAACAAAAATTATTTTAAAATTTACAAATATTTTCATTAAAATAGTGAAAATTTAAAATACATAATATTTTTTCCTTCACTTTGCATTTGAAATTATTTGAAACACCTGGAAAGCTAATTTTTTTTTTTTTTTTTTTAAATAATTAGCATTTATTTTAATTTAATCCGAACTTTTATTTTAAAAATTTTCATTTTGGAATTATCAAAACTACAACCAATATTTTTTTTTTTAAATCCGAAAATTTTCAGTTAAAAAATTTTTTTATATAAATTTCTGATTTAAATCTAACGAGAACTGCAGACATTGTTATTTTGTATCTCAGACGTTTATCCCCTTATCAATTATTTTCTTTCAATAAATAAGCTTATTTTTATTTGCTCGTCTTTGTTTCGCCACTCGCAATGACTTCACCACCGTTCGATTGGAAAAACAACTTCTCTACTTCTTTTATATTGTGAAACCTTTAACTAAAAATATAACGATGGTACTTTTATATTTCGGTAGCGATTAACCTGCGGCGGCGGCGGCGCGCAATGAATTACAGTTAGCTAGCCCAAAAATGCGCGGCTTTGATACATTAAATTTATACATTGCCGCACCAAATGTGCACCGGATCAGAGGCGGATTATCGCGGCAGAGCGTGCTTGTCTTATCGCGACCAGAATCTGCCACAACAAATGGCTAAAGATAAGAAGAGAGCGACAGACACACATCCATAAAAATTCCTCCGATGGAGTTGAAGCAAAAGACCTTCACATTGCTCTTCTGCGAAAATTTATAGCGATTTTTATCTCTCTTGTAATGACCGTGTCTGCTGAAAAAGAAAGAAAGAAAGTCGAACTACTGGAATTGGGTTGGAGAAGAACCAGAACAGAATTTGATGAAAATACAGATTTAGTTGCAAATATTTAATTTATTTCAACTGATTTTTTTCTATAAATTATACACAAAATCTAAGGTTGTTGATATGAAACGGTTCGAAATTAATATTAATTAAAAGATTTTTTTGTCTAATTCATTTGGAAAATGAAAATTATATTTTGGCCAATAAAGGAACCTTCATACTTGTAAAAAGAAGAATCCTTTTGATGATTAAAAGTTATTTATTGACTCAATGAGTATTTGAAGAGTCTTTTTCACTAACTAAGCAACGTGGAAGGAAAATTCCAGAATGAAAAGTGAATTTTCACTCTTTGATTTTTCTTCCATTATTCATTGAAACAAATTATTATGCAAATAGATATTTCCGATTCTTTTTTTTTTATTAATTTCATTATTAATGTTTCTAAGGGTTTCTTCCCCTTTTCATTTCAGGATGGCAATCGGGAGGGCAGCCTGAGCGGAGACAGTCTCGGAGGGCGCAGCAGCTCGCCGGCCAGGTCGGACGAAAGTCTCAGCCGATCCATTTCGCCACCAGCAGGCAAAATCATGGACAGACAGAACATGGCGCCGCCGCCGCCGGTCAGACACCGCAAGGGACGCGCACCAAAGCCCCCCGCAGCCCCTTCCGTAAGTTCGAGTGAATGAAAAAAAAGAAATAAACACAGAAAATCATTGGATTTTTATTTTTTTGAATTTTCGAGGCACCTTCAAGAAGATTTTTCCATTTTCTCGTTGTTTGCTGACGGGAGGAGAGAAGAATTCCAAGGCCCTTTGTTTATTTGCACGCTTCCCATTATCGCACACCGCCGCAGCAAATGGTGTTGCCACATTTTTCATAATTAATTATACCATGTTGACTTTTCTGTCTCTCCTGTTATTGCGTGTTTCAATGCGTAAACACGGTTTGAAGTTAACAGAAATCCTCACTTTTCTTATTGTGAATTCCACAAACTTCAGTACGCAATTTTAAATTAAATAAATGTTCAGAAATATTAGAAAATTCGTCTTTTATGAACAAACTAAAAATTAAAGAATTGGTTTTTTGATCGATTTGCATATTTTTAAGGATTTTTTACCTTTCCTCCAGGTCTAAATTAGGAAATATTAATATCAATGAATAATCTACACCCCAATTAACGTAGCAGCTGTTTTCCTTTTTATAATTTTTCAACTTTAAATTACACTTTTTCCAGATTTTCTGCTTTGAAATATTATCTTAACAGTTAAAATATTAATTTTTGCGGAGCATTTTTCTGCAGTTCCATCCTCAATGAGAGAAACTTCTTCCAAGTCTTGATATCAAAAACAAATAAATAAAAACATAATTACATCTGAAGAGAGATAGTGTCAGTCAGTTTTGCTAATTAATTGAATAACTAATGGCCGGGCCAGAGATAAAATTGAGAATTCCATTAAACTCTTGCACCTCTCCCGCAGAGCGGCACAATATATGTTAACAATAAACAAATGAAAGTGGAGATTAGAGCGTCGGCGGCGCGCGTGCGATAACAGGGGCCATTTGCGTGTTTCGTCGTTGGCAGGAGAGTGCTGAGTGTGGCGTTTTTTTTTTCTTTGTTGGCAGGTGCCAGCAGTCGAGGTGGAAGAAGCGACCAGCAAGCCTGCCGAACCCAAGAGAACCACTGCTCTGGTTATTTCGCACTCGAGAAATAGTTCTGACAGCAGCGGATACCACGAGGCCTCTGTCCTCAGCGACACCCCCGACAACCTCAATGGCCACTCCACCAGGTCAGTACTTATACGCATTCCGCACTTAATTACTCATTAATTGATAATGTCATTTTGATGAGTCACCCTTTTTTTCTCCAAGGGCTACGTGGACAGTTTTCAAAAGTTGCGAAATTCATTTTTCCGCTAGAAACTAGATTTGGGCGGGTAGAAAAATTTATTAGAACAATTTTTCTGATTAAAGTCAATATTTGAGGTGTTATGGGGGACAATTTCAGAGTTCAAAGGGTCAATTTTGATTAGAAATCATTTTTATAGAGCTAGGTTTTTTTTTAAATTGAAATTTATTCATAGTCTTTTCAAAATTCAAGCGTTGAAATCGCAGCAGCAACTGAAAGTTGACCTAAATATTACCAAATTTATTTGCAGCATGCACAATTTTTGTAATTTGTTGTGCCTCTTGTTTTTCGGCTATCAGTTAGGCTAGGTTTGTAGAAAAGAAAAATAGTTTGTATATAATAATTTAAAAATATAGTGCTATTCTTAAAGTGGTTTTCCAAATCTTGTAAAATAAAAACATATTATTATTCTATTAACACCGCTTTGGAAAAATAAACAATTTTTAGTCTCCATATAGCAGAAGAATCTCAAAATAGATTATTTTCCGATGAAAATAGGTTGTTTTTTTTTATTAAAAATGTGAACAACAACATATTTTTCATCAAATTAGTTATCCTAGAACCTCAATTTGTACAAAAAAAAAATGTATATTTGGGCAGCATTTGTTATGCATTTAACTTCGAAAAAAGTAGATAAAGAATCGTCAGCTATTTTATTTCTCTTCAGAGTTTTTAATAATCTCTAAAGATATTAAATAATGACGAATACCTCATTTTTCTCAATTTATTTTTTTCTTCATTAACTGGAGGTAATTTATTAACTAATGTTGCTAAATCAATTTTGAATTGCAGTCCCTCGGACACAATAAACCGCAAATCAAGTAAAGCCGCCCCCACCACCTCCAGCACCGCCGCCGGTGCAGCCGCCGGCAAGTTGCAGTACTCGCTGTCCATGTCCGACGTGTCCAAGACGGACGCCCCCGGCAGAATGAGCAACGCCACCTCCACCAGCTCGCTGAGCAACAAGAAGAAAAAGGCCCCCGCGCCGCCTCCGGCCGTGCCGCCCCCGAGCGCCCTGCCCAGTAGGTCTAGCAGTAGGAGCAGTAGTGTGCTAGAACCCTCAGGTAAGAAACCTGCCTCCAACTTCCCCTCCACCCCCGACACATTCGTGCCGCCCCCGCTCGAAAAGCAAAGTTCCGACTCCTCAGGGTGGAGTTGGAAGTTCAAGGTGCCGGTCAGGTTGGGGCCCAAACCCTTCAAACGCGAGCTCTCCTCTTTCCGAAAGCAGAACGCGGAGAAAAATGGCAAAGCAGGGGAGGGGGTTGCGTCCGGGCAGGTCCGCAAGTTCCGTCCCAGTGCGGAATTCCTGAAGCGCGAGCAGCAACTTGCTTTGAACTACCAAAAGCAGATGGACGTTTTGAAAACGCAGAGAAGGGAAGAGAGGAAAAAGCAGCAGAGGGAGAATGGGGTGAAGCAGGAGAGGGTGGAAGAGGGTTGTCTGAAACCTTCGCTGACTTGTAGGAAGTCGTCCGAGGAGGAAAGTTACGCTTTGTTTTTAAACCAGCTCAGCAAAATTCTCGAGAGCAAGGCCGAGTTTCTTTAAAAATATCCTGGTTCTTAGATTTGCCAGTGAAAATAAAAATACTACTTTTCAATGAGCCGAAAAGTTAATAAAATATTGATTTTTTTTGTAGTAAAAATACATTTTTTATAAATGGGAAAAAATCTAAATTTACTTCGTTCCTTTTTGCTTATAAATTATAAAAATTAACATATAAAAGTTTTTTTTAAATTAATTAAACAATGTTTATTTCAAATTTTTATTGATATTGTTCATGTTCACTGCTGTCTTTCATCTCACAATAAATTAAGAAGTAAAGTTTTTCTTCTTTATAGATAAACAGACAATATAATAATGAAAAGCAAACCTTGAACTTCCAACTTTGGGCCCAAATTTGCGTTTAATAGCACTAAAATATATTTAATATTAATAAACACCTAAAAATCTCTAATCACTTGCATGAAGAAGCTTGCATTATAAAATTAAAGAATGCTTTTATAAATAACAAATTATATCCTTTTTTAAATCTAAAAAATACTAACAAACTCACACAACTTCCTCTTCCTCTGTGTCTTTTTTCACTTTTTTGTAGTGTGCATGCTTGATAACCCCGTAGTAGAGGCAGAAGCGTCGCCCCTTAACCCACCTGTCCCGCGTGCACGCAGACTGACCCCGGATGCGGCCTCGCCGACCCCACCCCCCATCAGGCCCCGGAAGCCGCGCCTGCCCCGTCCCGATTCGGGGCTCCTGTTTCGGCGACAGGCGTCGTCCAACTCGCTGGTGGGCAGCGTCGGCTCGTCGACGGGCAGTTTCGTCTTCGGCGTCGGCCGCAGCGTCCTCTCCTTCAACGTGAACAGCGAAAACGGCTCGGAGAACACCTACGAGGACATCGACAACGACCTTGACCTGAGTCTCTTCGAAGGCTCCACAGGTGGCAGCACTATCAGAACCACTGACATTCTTCTGGAGGAGGATGAAGAGTACGCCAACTTCCACAACTCCCTGCTGAGCGAGCAGAAGAGAAATTCGCTGACCAAAATTTTGAACGAGGATAATAATAATAATAAGAAAAAACCGAGCAGAAAAAAGGCGCCGGCACCGAAAGCGCCGAAGAACATCGGACACAGGCGCCGACCCAAATTGGGAGAAATCGAATGGGAGACTCAAGCTGAGGAAGATATTAAAGTTGAGGAATTGAAGTCTTTGGACTTTGAGAAGGCGAAACCAGGGAAAAAGGCGAAAATCGTCGAAACCAGTTCGAGGGATTTCATGCTGACCTCGCAGAGATCGACCCTTTCTGTGCAAAGTCTCAGATCAACCCACGACGAGTTCGGATTTCCTTTGGCCAACGATTATGAGGAAGTTGGTCACTCGACTGACGAGCTGGACTTGGACCTAGACTTGTTCGCCATGACTAACCAACCTCACGCTAATAGTGGTGCTCAAGGTTTGCTTCACTAACCTAACTAACTTGATAAAGTTTTCCTTTAATTTTGTGTAATATATAAATTTTGATAATTGGTGGAGGTATTTTAAAAAACTTCTTATTGTTAATTAGAAAGCTTTTTAAACTATTTAACAAATGCAATATTTAAACTAGTTTTATTTCTATAGAGCATTTTAAAGATATAATTTTAATTTCTTTTTTAAACATGAAAATTGTCAGGTTTTTTCTCACAGCATTCAGCATTGAAATAAGCAAGGCGATTTTTCTTTCAAATGTTTTTAAAATTTGTGCTTAGAGTATGGATAAAGTTTAATAACGTCTCAACAATGGTGGTTTAAATTTAAAAAAATAATTGAAAATAATGGCTCCTTTTGTTGTAATAACTTGATTTGATTAAACCCAATGAAGCTTCCCTAAATGTTTAGAAAATTAGCAGTATTATTAATTAATTCTAATTTTTATAAAATTAATTATAATTAAAATATTTTTCTGTTTTAATGTGTTTTTTTATTTATTTAACACCATTTTTCCAATGGTCTATTTGAAAATTATAATTAAATTTTCAGGTGCCATTAATATTTGTTTTATAATAAATTTTCCACTCTTCCTTTTGCAGAGAGCGCAGAAAAACTCCCTGCCAAAGACCTGCCATCCCCCGCAGAACCCGTTACTGTCCGGACTGAAAACGGCCATATGGACAACGGGAGCCATTGCGAGGAGGATCTGGAGGTGCAGGTGCAGAGCATGGACGTTGGCAAGGCGGAGTCGGAATACGCTTCTGATGACGAGGACGACCTTGACAGTGCCTTCCAGAGCGTCACTGACGTCCTGGAGAAGCAGCTGGAGGCGGAAGAGCGACTTTTGAAGCAGCAGAAAATCGTCCAGGTGGAAAATGAGGAAGACCTTTCGAAAACGCCTAGTCCTGCACCCCAAGTCGAGGAGGTTGAGGAAAATATTAAAGAGGAAGACCCGCGGCTGGTGCAGGAAAGGCTGGGCAAGGAAAAACTGCTCAAAGAGTTGGAGGTGAAAAAGGCGTTGCATGAAAAGCAGAGGATGGAAATTGAGCGGCTGCAGAAGGAGCAGCAGGAGCTCGAATTGGCGCTCAAGAAATTCGAAATGGAGGTAAAAATAAAAATTAAGCTTTTTACTGGGGGAAAAACTAATAAATGTACTGCAAAAAAATTAAAACTTTTGATAAACTAAAAACTACAATATTTGTCAATTTAATTAATTAAATATTAAAATTTCAGTCTCAGAATGAGGAGAAAAAGCAGGACTCGATTCCAATCTCACCAGAGCCATCTGATATTCCTGACTGGGAGTACAAATTGCCAGCACCACCGACTGCTTTCCGAGATTCAAAGGAAACCGCCACTCCTTCAAATACACCAGAGGTAGTTTCAATAATTTTACTAAAATTAAAATAATAGAATGGTATAATTTATTTAACACTAATTTTGTACAGCTTTGCAAACTTTGAATAATTTATATATTTTAATAATAATGTTGAATTTACTATGATTTAGGAGGAAAAGAGAAGACTTTCGTTTGATTTGAAGCCAACAGAAGTTGAAAAAGAAACACCAAGAATAGAAATTGTGCCTCCTCTGCCTGACATCATAATCCAGCAGCCGGACATTTTGATAGACCAACAGGAATCAGTGCATGAGGAAGAGGAAGTTAAAAGTAAATCAATTCATTTCAATTTAGGAGTTTTTTTAAATGGTTGAATTTTAGGATTTGTGGAGGAGGAAGATCCTGAGATGAGGCCGAAGCCACCTGCCATCGTGGATGTGACCATCAAACCTGCTGTGGTGAGTGAGTTGCCGAAGAGGAGGAGCGCCTCTCCACCCAGGGTCACCATCATGCCCCTCAGGGCGGCCCACTCGCTCTGCAGCCTTGTCTACGACCACAGGGACAACAAGCAGCAGGACGAGGAGGAGGTGCCGAGGAGGGGGTCTGGCTCGGACAGTGACAGCGACAGGGTGCTCAGTCCGCTGAGGAAGACCACCAGCGTGGACGACGTTTCCAAATCAACTGCTCAAAACGGTGAGTCTCAAAAGTTCCAACACCAAAAAGAATTTGAAAAATTTATAAGATTGAAACAGTGAAATTTCTTTCTCTGGTTTTGGTAACTTTGAAATTATTTTTAGTGGGCCTCAATAGTCTTGTTGTTATTTCACAATTCATTGATCAGATCTGAAATTTAATTGCAATAATTTGAATGCAGTTTAATTTTGAATGAAATTTTTCAATCGTTTTATGAGGCAGAAGGAATTTTTATAATTCCAATTCCTAAACAAATATTGCGCTATTTGTCAAGAATTTACAACTTCCTCTATGTGGGAGTCACACTCACATTTTTCAGCCTTATTTGCAAACGGATTTGCGCACACAGAGATAAGCTGCCGAATCGTCACTTAAAAGTTAGCCAACCAACCGTTCCTTGAAACTTGAAACCTGCAGTTTTTTTAGGTGGAAAAATGTAGCAAAAGTAAACAAATGGTGCGTTGTCATTGAGGTATGACTTAGGTCGGGGCCGATTATTGAAAAGGAATATAGAATGCAGCAAAAAAAGGCGTTATATTATTTCCATCTTTGAGAAATCGTCGAGAAAATAAATAATATATACCTGACAATGAGAGCGAGAGATGAGAAGCTTTAACTGTAAATGTAGTGAGCTTGAATAACGTGCATGCGGAATCGGAATATTTTCCTTTGAAAATAAGGGGAAGTGATAAATTGGAAATTGTCAAAAAAAAAAATTAAATAAATTTTAGAAAAATATACATAATTAAAATATTTCAAAACTATTTTAATAATAAAATTTTTAGATGTATATTTCAAAGATAAATAATTATCTAGATTTTGATCTGTTTGTAGTCTTTCATCTTATGATTTTCTGACTTTTTAAATAATTCTGTAATTTATACATACATAAATGATTTGAAAGAGAAAACATCAATTAATATTTAATTTTAAAATAAAATTATCTATTTTTCCCATTTTTCACTTCCCTATTATTATGCTGTATTACGATGCATGCACGCCGTGTCGGTATGCACAAAGAAATTGTGCACGCACGCACCTTTGGTGACCTTTGGGTTGGTGCAACGGCCAGAGTAGAAAGCCTTGCTGCACCTTTTTCGCAGGTGCTTTTGTACCACCAGCGCAGGAAGGTCGCGTCACGTGACGCGATTTATTTGGTCCTTTGTGCACAACATCAACACAAAACAAACGCCTTTCTTGATCCTTTGCACGTGCCCAGCCTATTTGAACTCAACAGACTTCCGAGAGATCCATCAATTTTGTTTATTTTTCAAAAATCGAGTAAAAAAATTCAAAATATGAAAAAAGTTTTGCATCTGTTTTGAGGAAAGCCATTTTTTCTTGTTCATGTGTTCATGCTAATGAGAGAGTTTTGAGTAAATTTTCCGCGACGTGTCAGGGCAATAAACCGATCAGAGGCCGCAATTAAGATTAGAAAATTGCTCGAGGGCAAAAAGGCAATCGGTCGTTCTCACGGGACGCAGTCTAGATTATTTTAAATTTGCTCGGAATGAGGTCAAATCGGCGAGTTTGTAATTGATATTCCGATACTTCACGAATTTGTGTCAGGAAAAAATACTGGTAATATTTTAGGCCGCATGAATAATTTGCTAAATTTTTCTTTTGAAAAGACCAACTGAGGGCGTTTTAATAATTGTTGTCCGAGTGTAATTTGCGATTAAAAACTGTGCACGCACGCCTCATTAGCGAGACATGGCACAATTTTTTACAAATAAGGATTTATAACAAGCAAGCGGCTTTGCATCTCTCAAGGTTGGCGAATTATTTTTCCAAAGAGAGAAAATGTTAAAGCAACGGAAGAAAAAAAGCACGTCATCAGTTGTCCGTTATCTTTATCTTTTAAAATAAAAAAAACTCTCAAAAACGCAAGCTGGAGGACAGAATTGCGAAATATAAAAAAAATATCAATTGATATTATTTTTCTTTTGTAGAAATTTCTAAGAAAAATTGTCATTAATTGACATTTTGCTTAAACTAATTATAAAATTTGTAATAATTGTTGAATTATTTCTAGTTTTAAAAATATCCTGCAAAAAAATGCCCATTGATTGTATATCAATCTTTCAGTAATTAGTCACAGCGCCAACATTGCACAAAAGCTCACTATTATTTTCTCATATCGCGCAAAATTCTGATAAACAATGGGTGACGCGCGATAATGACTCTGGTTCGAAAAATCCCACTTATCAGTTTGTGTGAAAAATTGCGATTGCGTCACACACACGATTGTGTTCTTTTTTTCGCACACCGCAGATTATGTTATAAACCTTTCGCGGCGATCTGGATGAGAGAGAAATAATATTATTGTTCAATATCGGCGGCGCCGCGAGTAAAAGTCATGTAACGCAACCGCGCGTCAACCTGTTTGCTTTAATTTCGCACACGAGAGCTAATAACTTACAAGCCTCCATTGTGATCTCGCAGCTTTCATTTTTTTTTCTAATTCCGTGATTAAACCTATTAATGGAGTAATAATAATTTCTTTCGGTCTTATATTTAAAAATAAAAAACAATTTTAACTTTAATTTCATACATTTGTATTATTTTCCACTGAAATAAGTAATTAAATGAGTATTGAGTAGTTTTAAGCAAATTGAAGTTTTAAATATACAAAAACTATAATTTGATTCTGTGTTTCAGGAAAGTTAATCGAACTATAGTAAAAACTTGCAGAGGAAATGTTAAAAATCTTGTTTTTTAATAACTTAACAATCAATGTGGAATTTATTTTTATTAAATTGACAAACGCCTCAAGCAAAAGTCGAGTTTGATGGAACAAAAACTCCGAAACCTTTTAGGAAATTTAAATATTATACTTTTTCTATAAAGAACATTGAAGTGGTGGTTTAAATTTCAAAGGTCAATTTTTTAAATTTTTTCTTACTTTTTGCAATTTGATTCTTAATATAATTTAGAGATCAAAGAACATTTTGGAGTTTGTAACATTGATCTTTTTTTCATTTGATTATTTCCATATTTTGGCTTTGAATTTGCACCTTTTTCAATAAATTTCTACTCAATTTTTGAAAAAAATTCCACCTCCGAAGCAAAACACATTTTATAATTTTGTTATAAAATCGCCCTTGAGTATGATCTTTTTGAGCTGGTTGCATAATTCAAAAGCCTGTGCAGTTGTGAGCGAGGTTTTTTTTCTTTTTAATTTTCGGTCGACGTCACTGCTCAGCGAGTTGGTCTCGCTTTACATTGGGCGTAGAATGTCGGTGTGTGGGACGTCGGCTGGGCTTCGGCGGCCAACAACAGGTTCTCGCCCGAGCCCATTCAGTGAAAGAGTTATTTTTTTTTATTTTATTATTCTCTCGGCGGCGAGTGAGTGGGGGTCCGTGTCTCTCTTTCTATCTGGCTGGCAGGGCAGTCGTCGCTCGAAGGTTCGCCAGTTCGGTGCGCGCGCGTTCCATCAAATACAAATTCCTTTTCAACGTCGCCTCGTCTCTTTGGTTTGCAGAAGCGCCCGTCCAGGAAGAGGAGCAGCGCCTGCAGCAGCTGCAACAACAACTGCTCACCTGGCAAAAGCAACTCATCACCAACCAGAGCGTCCTTCAGGAGCACGTCGACATGCCTCTTCAGTCCCTACAGGTCAGTAATTCAAACAAACGTCACAATTGCGAATGAAATTTTTTCATAAATGAACATTTTTTGAAAACTTCAAATTGATTTATTGAATTTTAAATATTTTGGTAAAGTTGAAAATTATTAATTTAATCAATATATTTACAAATTTTTTTGTAAATTAGTTTGACAAATTTTCATATCATTTTTTAAATTAAATTGAAAATTGTACTACATAAATAATAAATTATTATTAAATTTAGTTTCTTCGTGAGCTATTTTCATGATAATCTAAATGAATGAATCTTGAAAATTTCTAAATAATGGTTCAGAAGCAAATGAGAAGAGTAATGAGATGTTTCTTTTGTTCTCATCCTCTCATTTTAAATGTCGGTTATCTTATAAAAACACAGCATTTGAGCTTGTTAAAAAGAAATTACTTTTCGTCTAATCTTGAGAAACCGTCTTTATAAACAATTAGAAATTAGTGGGTGGTCCTTTTCTGACTATCAAGAAAGTGCATTATTTTAAGCTTTTCTTTTAATTAGCAATGGCGTCGCTTGTTTTTGATTGACCTTCTTAAACGCGCAGGTCACACCGACTGGCGAAAAGTGTACATGACGTGTAAAGCACAAATATGCGGGCTTGAAACAGCAGGCCTGCGATTTGGGCCAAGCGCGTTTTCATATTTATCGGCTACAACTTTTAAACGCACTTAACTCTGTACAAGCTTTAATATGCCGCAACAAGTTGATAATTGGAAATTTGTGTATAGAAATTTGGGCCACGCTATAAAAAAAATAAGGAGAATAATTTTAAAGTTGATATTTAAGAAGATTTTGTTCTATTTGACAAGAAAATTTTGATATGCCGTGACAAAGAGCAGCTCATTAGTGTCAAAACCTTGAGATTTCCAAGTCCCATTAAGCCTCTTCCATCATTTCTCTCTTCATCGGAATGAATAACAAATCGTTTTGTTGTGTTTGGTCTCAAAAATGATATAATAATTCATCTTCTTGACGAGTTTGTCCACAATTTGGTGCGTGAAATTCACCTCGTGAGTAAAAAGCAGCAAGCTTGGCCTCCTTTTCTTCTCATCTGAATGCTCCGAGCCCAAATACGCGACTCGTCTTGCTTAAAAATATTAAGCGCCGTTATAAAAAAATGGCGAAAGACGAGACGGAAAAAATTCATTCCCTTTTCTGAAAAGCTGAGGAAACTGGCTTCAATTCTTCTTCCAGCAATAGAATATGTCTCTGCTTTTAAGCTTTTAACTCGAGCTCTGTTGCGCAAGCAAGTGAGAAAACAACTTTTAGTTTTGTGGTTTCTCGTCACGTTGGATTACATTCTAAGGCGCGAGAAGTCATCTTTCAGACTCCCACGCTTCTTCTGCTCTTCAAGAAGTGTGTGTTGAAAATCAAAATCATACCATACACTTGGTGAGAGATCTCTTGAGCAATTCACTTAATAATCCTTTTAAAAATTGTGCTCTTAAATTTAACTCCGCAAAATTCGCCACAAGACAAAAATTTCTCCTAATTTTATTTTCATTTGTAATAATGTCAAAATATTGCAATAAAAAGCAATAATATTTAATTGATAAAGAATTTATGTGTAATAATTAATATTAATAGAAATTTCAATTAATTTTAAATTATTCTGATTAATTTTTTTTACTTCTTTTGGAAAGCACTTAAAAAAATAACCAAATATCAGGTTCGGATTAAAATAAATAATAATTTCCATAATTTCATACCTAATGGAATTAAATTGTTTCATGATAAATCATTTCTCCTTTTTATGAGTGAAGATTACGTTGATTTAACTGGACAATTGAATTGCGTTAATTACAATAATGAATTACGCCAGCGAGATCTGAAAGTTTATAATTAAAAAGCGATTGGAATCTCCAATGAGCTTGAATTTCCTGCTCTCAAGAGAGACAAAAGCCCCGTCGGATCAGCTGGCCGCCTCGAGTGTCACAAATAATTCATTGCATCGAACGAATTAAACTTTCTCCTTCCGAGCCGCTTCAGATTTTTCGCCTCTCTCTCCGCGGGATCAAACGAGCAAAGTCAATGGAATAGTAAAAGATCGCGCCACAGACCAGAATGCATCATTTTGTTTCACTTTCCATTTCAAACTGGAGAGACAAATTAAATTGTAAAACAAATGAAGAGGGGATCGACGGACAAATCAATCAATTGTTTCAACGTGAATTTGTGGTTTAATTGCAGGTGCTGCGCGAGATTCTGCCTCAGATGAAGCAGAAGCTCGAAGAAGACGCCATGAACGGCACCTCGACCACCACCATCACCGAAACAATCACTTCCAGGTAATTACAAAAAACATAACAATAATATTACAATCTGATCAAATAATTTAAATTAATTCAGTTGAGCTCATTTGAGCTAATACAAAATAACGAGTTTTTATAAAACCATTAATTGGATTTCAAAAAGGAGAGCTTCAGAACCCACTGATAAAATGTTGTGTTCATTATTATTTTAAAAATTAATTTTTATAAATTCAAATCATGATAATTTATTTCAATTAAAAATTTAAATTTTTTCACTCTGCTTTTTGTACAATTTTATCACCAAATCATGAGAATTCGTTGAATTCAACTCATTTTTCTAACAAGTTAACTTTTACACCACAACAAAAGAGTGTTGGCTCAACAATGAAACAAATCCCACGCACGCACGCCACTTATAGTTAAGAATTTGAAAATTGCCCGCGTGCAGCTCTAAATTTTTTTGGCTATTTCCATGCGTGAAATTGTAGGAATTCATTCGTGCTTTTCGGTGGGCGCGAAATCGACCACGAAAATAATATAGAATCGCGCGTGACAAAAGCGGCACAGTCCACCGAGACTTATCAATTGGAGTGAGTGCTGATGACACTGACACACACGATTGCCGCCGTTAACCTCTTTTTCCACTAGACTGCGAAACAGCCGGAAAGAAAGAAGGTTTATTGCAAAAAGTAAAAATGAAGCTTGAGCCAAAATTGGAGCAAATGGATATTAAAATATTTAGTCATTGCAATTGTTGAAATCTCCAAATCACTGAACAAACTAAATCAAATCGACCTTTTAAACAATATTCACAGATAAGCAATCAATATTTTTCTTTATTTAAATTGAGGCTCGAGAGAGCAATCTGAAAAAAAATGAATCAATTAAAAACAAATTTAAAAAAAAAATTATATTTTCTGAACACAGGTCAAGCACGCTTCCGCGTGGCGTTCGGTCTTTGGACATGGAGGTGAGCGACCCTACCGTGTACAGGGGCAGCAACACCCTTGAGAGGCGGACGGTGGTGACGTCGTCGAGCTCGAGCAGCGTCCAGCAGCGGTTCCGCCCGCCCACCATCAACCTGGGCACCTGGAGCGAGCGGCCCAAGAGCGAAATCGCCCTGAAGCAGGACTCGGACTACAGGGTGGGCGTCGGGCAACTGCAGGCCAGGGCGGCACCCATCGTGCGGCAGGCCGAGCCCAAGCCCAAGGAGACGCTCCACCTGCTCGGCTCCAACGGCGACCCCGTCACCAGGAGCAACTCGTGGCGCGTCCTGCAGCAGCCGCCCTACAAGTCCAGCGTCACCATTCACAGTCTTGCCACTGAACAGGTACCAAAAGTAATCTCACAATTACATTTTAAAACAACACAAAATTCTTTATTAAATAAATATTTCAATTTTTTTGTTTCCAAAAAGAGAAGAAAATTAAACAAATTTTGGAAATTATTTGAATCTCACAATCTTCTTTTAAATATTTTCAATTTTAAATCAATCAAAATGACCGGCTAATTCTAGTTGAAATTTATTTAATGGACAATATTCAATTGTATTTTCTTGAAATAGGTGAAAAATTGTAAATTGTAAATTTGGGATTTAATGAAGCTTTTTTGATAAAAAATTTATATAAATTTAATTTTTCAATTTTATTTCATACTTTCTTTTATTACAATCCAATTTTGTTGTTTAGATTATAATTTTTAATCATTTCGATTTATTTTAACACAATTTTTAATTTTCATTTTCATTATTTCAATATCTTTCCTGCAGGTCCGAGCGAGCAACAAGCCGACGGTGATCCTTCGTCAGAACCCTCCCGCCTCGTACCACCAGTCGTTGGAGCAGCAAAGCGAATTTGCCGCCCCCAAGGGCCCCCAGAAGCGGTACACCACCCTTGTGGGGCTGAACGGCGCCCCCCAGCCCACCCAGGTGACCCAGCAGCACCAGCCGGTGGTCATCGCCCAGGTGGCCCCCAGCGTCAAGGGCTTCGCCGCCCCCAGCAGCAACGCCCCAGTTAAAATCTCACCCCTGACCGCCCCCAAGCCGACGCCTGTGCCGCCTCCGCCGCCCCCTGCCCAACAACTACAGCAACCAATGGTGATCAGACCGACGGCGCCGCCCAAGAAGAAACTGCCCGTGCAGACCAGCGAGGCCCCCAGGGACCAACTCATGGACGCCATCAAGAATTTCGGCGGCAGGAGCAACCTTCGAAGGGTAAGCAATTAAAATTTATTTTACTTCAACTTTAAAATTAATTGGTTCCTCTTTCATTCAGCGTTTTTTTAATTAAATAATTTGAAATTATTTTCAATTTCAAATGAAATCATTCTTTTTCCTCTAAAGTATTCCATTAGGCGATTAGGTCAATTTTCTTTTCGAATATTATAATTGAAAGCATGAGTCACACTATCTGCGCTCATGTTTAAATTTTTAATCAAAAATCCGCTTTTCTGTTTTAGGTGAGGTCCACGCAGTAGATTTTCTTGTGTGAACTTTGATTTGATCCGAGGCAGCATCTTTCTTTGGCTGCATATTTTATTTCGTCATTCGCTCCCACGGCGAAAGTGAAACATGGAAAGCCGTGACGCCCCCAGTACGAATTTGCTGTGGAACTTCCTTCGCTTTAGAAGAGAGAAACAAAGAAGTCCTTCTACCGTCTCTAACTCCGCCAAGTATAATCCCCAGTTTTATATGTATCAATTGCTCAGCATGTATCCATGTGATATGCGGATAGATTTAGCAATAATAATTAACTACTACTGTAATTGGTCTGCAGGTAGAGTCCCGCGCGTTTGTAAATACATAATCAATTTAAAAAATGCAACGAAAATATATTAAAAAATGTGCCTGGTTAAATCTTTTACAAGTTTACGAAATTTCTTATAATTAGTTCATTTCATCGACGACTATAATGAGAGATAATTAATTCGCAATCCCAGGAAAATATATTAATTTTTAATTGGAATGCAAAAAATTAAACTTTTGTGATCCAGCAGGGGTTATAATTATTATTATTTGAAGTCGTCAGTTTTGTGTTAATTGTAAAACCTCTTAAATATCTGTCAATACTTAAAATTTGTTATTATTCATCAGGTGTGCAATTGCGGAAAACTAATACTTATAATTATATTATATGTTGTGATGAGTGAGAAATATATGATATGAGAAGCAGTGCTTGCGATAAAATACATTACATATTGTAAAAAAAATATACTCGATTTTCATTTCATGACAACCTAAAGAAGAAAGGAACAAAAATTATCCAAATAATCAAAAAAGAATAATAACAAGATATAAAATTAAATTATTCAAATATTTATTTTAAAATAAAAACAAAAACAATAATTACACTTATTTATTATCACCTTTACTTTCAACATTTTTAAAATAACTTTTATGTTGTATTTAATTAGTTTATAAATTTTATAAAAATATATTGTATCTTAATATTATTTATTATTAAATTTATAAATAAAATTTAATTTTAAATAATTATTATTATTATTTATTCTTCTCGGTGTGTACAAAAATTTTTAAATTGGAGAAAAAAAGCAAAAAAAGAGAAGAAAGGGTTTACAACTAGCAGATGCCTGCTAAAACGCCCGACATCAAAAGAGACACGGCCGCCGCGGTAAACCCACACTATCGAAAAAAAAAGAACGATAAAAATAACTCATTGTGAAAAAAAAAAATTGAACTTATCATGTGGGAAGTGAAAGTTGGAAAAATGGAAAACAGCAGCGCGCCCCGCTCATCCCCTTCCCCCTCCCCCGATATTCCCGCCGCTTGTACCAAAATAAATCAAAACCTCCTCAGGTCAGCTGGCGCATAATGCACATGGCACCCGCATTTCTGTTCTTCCGATCACTTCAATCTCCTTCTCCAGCGTCACTCTGAAGGGTACAGGGTCGGTACACGCAGAGTGATCAAACCTGTGACCTGCACACGCACCTGCCTATCAGATTCCTGTTTGTATTTCAGCCTTCAGGACCTTCAGGTAAATAAATCTCATGCATTAGTTTTGTATTTAAGAGCAGGATAGCCAGGATAAGAGAATTAAAAGGAGAAAATTTTCTCAGTAAAAAAAAGAAGTTATAATACAATAGCTATGAATAAATTTAAAAAAATCCTTCTACCTAATTTCATTTTATTAATATAAATTTTAGAAGTTGCAAGCGTCGCGCTCTCCAGCAAAATAAATCATGATAATACATATATATTTTGGCTTCATCCATGCCATTGTGAATTTTTTTTTTCAAATTAATCCTTTTAGGAGCTCAAATATAAATCAGTATGCGAGTTTTGGTTTGAAAAAATCTTTTTGGTAATTTTTGGACCAGCTGAAGCACACTGCGCTTAAAAAATATTATTTTTATTTTCGATTTTAGGATTGATGCAGACCTATATTTTGGCACAATTATGAGCAAAAGTAAAAAGAAGAATGTGTATAATGAGGATGTGGAAAAAAAAATTCGCCACATGCAGTACATCGTTCACCAGAAATGTCCCCAGGAAATTTCACCCACTGAGCTAGCAGATAAAGAGAAAGAGAGTGAGCAATTTTAAATAAAATTAAAATAATTTCCTTCAACTCATATTGTACTCTCCAAAATTTCAGCATTCTTATTCCTTAAACTGGTCAATCATGTGGAATTTTTACCTTACCTTCCGTGGATCGAGTGCTGCAAGGACAATAAACAATCATCAGACGATGTTCTATCGACTCGAGACTCATTACTCGACAGTGTCTTATTCACCAAAAACAAACTGCTCAGGACGCTCTACGTTACCCAGACATTGGCCATGCCAGAGTATGCGGACAAAGAATTATACAACTCACAACTTTTGTTCTGCAACAAAGCAAAGACTGAGGAGGATCGAATCTACGACCTTACGATGGCAACTCGGACAGCCTTCAGCATTGAATGCTCTGGTCTCTCCTTCTGGAGCAAGGTGGACGAGGCCGCCAGGAATAATGACGAGTCTGCACTGATGGCCTTAACAGCTTTTATCACCAATTACTCTTCGAAGAAACTTCTTGCCCATAGAATGCAAAACCCTGGAAAGACGGAAACGGGCACCGCTGAGGATTTCCTGTTCAATGAAGGTGTCCTGTGGCAACTGCATTTCAATCCTGTCCTGCTCAACCAGTGGCTTGTAGCAGCTCAAAACACTTTGCTGTTTCACAGAACAAAATACATTTGTTATATTAACAAGAGCTCGTCCTTCCCACCACAGATTGCCCCTTCCGTCCAACTTATTTTTGTGTTCTTTAGAGATCTTCAGAGAAGACTTAACTACGGATTTGCGCTGATTGGCCATCAGGTGAAAATGTTTCCAGAGAAAGACGAGCGAGTGACTAAACTGATCATGGAGGACGTTGTTGCACCCTGTTTGGCCTCTCTGAAGGCCTTCCTCTTGGATGATAATAACAAAGCATTATTTGAGTACCTCATCACAGCTCTTCCAGGTATCATTGTGGAACTTCGGGCCAGGTCCGATCCATCTGTTGAAAACAAGGAAGTTTTCTTCCATAATGAGAACATCCATGTGGACCCTGATGATGAACTAGAGGAATCCATGTACACCTTTCTGTACTGGGTCAACAGTGAAAAAGTGATCAAGCCTTGCTTTGGTGACATCCGGATCAAAATCGAGGACCTGAAGGCGAAAATCAATGAGAGCAAGATTTTCCCACTTTTGGACAAAGCGCTTATTTACATGAACTCACTGGACAAAGCTTTAAGCAAGGTTTATCTCTCCGATGAAGTAAAAGTTGAAGATGACACCAAGAGCAAATTTTTAAAATATTTAATTTTATGTTACGTGAAAAATCACAACGGAACCGAACTTCTCAGTATCACTCACAGCAGTTGCTTTCTAACTTTGCTTCTTCAACTGCAAAAGTCCATCATGTTCGATTTCCTATCTAGAACACTCTCTTATGTTGCAAACCAAAAAACATACCAAGAAGACACTGCTGAAAAATTCAACTATAAGGGTGAAGATTTGGAACTAAACATTAGGAACTTCAGCATATTTGAAGAGAGTGGCGGCTTTCAGCGGATAGCTGATTATTATTTGAAGCAATGGGATGGATCCAGCTATATTCCTGAAACGTTTATGCAGATGCTGGACCAAGCCAAGCCACAGAATTCAATTGAGGTAAAACCCCTTAGAAAAATTTATTTTTATATAATTTAAAAAAAATCTAATCTTTTAGGAACGAGTGTACCAACTGGCAAAGGAAATGGTCTGTCTGGAAACTGAAAGTAATACAAGATACCCTAACTGGACCTTCATCTACTACATCCTGCCAGCTTTGGTCAATTGCTTCCGCAAAGATAGTAGCACCGAATTCAAGCACAAGTTGTCCGTTTTCTTCCTTGAGGAGCTAGTCGAACTTTTTTCCAAAGATCACAATGCTTGGAAGTCTCGATCAGATCCTGCGGATTCAACAAACAACCTGCTTTCAGGAAATCCGAGCTATGCAACATCCATTCTGGCATTTAGGAAAATGTTCCTGGACCGTATTTGCAGTGTGGTGCCAAAGAAGTTCAGAACAATCTCAACTCCGATAATTAAGTTGAATGAGCTGCTCTCCCAGAACGCAGCCAACAATGTTCCATCCGCAGACCCTGCCATGACAAATTATCTGCACAGGTTTGCCCTGGATTGGACCCTGAAAGGTGCTCAATGGACGAACATGATAATTTTCGCCCTGACTGAAGGCATTGCCAGATTTGGGTCTTTGTGTGCATCTGCCGAGGCTTCACCAGCGTCTTCACAGCTCAAAAGTCTGCTGCTGGCAGTTTACTCGATGATTGAACTGGTGAGCGTTTTCGAGACTGAGTCCTCTTCGGCCAAAGGTTGCACCTTCAGACTGCAAACACTTGAGGAGGTGTACTTGGAACTGGTGGGAGGAAGCAAAGGAAAGGGCAAAACTGCAGTCACAGCCTGGCAAAGACTCGGCGTCCTTCTGCACCAACTGTACGAAATGTGCAAGACCGTTCGAGTCCCGGAGAACTTCACCCCACCAAACTACTACCCTGAGGACACCAAACTCATTCTCAAGTACTTTTCCCAAAAGGACCTGCGCAAGCTCAAGCTGGAAATTGCTTCGATGTGCATCAATCCTTACCGCGAAAATCGGACTTGGGTTACCTTGGAAGACATCAGGAAACCTGCCGAAAAGCTGTTGTTTGCGCCGTACCTGTCGAGACTTGATAAAGAAGAGGACAAAATCAGAAGCTGGGACGAAGACTTGCTATTGCCCCTGAAGCACTGCCGTTTCTGTGGAAGCGTCGAAGAGAATCTGGTCATGTGCAGCTTTTGCGACGATGACGAAGAATATCCTGATGTCAACTGGTTCTGCAGAGAGGAGTGTGAGGATCTTGCCATGAAGAAATGCCAGCACAACGAGGAGCATGACAAATTCATAATTGAGAAAATCTGTATTTGAAATCAGATGAAATTCAATTCTTTCCTACTTACATTTTAAAAATATGATATCTCCATTAATTTTTAAATAATTTTTGTGTTTTTTTACTGTCACTAAACCTGATTACTCTAATTACAGTGAAACATTTAATTTATTTTACTATTTTCAAAAAATTGATGAAATGGTTAATTTAAAATTATAAGTTTTTTTATGTTTTACACTTTATTTTCATTGATTTTTATCAGTGGTTAACTTGGTACAACAAAAGTTCAACATAAAATACAATCTATTTAGCTTTATATTATGGATATTTAGCAGCAAATTTGGGTTGGTTACAAGTTACAATGAAAAGTATGAAAAATCACAATGTTTTAAGGGCCATAGTAGATCTCATATTATTTATGGAGTTTTCTCTTACCTTTACATAACATTTAATATTGTCATCTTGACATAAGTGGTCCACGGAATTATTATTACACAGTTTGGATTAATTGTAATCTCACGCATATCAATTAATTAAATACACTTTTTCGCACTTTTCAAATCACTGAGTTCTGTGATGAATTTACTTTTGGCATCTTCTCATGGGAAACTGCTCAGCCAGTGGAGCTGCAACATTTTTTGATCAGTGCAGAACTTTTCTGTGGGATTCAACAAAATCATGCAATACCATTCCAACGAGTATAAAATTAATGCTTTAAGTGAGACTAAATGCAAGTGGGTGCAGAATAAAATTAATATATACCATGCTAGTTTTAGATTTAAGACAGAGAATTTAAGATTATACAAAAGTCAGAGCAATTTTTAGTTATTTACAATAATTTGTTGAGAAAAGGCTTAAGGCTGATTTCCCATTAAATCAATTTGTCACCCAGATCGAGAGTTGGTCTCACCTAAGACTTTTCTGTTTGACGTACGGGTTTTGAAGAATCCGAGGGGTGGTTTCCATCACTCGGAGCAACAGGTCGTCCAGGTAGTCCTCCATGTCTTTCATTCGCTTTTGCTGCAGCTCGACGGCGCATTGCAGGTTGCAGACCAGCTCAATCAGCTCCTGAAATAAATAATTAAATTTAATAACTGGTGTAAAAATTAAAATAACTTTAAACCTCTCTGGATTTGTCCTTGAACTTCTCCATCACTTCTGAGGGAAGGCGTTTTGATGTGATTCTGGGATTTGGCTTGTCACTCTCGCCCCCGATTATGATCCTCTCATACGGGGCGTTGGCATTGATTAGAGATACCACAGTAGGTTTTGTTGGTGTCAAATCATTTGGCGAATCTATTCAGAAGTTTTAATTACTTTCCCAATTACAATATATATTTTACTACCTTTTTTGAAGGCCTTCAACTTGCGGGAAAAGATTCCATCCTTCTCCTTGGGCTCCTTTTCCTTATTTTCTTTATTATTGTCCTTCTTCTTCTTTTCCTCCTCCTTTTCAGTCTCAACAATGATTTCCTTGAAGCTGCTCTTGGACGGAACTCTCGGCATTGGCTGCGGCGCCAAAGTCTTCTTCGGTGAGGGAGGCTTTTCCGGCTCTTTTTCCTTCTCCTTTTCAGGCTCCTCCGGTTGTTTTTCCACTTTAGGCGCTTCTTCTTTCCAAGATCTCCGTTTCAACGAACCAGATCCAATCGAAATGGTATCTAAATTTTTATTTTTTACAATTTGATTCCAAATGAATTAAAAATCTCACCTTTGCGGCCGAAAATTTTCTCATCCCACTCATCCACAATGGTAGTTTTCTCCGGAGAGTTTCTGGGCGGCTTTGCAGGGGCAGCAACGGCTGGAGGAAGTTCCGACGTGCGCCTCAAAAACTCTCCTCCGGCCAAATTCTCAAGTGAATTGGCCACTGGCAGGGTGGAGGTGTTCGAGTACGAAGACGGCACTGCATTGCTGTTGCTGAGCGAACTGGCTGAACTTTTGTGAGAGAGTTCGTCAAACTATTCAAAATAAATTTTTAGAAATATTGCACATATTGATCAAATTTAGACTCACAGCAAACTCATCTTCGTCTTCACTGATGACCCCAGGGTCAGCCTCTCCTTTGATTTGACCTCCTCCCAAAGTCCTTCCAGTCATGCGGGAGAAAGAGGGCGAGTCTTCAACATGACTATTGTCAAAACTTCCTTCCTCCTTGAAAGAATCACTTCGATGCTTGTCTTTTCTTGAAACTTTGCTGCCTAAAATTTAATTATGGAAAGAAATCATAAAAAAACTTATTCAATTTTAATTACCTATTGACTTGGCAAATCTCTTCAAGCTTTTTCTTTTATCAGAACTTCCAATACTGAGCAAACTTCCACCTAAAAATTATGATTTTATAATTATTAAATTTCCAAACAAATTTGAAATTTTGCTGATCATTTTCTTACCAGCGTCAATTATTTTTTCCTCTTATTGTAAGCATTAAATTATAAGAATAAAAAGGATTTTCCTTCTTAAATACAGTATTAATTTGAACTAACCGACTGAATGGGCCACTTGTCCGAGTTGTCCGAGAGAGGATTTGTGCTTCTCCTTTTTGCTGAGGTCGGTCAAACTGCCCGCCTTGACGATGAACGCAATTTTGACCTCGAGCTCTCCACGCGGCTTGTTCTTCTCCTTGCCGGGCTTGCTCTTCAGGGTGTACCATCTGGAATGTTAATCAGAGATTTGCATTGAATGAAAAAAGGATGCACAATTTGTATTCCAACCTGTTGCGCGGCCTCTCGTAGACGTCAAAATCAGACAGTGGGATGCTCACCATACCGAGAAATTCGTCCACGCCCAGAAAGTTCCTGTGCAGAGCCGAAAGCACCACTTCGGCCGTGTTCCCATGTTCGGGAATTTGCCTAGAAATTATTTAAAAATAATTTTTTTTATTCATTGCTTTATTTCATAATATAAAAAAAGATTTTTATTTAAAAAATGCATTCAAATTTCTTTATATTAATTAGCTTGTAAATTTTTTATGCAATATTCCTATTGATTAGAAAAGAATATAAAGTTTCGTGTGAGAAAGTGAATGAGATTTTTTATAAAGAAAGCGCAAGTTTGTACTTTTAAATTTCCACATTCACTCCATTGCAATTTTTACAATATCATGTGTTGGCAGAGAATGGAGATGGATTGCATTACTGGATTGAAATTAAAAACTGCCTGTTGTTGAATAAGTAATGCAAAATGTCAGAGAAATGTCTTTGTTTTCAAACATTTCCTTATTGAATTAAAACTGATTTTATTTCAATTAAATGTTTTCATATTTTTTACAAATTTTGTTTTATATATCAATTTGCAAGATAAATTTTTTCTCATTTTAGTTTGTTTGAAGAAAATACGCAGTCATCTTCTTCAAATGTGATCAGTTGACTGCATTAATTAAATTTAATTTTCAGAGGTTTGGCAGACCGAAACGAGACGAATCAACGCATCAAGAGTTTTGACTTACAGTTCGCATTCTTCGTGCCATTCGACGGCGCCAGATGCTTTTTCCTTCACCGACGTTTGGTACTTTTCTTTGCCCAGCGCGATCGTGACGAACGCGTCGTTGGTGCCTGAAATTTTCAATAAACCTCAGTGAACACTTCTTTGTTAATTGGCCCAGTGTGCGGTTTTCCAGATAAGAATAAAGTGAAAGAAAACCGCTTTCGGCGGAAATCGTGACTGCGTGTGAAATTGGAGAATTTAACAAGATTGAGAGAAATTCATCACATATTGTTATTAGAAGAAAATTTTAATTAGTTTTTAAATATTAATTCTCACCATTTTTTCCTTTGGTCAGCAAATCTCTCGCTTTTTGAACTGAAACAAAAAATTAATAAAATATAAAATTAATAAATAAAAAGGTAACTTAGGATTTGGGATTCAAAGAGAGCAAAAAAAAATTAATAATCTCAATTTTTTAAATAAATTTTAATAGACTTTTTATCAGTGAATGCCTTTGAACAGTTATAATTATGGAACTTGTGCAAATTTCTATTTCGATCACACGCCACGTTGATGGTACGAAGTGAAAAACGGTGCGCAACAATAAAATTTACAGCTCTCTTTCTCTCACAGGTGAAAACAATATTACGGACGTCAAAAGCAGGCGGTGATGTAAAGAGGCGGCATTTATTTGCACTTTATTAAGAGCAGGTGAAACCTTGGTGTGCGATAAAATTAGCAAACACCCAGCAATGCCATCATCATGCTGCGTGCGCTGCACACCGGAACGGAAAAAAATTATTTTTATATTTTGTTGCCAAATCCGTGAAAAACGCAGACAAATTTTCAAGGTGGCTTCGAAAACGGTAATTAATTTTTGCATTCAAGCTCGTTGGAAGGGAATGGACTGATTGGAAGTTATTATTTCTTACGTTACTAGAGCATTACGAAAAAGTGTTTATGCAGAATGGTTAAAAGTGTTGAAAAAGAGAAGAGAATGCGTTTGAAGGTCTTCTCACCAAATTAAATTATTTCAGAGCGATTTACAGAAAGTTCAATGTGCATTCAATTTTTAATTGAAATGAATTTATCACTATCCAAGAATAAACTCTTGTGAAAATATAAAACTAATAAAAACTTATAATTGATTGGACAAAATTAAAATATAAAAAAAAAATTATGATTTGTGATTTGGATTAAATTCAACAAAGTGCAGGAACTACTGTAAATTAAAATTGGCATTGTAAATTTTACAGCTGTTTTTAAGATTTGATAAGAACTCCTAGCCTAGCAATCAATCAAACTCTTCCTGTTTATTTAATCCCCCTTGATATAATCTTCTATAGCTCTGATTGATAACATTTCTAACTACAAAGTTTTAATATGTTTTCTTATTAAAGTTAATAAACTTCAAAATGCACTTGGATGTCATCAAATTTGAATAAAATGTAGCAAAAAAATTGCGTCTTTTTTTACTAAATATCACAAAATTTTGATATGCAATATACATTTTTGAGGCTTGTTATTGATATAATTAAATTTAAATGTTTTTGAAACATTTCTTAATTGCCCCATTTTAGCTAAAAAAAAAAAAATAGTTTATTCCTTCCATAAATAATTATCTTATCGTTCAAATAATCAACTTTGTCTTTAAATTGTTTACTAAAGAAATGAAATTTTATGAATGGATTGTTTCAGAGAGCTTAATTTAATTCCGCGGAAAGATAAAAATATTTATTGCATCAACCTAAAAACAATTATTGTCATGAAGCCCTACAAAAAAATTTACGACTCTGAAAACAAAAAAATGTTTGATTTAACACAAAAATTTGTTGATATTTTTAAATTTCATTTCACTGAAATTATTATATTATTTTATCAAATTAAAAATTTAACCTTTCGAGATCTAAATTTTCAATAAAATTCGAGCTTTCGTGATTTCCGGGAATTATTACTGTTGCACGCGAAGTGGAATTGGCCGAATTTTTGTATTGGGCAAGCGTGAGTGTGTTATGAAAACCGCGAGTTAGTATTTCGTGATGAGATAAAAGAAAGGCCAAGCTGCTCCAATTTTTCGCGGCTCGACTCCTTATATATTTGATTGTTTTTTCCGTCCTCTCTTCAAGAGAGGTGGCTCGGGAAAAAAAAGACTATGCAAAATGATTCCGGCCTGGCTGCGAATAAAAAAGAAAGAGAGAGAAAAGAACGGCCTTTTTAAACGTGTTGCATTCAAAGTGCCGTTATTATCGCCTAGATAGACACACTATTCACAACGGCGCTCTTTCACTCGCGCATGGATTTTTATTAAATATTGTGCGATATTTTTTTTATCTTCGAGGGGCGGAACTCGGAATTTACGCCCAGGATGTGTGGCTGAAAATAAGTAATGCGAATGTATTGAGGAAAAAACGGAAAAAATAAATGAAATTTTAAATTAGTACAAATTAAATTGTCAAGTTTTTAAATTTAAAAAAAAAAAAAAATAAAAACTAAGCTTCTGAAATGCGGATATATTTAAATAAATTTTTTCATTTTAAATTTTAAAAATTATTTCAACTAAAACCATTAAATTAAGGGGTTATTCTGTTTAAAATATTATCATTAAATTATATAATTTTGTCTTTTGCTTCAATTTGAGGAATGAAATTATCCAAGTGTTCGAAGCGTATAATTAACTCCGGAAACGACAACTCATGGAAGGACAATAATCTCTCGACTTGTTTTCAAAGTTCAAACCAGAACATGTACAGCTCTGGAGTGAAAATTGTTGCTCTCACCTGTGACCTGAACGTGCGTCGGACTCCACATCGCGAGTGTCCGTCCGAGTGTCCCAGATGTCCGGGCGTGTCTGAGTCACAACAATCGGATTATTTATTAGTCACCAGCGACACGATAAGGCGGATGACGCTGGCTGACCGACCCGCAGGTAAAACTAAAACTGGCAGCACCTGTGTTGGTTGAATTCGACGGCTTGTGTGTGACGTGACGGCGAGATTGTTGGCCCATTAACAATCGACTGCACGCGCTCGCCCTCTGCCTCAGAATATCCCAAGCACACATTTTCACTGAAGACTGATAAGTGCGCTGCTGCTCGACATCACACCGCGCGCGGTGCTCACAACTCACAATCAGAAATATAACAAAATGAAATAACAATAATTCTACGTTTTTTGGTTCATTTCTTTTTTTAATTAGAAAATATCGCGAGAATTCCAGTACAAAAAATATTAAGTATATTTCCAATTTTTTAGTATATAATTATATTTTTTCTTTTTTCTCCTCGATCAAAATTTTTTACAATTAAAAACAGCAGCAGTTTATAAAATTAAATAAATTATCTAAAATTAATTTACTGTTAACATATTTTTAAGGCCTACAATTAATTAGATTAAAAATTGCACAGATTGTTAATATTAATTATTTCTGCAGAAAAAAAATGTTGTAGAATGCACAGTTACAATAAACAAATTTTGATAAGAATGCAAGTAAATTTAAATTTAGATCCTAATTTATATATTTTTTTCCAGTGGCATTGTTAAATAAACAGCCAGATTATTAGTGGCTGATGGTTCTTGTTTTTTTTTTAACATTATCCAAAATCTCTTAGAAAAAATTGGAGAAATTAATTTGTAAAAATTGCTACTGATATATTTATATTTACATTTTTTGGGCCTGATTTAAATTTTGTTTTAATTTTAACTAAACCAAAAAACTATTAAAAATTAAGTTAACTAAATAAAATTGTCGCTTTTTTACAGAACTGATTTACTTAATATTTAACATTTCCATCGTCGTCTTCAAAACACCAGTTGCAGACAACTTTCTCCTCAGACTTACTGAAAATCAAGCCATTTTTTTTTTTTACTCTTTATTCTTAAAGGGGAAGTGTTTTTTAACCTTGTTCTTTGTGAATGCACGAGCCAAACTTTTCCTTTCGGAGTGTTGTTAATTGCATTCACTAATTTTCTGCTCCACTCGAGAGAAATGAAAAGGGCAAAAGCGGCGCCAAACCCCCGTAGAATGACAAAGTTTTGCTCTCTCCGAAAAATGCCCTTGACAAATATTTAGAAATACCACCAAATTAATTTGAAAATTTTAAGAATTCATCAATTTTGTCAGACAGGATTAAATTTAATCCTAGCTTAAATTACAATATCCTCTTATACAATATATTATGATACAATACTGTATCGTCTGCATCAATCTATTGATTCACAAGGTAAAAGATTAAATAAAGATTCGTAAATTATGCTAGATGATTTTTTTTATTTAATATTAATGTTCAAAAGTTTGCTGTCTATATCTTTAATCTTTGCAAATTATGAAGTAAAATAAATGGCCGAGCAAGAATAGGAATGTATTGTATTTGTTCATTTGAGACTGTAGAAATATTATATGCGTATTTTAAAATGAAGATTCCATAATCCTTTTATTCAATTTGAGACTATTTTAAAAAATGTTTTTACAAGATGTGTGCATGTTACAGTCTAATTATTATTATAATTTTTTTCAAAATTCAGCACTCTCTTCATCTCAATATGCTTAAACAAGGGACTAATACATGGTAATACACATCACTTTTTATAATATAAGAAAATAAATTTATCGCAATCGGCTTCCAGAAAAAAAGTGAATGCTGCGAGAACGCTACAATTGTTGTCTAAAAATTGCGTAGCTTCTCATTTACATAAAATATAAATGTGTTGTAGTACAGAATTACAATAGATAATTTATTAACAATTATAATTAAAATATTGTGATCTCAATAAGATGAGAGTTAATATTTGGCAGGTCAAGGAATGGATAAACACAAAATATTAGCAGGATATAGAAAAACTTTTATTTCCAAACAAATTAAATCGATCGATCATAGCAAATTTAAATTTAAATCATGATTTAGTCAAGGTCGCTGACATCGCTGTCATCTCCATCATACGTTAAGTAATGCGAGCTCTTGGCATGAGTGTACACAAAGTTTTCAACAGCATTGAGTGCTTGCAGTGGAGATTCCTCAATCAGTTTCAAGAACGAAGGATGAGCACCAAAGTAATCCATATTTTCAAGTCGGGGAGCATGGACTGGCAGCAGCAGGAGGAATTTGAGCAACTCGGCAGGCTGCTCAAGGTGGGAGCCAAACTGGAACTTCCTTAGTTTCTGCAGAATTTTACCATCAATCAAAGGTCGGTGCAATTGAGTGAAAACCTCATATGTCATGGTAAAGCTTTCCTTCATTGTGAAGCGCTCAAGAAGTGGAGCCGTCAGGACGAGGGCTATCAATCGAGAGCTGTAGGCGTAGCTGAGCCTCCAGATCAAAGAGAACTCTTTCAGGTTTAGGAAGTGACTGGCGTCCAGTTGGTTATTGAAAGGCTTCGTCTCCTCGGTGTGAACTAGAAAAAAGTAATGCAGCTTGTGCAGGCGCGGGCAGAGCATGAATATGTCGCACACGTCCAGCTGGTCTTGCTCTTCAAAAATCTTCACTTTGAGTTCCTCCAACTGCTTGCCACAAAGGGTCAATATTTGGAAAATGAGGCTTCCCTTGACATCCCTCACTTCCAAAACTTTCAGGTTGGTCAAGAAGACACAGGGTGCTGGGTTTCCAATTATTTCATTAGAGGGGTAAAAATTAACGTGTGTCAAGTAAGGTGTGCGACGGAAGTTGAAAAAGTGGTTGGTAGTTATGCGCTCGAGTGGAAGGGGCTGTCCTGGATCTTGGGTAAAGAGAACACCATCGGCGTCCGCCATGTAGAAATCAGGTTCAACATCAAAGAAACGCAATCGAGGGAACCTCTCGACATACTCCAGTACAAAATTTCTCCGGTAGTCCTGTTGCTTTGTACGTTCCTCCTTTTAAAAGAAAAATTAATCAAAATAAATTGCAAATTGCCATAATAAAAATATCAACTAACATGACTCAGTCTCTGGTACGTTTCTCCAAACATACCCCAGTGAATTTTCAGTACTTCTATTTTCTGCAGATGAAGTAAGTTGGCAAACAAGAGGGGAGAGACTATGTTCAAGGACACGCCGAGGCTGATCAAATTTGGGAAGTGCTGAGCAATCCATGCCATGTCATCCTCGTCACACTCGTACTGCTCAAGGAGCATGTGCTGGAGATTGGGCAACTGGAGCAGGAAGCACTTGACATCTTGGAGCTTGACGATTTTGCCCACCCCTTTCTCCACTTGGTTGGGCTGCCATGGAACTGGCGCGGGATGCTTCCGAGAGTCGGAAATTTGCTGCAAATTGGGACTTCCGAATAAGCATTTTCCACGTGTCCAGGTCGCGCTGCTGGTCCAACTTGTCGTAGGTGGAAAAAACGACAAAGTCAAACTTCTTGATCGAACAGTCCAGCAGGCTGCTTAGCATTCCGAAAATCAAGTCTTTCACTGCTGGCATGGTGAGCTGCTTCTCCATTTTAATGCCCTTAGCTTGCATCCGCTCCAAGATGTCCAATTTCAAATGAAAAGCTGAAGACAAAAATTAAGCTAGAGAATTGCAATGCAGAAGCAAAACTGTGAAAAGCACTTACGCAAGTGTGGCAGCAGAGGTGACGATTGGATTTGGTCGTCGTAGCTGATGATCCTACGCATGGCCAATTCCTTCAGAGGCAAAAAGTTTTTAATTCTCGACCTCTTTGTTTTGGCAATCGCCAATGCATTGCGAAGCGTCGGAAACGTTACAAAATCGCTGTAAAATAGTGGATGAAATTAATAATCGCAAATTTTAATAGCAGTGGATTTCAACAGCACCAATTTTTTTTTTCAAAATCATCAGTATATAGGGTCAAAAATATTTTGAAAATATCCCTATTTTAAAGTTAACAGTTATCAGAAGGGGTCCCGATTATTGAATTTCAGACTATTTGAAGACATTTTTTTAAACGTCTTTATTTTTTGCCAACGAACTCTAATCAAAACTTTTGAAAATTGAAAACCTTATGCAAAAAGACATGCCGCATCTTTTGGTTATCTTGGATTTTTTGTCGGGTTGCCTATTTTAAAGAGACAAAAACTGTAATTTGACCCTCCTCCAGGGTCAATGACCTTTGACCCTGTTTGACCTACAAACTTGGTGACCATAAAGAAAAGATACCTTGATGGTTTAGCTTCAACTTGCGACCAAGAAAATTGAAAAATTTTAGCCAAATAAATATGGCAGCAGTTTTAATAACCCCTTATTTCTCCGGCGGCCATAAACTGGAATTTGATAAATATGAAGATTTTTCATTAGAAAGCGGTATTATAAGAACCACATTATGCACCGTGTCGTGATATTTGTTTCAGGAAATCAATATATCAATTAAATTTAAGGGCTCAAAATTGAGCTTAATTTTCTTGGAAACAAGCAAAGTGCAAAAAACCACGTTCCAGGACTTTTCTCAAATATATATTGACAGGGTGACCCCGAATTGACTGGTGCCTAACCTAAAGCAGGGTTTTCAAAAGGAACATGTTGATGGTGGGTCACACACCTTTGCCAAAGTTGTTTTCACGTACTTAAATTGCGTTTATTACGATTTTTGTGAAAAGTTTTGCAAGGATCTATGGCCATGTGTTAATTTGAAATGCGATTTTCTAAATAATTTATAGGGTGATCCTAAATTTTCTGGTTACCAAAAATGATCCATCAAGCCTGCACTATCAGTGTTCTATAGGTAATGATTTCGCGATCTGTTGAAATTCACTTAAATAATAAAATAAAACTGATTTTCTCTATAAATTCATTCATGCGGCGAGAATTATACCCAAAAAGATTAAATTTGAAGCTCACCTTGGATCCTCCATTGCGAATTGGAGCCGTAACGGATTTCCGCGATTTCAATTTTCAAGATTACGAAACAATCGGTTCTCCGCGGGTGCTTCTGCTTACTTATTTTTCTTATTTTTATTCGCATTCGCACACCTCGTGGCTCGTGGTTGTGGTTATTGTTTTAGCTTGTTTACATTTGCCAGCAGCGGCACCAAGCGGCACTGAGCTTCCCTCTCCCTTCAAATTTGCCAATCCTCTTCCCCTAAATTGCTTCGACTCTCATTGCTTCTAGATGCGCTTTAAGCTATAAAAGGAAAACTATTGTTCTTTGTCTTCTCAATTCCGTAAAATCTTAAAGTTAAATTATTTTATTTATTTCACAAGTTTTGACCTGAAATATTTAGATAAATATCTGTACCCGGACAGTGTCAATTATTCTTCTGAAACAATAGAAGAAAAAATGGAAATGAATTTTAATAAAAACAAACACAAAAACAGAACCCTATCCAGATTATTTGAGCACAAATTATTTGAAATTTACTATAGTTTTAATCCCCACTGGTTTTTCATTTCCGCTCCCAGACATTTTAATTTTAGGATTACTTAAATGTAAAATTAGAAATTTTTTAATTTGTGCTCCAATTTTTTCGTTGCGAAATCACTCGGCAGTTTTTCCCCATTATTTCAATGATTGACGGAATATTAAGAGTTCGTCAGCCTCCCCAAATTGCTTGTGGTCAATCAACGAATCAACCATCTCGAAGAGTGGGGCACAAAACTTATTAAATTGAAAAAAATATTGTTTCGTTTTATAATAATTTTCCATTTTAGTTAATGTATTTTCTTTTCGCACAAAATTTTAATACAAAATCTGTTCATTTTGAAGGTGCTTTGGACACCCTGAGCATCCGAATGGTGCCTCGTCACTCGACGGCTAATTTAATATAATTTTACATTTCCATCGTCGTCTTCGAAACACCAGTTAATGTTGGTGCAGACAACTTTCTCCTCAGACACACTGAAAATTCAATTTTTTTTTTAAATTCCTAAAAGGGAAGTGTTTTTAACCTTGTTGTTTGCGAATGAACGCTCCAAACTTTTCCTGTCGGAGTGTTGTTAATTGCATTCACTAATTCTCTTATTCTCCACTCGCTAGAAATGAAAAGGGCAAAAGCGGCGCTCGCTGCCATTAAAGCCAAACCACCGTAGAATGACAAAGTGATGCTCTCTCCGTAAAATGCCTTTGATAAATACAAAATAGAATATAATAAAAATTTATTTCAATATTATTTATGCAAATAAATATTTTTCTAACAAAAAAAAATTAATAAACAGTTTCAGGTTATACCAAGGAGTTGAGGAAAGGCGCTGCCATGAGACACATTCTCGCCACCGTAACCAAAATCATCCCCAAAAAGGGTCCACTAGGGGCGATTAGCTGGGCCGAGGCGCCGTTTGACATCATTGCTAGAGAGCAAGCGATTGCGATTCTCCCCACAAAGGCCAGCCAAACCATCGTCCAGCCAGCCCGACCTCCACTTTCTGTTAATGAAATTTTTTAAATTATGAAATTTAAAAATTCAATTACTTTCCATTCGGGGGAATCAGCCAAGAGCAAACGCAACACGTTCCTCCGACGAAAAGCAAAAGGCTCAAAAATCCAAATTTGTATTTGGGTTTCAGCAAAAGGATCATTCCAGAAAACGTGCCAACAATCTCAGCAAAACCTTTAAAAAGTAATACATGCTTCAAATTTTTTTTTAAATAAATTTGAATAATACCAGATATTGTCGTTCTCAGAGGCAAACTGGTGCCGCCGACGTTTTTTATATTCAAAAGAGCTCCGTAGTAATTCACAACGGTCCCAATCCAGATTATTTGAGCACAAATTATTCGAAATTTACTTGTCTTCATTTCCACTGGTTTTTCATTTCCCCTCCCAGACCTTTTAATTTTAAAAATAAATAAAAAAAGTAAAATAGGAAATATTCAATTTACGCCAATTTTTTCGTTGTGAAATCATTCGGCAGTTTTTTCCCATTGCAATGAGCGGCGAATATTAAGAGTTCGTCGGCCTTGCCAAATTGCTTGTGGGCAATCAACCATCTCGGAGAGTCGGGCACAAAACTAATTAAATTGAAAAATTTATAGTTTCAAATGGGATGAAATAAAAATTTACCAGAATAATATTAGGAATATTATTGATGGAACGGAAATGATTAATTGCAAATTGGTCCATGACCCTGCAATGCTGTGCAACCAGCCTAGAGAGATGACGCCAATTGACCAGAAGTGCTCAAAACTGACTCCCAAAACTATTTTCCTCCAGCCAGCAGTCAAGTCAAAAACTGAAAATAATTATTTATAAAAAAATAAACTATCTAAAACAATTTAAAATTGATATAGAAATTAATTAACAATTACAAAAATTAATTCGGAAATTTCCATACTGATTTGATGCGTTGCTGTGAACATGAAGCACAACCCTAGGCCGATGAGGCTTTTCAGCAGACAGTGCACTTCGAAAATTGGTTGCAGGGCGAGCGCGACTCCAGCTGTCACCTGCAAGGTCGCGCCGCCTAAAATAAGAACTCGCGGCGACAACCTGTCAAAATTTAAGATATAGTGAAAAACATTCATCGCGAAAAATAAACTACACCATGCGAGATAAAGTTTTGCAAAAAGGAAACAAAAATTGTACTTACTTTTTTGATATGAAATAAGTGATTATTCCTCCGCCAGTTATCCCCAGGAGGTAGAAAAATTGCACAACATTCACAAGCACGCTTCTGTCACAAACGAGAGACCACTAAATATTTAAAGCATTTTTATTAAAATTAAAAATTTTGTGAAAAATTCAATTTATTAATATTCATAAATCAATATTTCATTAAAAATAGTCATATTGCATTTTTTTTATTATTTCATTTTTTAATATTATTTAACCCTCTTAAAATTTTAATTGTGCAGTGTAAAATTATTTAGAATAAAAAAATACATCTGTTTTTTTCATACCTGAGAGACCATCGTTGGATATTGGACTAGAAATTCAAAATTATCACACTTGATCAGTTCCGAGGTGGACGAGTTCCCATCTCTTATATCTCCTGGCAAAAACGTGTTACAAGGGTTGAATCCAAGGGCATATCTCTTAGAAAATTAAATTTTAGAGTATAATTAAATTGACTTAATATGGCTGTGAAATTAAGAATATTAATTATTTTTACTACAAATAAAGTTCCTTATTTTCATAAAAGATTCAATTTCAAAAAATTGAGCTCAACTGTACTGATTTTGGCATCTTGATTAATATTTTATTTTTTAAGGAAAACAATTAATATTGCTTTGATTGAAAAATTTTAATGCATTTTCAAAAACTGTAAAACTGAGAAACGTTCTAAAAAATGACCTTTTTGTAAAAGAATTAAGAACTTTTACTTCTCTAATTTTTAGATTCACAGCCCCAATAATTAATTTATTTATTAAACACAAATTGAATTTACCTTGTCCTTTGGATGCCACCTGTCGATCCACTCACTCGGCGCCACTAATTTCTGCGACTCGCTATCATTTCTGGCGCAAAAGTAGGTTCCGCCGAAGGTCTCAGGGTTGGGCGCCAGGAACAAGATGCTGAGCATGTGCCAGGCGGCGGGAACTTTGACCAGGGCGATGAGGAACAAGGAGCCGCCCTGCCACACGCCGAAGGAACCAAGGGCCGCCGTGACCGGGTCCGACTGCCACATTTTGCCAAAGTCTGTTTATCAAATGAGTCGGTTCGGCGAGTTGGGCCTTTTAAAGTATCGCAAAAATTATCGCGGTGCTAAATTTATGGTCACGTTAGCGAGCCCTGGCATTGAGAAGCGCCGGACGATACTTGCACTTTCTTCAAGGAACCGAATTACTCACTTGGGCTTAATTTTAATTGCAAACATACTCCTATTCTAATATAACTTTGATTATTTTTACTTTTCAAAATATTTGAAGCTGAAAAATTTGACAACTCTGGCATTTAATCTTTTAAGTTATACCATACATTATTTGAATATTATTTTTAATATTTAAAAAAACTACAGCAGTTTTTTTTTTAAATACATAAATGCATTAAAGTTTACTCATCATAATATTAAATTTTTTTTTATAAAAAAAATTCAAAACAGTTTTTATTCCTAACACATAAATAAAGCATTACAAAATATGATCAATTTAATTCAATACATGAAAAATAAAAAGTTATTTCTGCTCATGAGTTTTGTAATCAGTACTTTTGTTATAAAAATAAAATCACAGCCTTTGGTCTTTGACTTGCTGATGCGTGATGTGATTGAAATCGGTCTGAAAATAAACTAATTATTAAGCTTTAAAATTGATGATATAGCATCTGATCTTGCTCTTTGCTGGGTCAAGTGGCCATATATGTTGACGTGACAAAAATCTTGTCCACGCACAGAGAACAAGAAACCTTTGCTCTAGTTTAATTATAGAAAGAAAATGTATTACAATATAAATAAAAATAACTATGTTTAAGTTTTTAAACATAATCTCCGACTTAATTACTCAATTTTTAATCTTAAAATATTTAAACTAAAATACAATTATTAGATAATTATCTGACGGATGAAATTTCTCCATTTTTACTTAAAAATGTAAAATTTAATTGTTAAATATTTAAGACAAATTATCATTTATTTTTATCGCTTTAATTCAAATTCATTTAATTTGCGTTTAATAATTAATAAATATTTCATAACTGAATGAAAGGTATTTCACTTGCATATTCAGATATGTCTCATAGCTGTCGACTATAATTAAAAATAAGTGCCTGCATAGCAAAGTAACTAATTTTTTTAAATACAAACTCGTCATTTGCAGCACAAGCAAATTATGCACCAAGAGAAAGTCAGTTTACGCGCCGACAGCGCAAACAAATTGCTCCAATGTCCCACTTGAAATTCAATTATACACCATCGAACGAATACAGTCCGCACAGGTGTCTTTTTGCTTCGCCTACGCGCGATCTAATTAGATATTTTATATAATATTCTCTCAGTCTGTATCACAACAAGAAGTTGTTCTGCGTGCGTTGAATGGTGTAAAGTAAAATTCACCTTGGCTCCATTCTGGACACTAAAGCGCCGCGCGGCCTTTCTTTATTCCCGGCGCACACCAAAGGCAAACTCGGCTTTGGCCGCAGTGAGTGTTCGCCTCTCAAGGGAGCAACATCCACACCGTCCGCTCTCTTCGAACTCATTTTTTTTTGAACCGCAGCTGTGATTTTCCACGAGTATGTGGTCACTTTGTGATTCCGTGCAGGTGAGTTTTTTGTTCTTAAACTTTGGTTCGAAATTAATTTAATTCGATCGAAGGTGAAATTGACATATTATTGGTAAAAAACTTTCTCTCTCGACGGCGGACTCGATTTATTTTACACAAAGTTGACACACTCGGCGTTGGTATTGCACAATTTTTAGCTCGATTTTTTGTGTGAAGACTGCCGGTGAATTTGATTCAAGTCATATGTACAATTTATCTGCAGCATTTAGACCTGAGCGGAAATAGTGCGGTTTTCTGGTTTTTAGATTAACATAAAAAAAGGAGGAAAAAGGCTATAAGGATAACATAAATGCATTTTTTGATTGTTTTATAAATTGTGGTCAACATGATGGAAAGTAAAATTTCTTTTCCTTTCTAGTGATATTTTTACTCGTGTCACTAAATAATTTGTGATTGTAATTTTTTTAACTTATCACTTTTTAATGAAAAAATAAAGGTTAATTTTAATTGAAAAGAGAAAAAGTGAAAAATAAAATTGCAAAAAAGTGTATATTTTCAAATTGAAATATTGATGCAATAACGCTGTCAATTATAAATATTATTTCCAATATTTTTTCCTTATTATACCTAAAAGAACCGTCGCTTCTTTTGGTAAATATATTTATGTTTTCCAGGTAAAAAGGATCGACTTATTGCTTATATTGTTAGATTGTTACTATGCGATTAAAAGTTATATCTTTTTTGGTCTAGACAATAAAAAAGATTCGCTTTGAGCAAGCTTATCAAATAACCATTCATATAGCCTTGAGAATTTTGTCTCTTCTTTTGGTGTCATGTGACAAAAAAAGGATCGAGTGTGTCTTGATGATTAATTTTTGTTTTTTTTTCTCACAAAAAAAATTGATTTTGTGGGAAACACGTTGGCAAAGGAATGCAGAAACATGAGAACCGGTCAAAATAATAAAATTGTAAACAAAATTTCATAAATTCAATCAACAGAAAAATAACATTAAATTAATTTAATATGGCGCGACTTGTCCTTTCTTTGAGAGTTACTTATGTGTGTACGTGACTTGTTTTGAAAAAATGCAAATGAGGAAAATATTCAACTCTTTATTCCTTCCAAGAAGCGGAGCGGATGATGCAATTATTGTAACTCCCTTGGTTGACATTTTAACGATTTTCTTATCCCCACAATTTTTTAACAAGTGAAAAGATTATTAATTATAATTAGCAGCAACTTATCAACGGACGTGATTCCAGAAATTTCCTTTGTCTCCGTGCCAACAAAATTATTATCATATTCTTTGTCTCAAGAGCTGGAAAAAACATAATTTGCGTTGCTGATCTTTCAAGAAATTTTAAATTCAAATTTGGTTGTTGAGAAATCGCTTTTAGTGTCGTTGACGTTGACAGAAAGCCAATTATGTAAATCAAAGCAAAAGTCAGCGCATTTTTCAATGTGTCGCGACAACTCATCAACACAATTTGAAGAGACCAAAGGTCCAAGTCTAGTTTTTTTTTGCAATCATGGTATTTTATCAAATATCAACTTTTGATAGCCACACACTTAGCGTTCCTTATTATGATAAAATGACCCAGACAGAGTGGAAAAAATTAGTTTATATAAATTTGGTGATAAATTTCTAGAATGTCAAGTTCAATAATTATATTTTTATACAAAATATAGTCTAGTAAAAATTAACAATAAGTTTTTGCTATTTATTTTGGGAAAGTTTTTTTTAACGACGTTGATAAAAATCCCCAGCTATTAAGAATAAAATTGACCACCTTCTTATTAAATTTTTTTAATTTTTTATGAATATATATTATTTGTTCCATTACATAACAGTAAAAAAAAGTTACATTGTAAAAGTAATGAAGGTCAAAGCAATCTAATTGCATGATGTAATGGGGGTCGATTCAATCCACACGATTGCCAAACAAGAGCGATGAGCCGGAACGTTCATTACTATAATTAAAAATAGTACTTCTTGGTTTGGTCCCCTGAGCACGTGGTCGTGTATGCAACCGAAGCTCCGTGCGAGCGCAACCGATTGCATAACGGCCAGGGGCTCCTCGATCGTTACACCGATGACGTCACGCCCCCTTTTTCTGTCAGCTCGGCCACGCCCCCCTCGTCGTCCTGTCCTCTCTTTCACTTTTTCACTCGCTCGCTCCCTTTCCTTCGTAGCTCACGCACCTTCAGGGGTCTTGAGACGAAGGTCCACGTACCTGAAAACCGTAGGTAGGTCACCGAACCCTTTGAGAACGTTTTCCAACCTTAATTGAACCGAAAAGGCCTATTTTTGTTTGATTTTCTTTCTCTCGAAACCTATGACCTTTGAGGAGTCCGAATCGGTTTCGGAATTTTACTGGCCCTGTTTTGTTCACCGAATTCAGGTCTAGGTTATCACCTTTGGGGACGTGGTATGCTCAGGGTCAGTGCATGATCTTATTCAACCTGGGAATACTTAATTTAATTCAATTTTAAAAATAATCTTCGGTTCGAGATTTTTGGCTCACGTGATTTTGCGCACGGATTTTTTCGCACTCCATATGGAGCAGATTTTGCCTTATCTGATTTCTCTTTTTCGATTGCAGGTCGCACGTCAAGGAAAGGTGCTTATCAATCTGTTGAACGCGAGCAAAGCTACTGCCGGGCAATCAGGTTTGTCAATTATTTTGCAAAAGTTCGTCAAATTATGTAATTGTGGTTTTTGTGCAGCCAATTTCAGCTTAATCAAGAAAATGCCTTGCCCGTTTTTGACGCGTCTCTCTGCCACCTACATTCGCAACTATGCGCCGAGTCTGCTCAAGAACTACGGCAACCAGTGTCCGGTCGTGTCCCGCCTCATCAGCAACATGGCCAACGCCGAGACCAGCTCCTCCGAAGGTGTGATAATAATTTTGTAAATTTTCACAGCAATATATAATTTTGAGTATTAATTCAAAAACTAATTTCAAATAAAAATCATTTGTAGATGAGTTATTTAAATTAAACAGGAAACTTAATATTTAACTTTTTTTAGCTGGAGAGGCACTGAAAAAGTGCCCATTCATGTCTGACGTCAGCCTTGTCAAAGAGGCTAGCAAGGAGATGCAGGAGGACATCATTGAACATTCACCTGAGAAAGCTGCAGGTTTGTGTAAATTCCAAATCTCAGGATTTTAGTAAACCAATTAAGGATTTAAAAACGGCCGTTAGAATTTATTTTACAATTTATAAGTCAATTTCAAAGGGAAAAAATGAATGAGTTGGAAAGTTTTTATAAAATCATTTTTTAAATCAAATTTACCAGACTAAAATTGGTAAATTTTCAAAAAATCGAGTTAATATCAACACAATCTGGTTTACAAATTAATCTTACGAAACAGTTTTCAGTTTTAAGTCAAGTTTTTTAATAGTTTAGATACTGAATGCGTTTGAAATTCTAGAAATTTCACTTAAAGAGGAAAATTAAAAAAAAAGTAATATATCTTTTTGCCCTTTGGATTGCATCTTTCATGATAAGATAATTAAAACTGCTTGTTACAGATAATTGATTTAAGAAAGAATTTTACTAATTAATTACAAAATTGGCCTAAAAATATATAAAAGATTTAAATAAAATTACAATTTTAGTAAAAGATTTCTTTTTCATTATTAAAGTTTACTAAACAAAATTTGAATTTGATTGATTTTTATTGCAGAAGAAACGTTTCCCTACGAGGCATTCTTCCACAAGCAGATCATGAAGAAGAAGGAGGACCACTCGTACCGTGTGTTCAAGAAGGTGAACCGGCTGGCCAACAACTTCCCGGCGGCCAAGGAGTACACCTGGGGCGAGCAGCAGATCACCGTGTGGTGCTCCAACGACTACCTGGGCATGTCGCGCCACCCCGAGGTCAAGAACGCCGTGTATGAAGCGTTGGAGGCCCACGGGGCCGGCGCCGGCGGCACCCGCAACATCTCCGGCAACTCCATGTTCCACGAGAACCTGGAGGCGGCCATGGCCGAGCTGCACCAGAAGGAGGCCGCCCTCCTCTTCACCTCCTGCTTCGTAGCCAACGACTCCACCCTCTTCACTCTGGCGCAGGCCTTGCCCGGCTGCCACATCTTTTCAGATGCTGGTACTTAATTTTTTCATTTTAATCTATTTAATTTTTTCAGAAAGGAAATGAAACTTTTTACCTCCCTTGTAGACTAAGGAGAATTAAATTTGAAGTTAGCCAAAGATGTTCCATGTCATTTTGCATCAAAGCACAATTTTTAAAAAATCTGAATAAACCTTTTTCAAAATTTTGTTGATTTTTCAAATAGAAAATAGAGATAATAATAGAAAATTAGGATTTTTTTGGCGTGTTTTTGAGTATTTAATTGAATATTCCATTCAAATTTGTAGAATTTCAACAAAAATTGATGTTTAAATTTGTTTAATTTTGAAATGACTGAAGATTTTTGTAATAATTTCAGGTAACCACGCTTCGATGATCCAAGGCATCCGCAACAGTCGAGTGCCAAAGCACATTTTCCGACACAACGACCCCAAGCACTTGGAAGAGCTTTTGTCCAAGGTGGACAAAAGTGTGCCCAAAATCGTGGCCTTCGAGACGGTGCACTCGATGACCGGCGCCGTTTGTCCTCTGGAGGAACTGTGTGAGGTCGCCCACCGCTACGGCGCCCTGACCTTCGTCGATGAAGTTCATGCCGTCGGACTGTACGGGGAGCACGGGGCAGGAATCGGCGAAAGGGACAACCAGATGCACAACATGGACATCATCTCTGGCACCCTTGGTAAAATTTAAATTCTTTCTAATGCATAAATTGGTTTTCTAGCTTTATTTTTGCATAAAATCTTTTTGGGATTTAGTATTTGAATCATTAAAATTTTTAGTTTTGTCCCGAATAAAAAAAAAAATGAAAAAAAATATAAAAATTCAACAAAATTAGTTAAAAATGATGGAAAAATGTTCAAAGTTTCCAAAGTTTAAGAAATTGGTTGAAAGTAAAATTGAAGTATGTTAAATTGGCCATATTTTCACCGATTTTCAAAAATTTGCATCCATTTTTAATTTACAATTAATTTTTATTTCAGGCAAAGCATTTGGAAACGTGGGCGGCTACATTGCCAGTTCGTCCAAGTTGGTGGACATGATTCGCAGCTACGCAGCCGGGTTCATTTTCACCACCTCGCTGCCCCCGACCGTTCTCAACGGGGCACTCAAAGCTGTGCAGATTTTGGCCTCCGAGGAGGGGAGACAGCTGAGGGCCCTGCACCAGGACAACGTCCGGTACATGCGGTCCAAACTGCTGGCTGAAAAGCTGTCCGTCGAGCACACCCCCTCGCACATCATTCCAATCAAGGTCGAAAATCTTATTCTACTTTAAATTTTTCAAGAAAAATTTAAATTTAAAAATTTCATCTATTTTTACCGTGATTTCATTTTAGATTGGAGACCCAATGAAGAACACAATGGTGTCGGACCTTCTTCTTAAGGAGTACGGCCACTACGTCCAGGCCATCAACTACCCCACTGTACCAGTCGGGGAGGAAAAGCTTCGTCTGGCGCCGACTCCGCACCACACCAGGCCCATGATGGACCGGCTGGTGGCAGACATTGTCAAAGTCTGGCACAAAGTGGGACTTCCACTCACTGGCCAGGTCTGCCCTCAGGTAAAATACTTGAAAGATTAAATAATCCAACCTTTGTATTAATTTAAAATTTTTAGGCGTGCACTTTTTGCCAGAAGCCGCTGATGTTCGACCGCTGTGAGTCCCGCACTGGTTGTCAGGAGCCGAACTGCCCCCAACTTGTGGCTGCAGCTTAATTTCACTTCAAAGTGGAATTTGGTGCCGGATCTGTTCATTGGTTTCCCTATTAGAATTGATTGGTTTTGCTGTGGTTGATTTTGAAATTACTCAATGAGATAAATTTAATTCCTAAAAAAATGTGCTCTGATTTCTCTTCAAACAAATGTGATGCATTCAAATTTATATAATGTTCGAGACATTATCTATTCCACAAATAGCAGATTACTAAGGGCGTACTTTTGTGCGCCACTTTATGAATGTTGAATGAAATATTCTAATGTGCTTCAATTATATTTTTCTGTTGACCATTAAAACCAAGCAAGTGAATTTTTGTGTTTTAATTTTCGACGTCCTGAATAGAGGGGATAATTTTTCACCCAAGCGCAGTAATAGTAAATTATTTACTTAAGGGAAAACGTTCTGTTCATCTCAGTTTAATGGGCCACATGTTTCTCGGAAAGGTCGCTTTTCTTAAAAGAGGAACCCCTCATCAATAAATGAACAAAAGCGCACAAGTCTATTGAGGCGCGCGGCAGCAAAAATAACAAAAGCATTTAGTGCAGCAGGAACTTGACCTGCTCGCAACATGTGTGCGTGTAAAATGTAAAAAAAGGGAGTGTAGATTTTACTAACATTGAAAAAAAGACAAGCAAGCCGTTCGTGTATTTTTCAACAAGAAAAATCCAGAGCTAGAATAAGTAAATAAAGGTTATGAATTATAATTATTTTCACTTAAAAATTTTATAAACCTCACTTGACGTTAGACGGTGAGTTTAAACTATTTTATTTTATGTACTATAATCTCAGGCAATTTCTTGCCCAAACATATTTGAAAACGTCATTAAAAATTGTAAATTTTACAAATATAAAAAAAGGAGATGATTTTTTAGAGATTAGATGACAAAAAATACATCTGTCGTTCCGGACTTGCAGACCTCCCAGAATTTACAATCCGCTTGTTTTTACCTCCACAGTCAACAACAGGGTATGAACAGTATAAGTATCATATATTATCAAAAAAGCTTTTAACGATTGAAAAGACATCCTAATTTTCAGCTTATTCGTGCCTCTCACCTGGCCGCCCTTTTTATAGTAAAGCCTTATTGAGCTGTAAAACGTTGCTTGACAAGGCACACGTGAGTGACACGTGCCCAGGTAGCACAAAGAGGAGGCGCTGAGCGAGACTTCCCTGGAAGGTGGCGAGGCAGACAGCGCGGAGCCTCTTTGGCCTTTTGTTCGCGCCCCCTGACAGACCGCACACCTGAGAATCGCTGAAAGGAAACGGTGGCACACGTCGATTTCACCACCTTTATTCATGCCTTGCCCATGAAATTTTAATCATATACATTAGATACATTATATACATAATAACCATACAAAATTACATAATATTTTGGCAAAATAAAATAGGTCAAAAATTTTACAATTTATTTTATTAAAATAAAAACACTTACATTAGTTAATTTCGTTATTTAAATATGCATAATTGATTACGTTTCCAATATTTTTTAAAGTTTTATAAGAGTATATTATTAATATTGCGCCTTTAAAAGAATTTGATTGTATTTTTTACATTAATGTAAGTCATTTATTCATTTAAAAAATCAAATTGAATCAAAGTCTCTTTAATTAACTAAAATTAATTAGCTCTGACAGTGGTTAAAATTCTCTTTTCCTTGCTTGATTTAATTATTTTTTTAATATTCGAAGTGGAAAGAAATAATAATGTAATTTTGAAACAAAAGAAATGCTAAGTCAAGAGTAAAAATCTAATTTATTTTTAAATTAATTGTAATTTTGAGCTTTAATATAGCCTGTATGTCGTGTGTTGGCTTGACTTTGTCGGGGTTTGTTGTGTTTAGGGTAGGTCGGGGGTGAGGAGCAGCTGCCGTTGCTGATGTGTGGCCCGGCGCAGTAAATAGAAATGGTCGCGACACGTGAACAGACTTTTGTGCTGAATTATATGAACTCGGCTCTTTGACGAGTGAGTCAAGTGGAAGCGGAAACGGTCAGAATTAGGAACAGATTTTGTGCTGCACCTAAATGTTTATTCTTGTATTTAAATTCAGAGCATAAAAGGATAAAATAGGAAGTTGGCGTGGAAGGTCCGGAAGTGCAACCCTTTGCTGTATTTTCCTATTTTTGTTAAAGAAGGTGTTTGTGTTCCTATTTCTAAAAAGAGAAACTGATTTTCAATACAAAAAAAGGTTCATGCAATTGTGTAAATTTTGCACGTGAAATAATAATGCGAAGGAGTGAATTTTCATAAAAAAAACTATTCAAGAAATTACAGAAATATTATAGTTGCAATATTATAGTTAAATTTTTAAAATCAATCACAACTAAATTCCTATTTAAAAGCAAAATAACAAGATATTAAGACAATAATTAGCAAAAGCTTACTTAAAAATTATATGAAATAAGTTTGTGCAGTTTTACCAAAAAAGAAAAAATGAAACACGAACCAAATTTTTGACTTACGATTGAAAAAATTTATTCTGCAATTAATGACGCGATCAATTTTTAAAAAAATATAACATTTTAATTTAAACTGCTGAATTAGAATTTCTTTTGTTTCTAATTATTTCCTTAATCTAAGTAAGGTGGAATGAAACAAGGAATTAAATAAAGTAAAGAAAAGGGAATTTCAACCAGTTTTAGGACTGATTACCATAAATTTACAGTTACATACAAGTTAAATTAAAAACTGCGCTGATCAAATATCTCTGATATGCTTTTTTAAATGGTTTAAAACAAAGTCACTCGAAAAGATCTTATGAAACTTTTTATTTAAAAAAATATTTTTTTCATCAAATTCATCCATCAAGCGCCATGAGGTAAGTAAATATATACAAAAAATATTAAATTTTAAATTGTAAATTTCAGAAGACGATTGAGGCCTGCTCGCAAGCATAAAGTGCCCTGGCACAAATAATTAGGCGGAGTCTGTGCTGTGATTGGCGCGGCCGGGGTGCAGAGCGGCGCGCGAGTGAGGCGCTGCACCCCCGCGAGCATCTTCCTTGTGCTTCTCGATCTGATCATTCTCGCAGCGACCACCGACCCCTGATGTTCGTCAAAGTCGAGACTGACAATCGCATGTTCGCCGAGGAAATGGGCAGCTCCTCACCCGACGCAGACTTCCGACTGCTCGAGCTCGGCTCCAGCAGGGGCTTCTTCCACCACAGCAACCACCCTGAAAACACGGCAGACCTTTACCAGCCCCCTGAAAATGGGTACAGCTTCGAAGACCACCACATTCATCCCGTAAGTAACAGTTTGAAAAAAAGCTTTAATTTTCAAGAACGGAGAGAAATCCTGAATTTAAAATTTTACTCTTTTTAATTTAAGTTAATTATGAGAATCATGAAACTCTTTTGAATCTGAAAATATAAGAAGTAATTTATCTTTTGAAATTGCAGTTTCTGGTTTTTGTTCCCTTAAAAATTAGTCTAACTAAAAAATTTCAAAATTTGTGAGGTGTTCAGATTTGAAAACAATGGAGCTAAATTGATCTGCTGACGAAAATTAAACCAAAAATAGTATCGACTTGAATAATGTTTCGTCATCCTTTTGATTTTCTGAAATTAAATTATTCATGGAAAAGCACCATGGAATTGAAATTAAAGCAATATATTAATCAGGTTTTGTGATGTTCAAAAGTTCAATTTTTTTCCAATTTAACTTTTATATGTGCCTCCGAAACGATTTAAAATAGAATGCAATTTTTTCAGGCTTCTTTACTCAATGAATCTTTGAATTAACAGTTTTTAATTAAAATTAAATCCAAAATTTGATGAACTTTCAAAAAGATTCTGGATTAAATTAAAAATAACAATTTAACATAAAAGAAATTAAACATTTCCCCCAATATTTTTTTCAAGAGAGACTTTTCGAATTTTCTTTTGAAGCAAAAAATTGTGTAAAAATATATAATTTTGGTAATTATCATTTTTGAATTCAGTATTTGTTTCTGAAGATCTCAATTTATTTTTCATTTTGAACACTATATAATTTTTTCTAATTTTTCTTGAAAAATTATTTTATCAAAATTTTTATTAAGATCGTGTTTCATTTTTGTTTGGACAGGCGTACGAGGCGCGGTCATGCTCGGAGGTGGTGACGCTGGGCCGGAAGCGTCGGCGCGGCTCGGACAGTTCTTTGCGTTCGAAGCAGCGACGCAAGACGCAGCAGTCGTTCGAGGAAATGCAGTCGCAGCGCGTCATGGCGAACGTGCGCGAGCGCCAACGCACGCAGAGTCTGAACGACGCGTTCGCGTCGCTGCGCAAAATCATCCCGACGCTGCCCTCGGACAAACTGTCCAAGATCCAGACGCTCAAGCTGGCGTCGCGCTACATCGACTTCCTGTACCAGGTGCTGCAGAACGGCCAGCACGACCAGTCCAGCTCGTCCAAGTTGGCGCCTTCCTGCTCCTACGTGGCCCACGAAAAACTCAGCTACGCCTTCAGCGTGTGGCGCATGGAGGGCGATTGGAACAGCGGCGGATCCACCAGCGGACACGACGACTACTGACAATCAACCCTTTCAAGGTGAGAGAGATTTTTCAAATTTATATTAATTACATCAAAAACCTATTGTTTTTCAATTATTTCTTTCTTAAAATTCGTCACTTACTAAGTTAGATCAGATCTCATTAATTAAATAATGAAAATTTGCCTGCCTTTCGTGTTTAACAAAAATTCCCATAATTTTCATCAAATAAATTAAAAACTAAACATTTTTTTCCAATAAAATTTTCATAAAATTTTTTAAGTGATTCTTATGATTGTGGCTTCACTGAAACTGCAAGAAAATTTTGACTTTTAGGAATGTTTTACCAAATTTCTTAAATTTTAATCATTTTAAAGACTTAAAGAAGCCCTGGAACTGGGCGAAATCGCGATCCAGACCAGTTATTGCCTTGTTTGCCTCAATTTTCCTGGATTTCAATTAATTTATTTTTTATTTTTAGAGTCAATAGTCATTGAAGATTAATTTTTCAATTGAAATTTTGCATTCCATTGTTTAAAGCCAAGTTATAATATGAATTTTAATATAAACTTATTTTAGGAACAAAATAAACCCATATTCTCGGGGAAATTTTCTTTTTAATAAACAAAAAAATCAATTCAGTCTTTATCAAATTTTTCTACTGAATATAATTGTTCCCTGGAGGGATTGAGAAAAATTAATTAAACCAGATTTAACAAATTTAAAATGGAACGCCAGAAATGTCTCGCTGTGATTTGAATATTTTACGGTTTTCAACTTATCAGCCACCGAGTTCGTAAAAGGCTTCTAATTAGAGCGGCTGCACTAAAACTGGTCTTGGTGCCGAGGCAGATGCACAAAAAAATTTTCAAATACATAAAATCCCTTGAGCCTTATTCGGAGGCGCAGCTGCCACTTGAGGCTGCGATGACAACATTTCGAGATGAATGTGTTCGCACTTGAAAAACAGTTGTTGTTGTTTGCGTAGGTCATAATATTATTGTCACGCGGCGCGGCATTAAAAACGAGGACGATTTCATTAAATTTTTCTCCATTTTGAAATCGAAATTATGCAGCGTACTTTGTTTTCCGTTTTGCCCATCAATTTTGTCTCACGCCCATAAATTTCAACCCGATCTTTTTTTTATACTTTCTATATGGTTTATGCGTTTGGTGCTGACGACGCTACTTGCTGTCCCATAAATCGCGGCCTAATGTTGGTCATTAGATGATTTTTGTGACAGAAATTAGTCGTGTTAGACGCGACACAAATATAAAAGCGCCGCCGCGATAATAAATATCGCAGCCGCCCCGAGAGAGAAGAAGAGTCTCTATAAATATAGCAGCGCCTATTAAACAAACGGCCGAGCTCATTTCGCGCTTGGATTTTCTCATTCAGCACAAAACTATTTGATCTTTCCGCCGAAAATTTGAGAGAAATTTTCTTCAGAAATAAGACTTGAAGCTAAAATTTCAGAGCTTTAGTAAGAAGAGGAAATATTTTTACTAAAAATCAGTTAATAATTATTTAGTAGATTCAAATTTTCAAGCTATGAAAGGTTCTTTTTGCACAATAAATTTGAAATTAAAGTTTTTTTATAAGACAAAAAAATCAGAGTAACCGGAACATATTAAATTTATTTTAATTATAATCCAAGTTGAGTAACAGTTTTCAATTTTCTATTCGAATCAAAACTAATAAATTTTAGATATAATTGGAAATTTTCTAATTTATTTGCTGCGTTTTATCCTTTTACAAATTAATTACCGGTTGATGTAATTTGCATTTCATTATTACAAATAAAAATTCTGGATAATAAGTTTAAAAAAGGCCTTTTTATAAAAAAAATGCGTTTTTATTCTTAAAAATTTTGAATAAAAATGTCAAGATTCACAAAGATCCTTTGTTAGAATTTATTTTAGATTATAAAACAATAAATTTTACAGTTTAGGCTTTGCTATCATCAATATTCTATATTTTGTTTATAATTTTTCGTGCTTCTTATAATATTATGGATGAACATGATTTCATGACTCAATTTTGATAAAAGCTTTCACACAAGCCTCTGTTCGCTGTATTGTGTGGAAAAATGCAGTTCATTTTTTTACACAATTTGTGCAGGAAGTAAGACTCTTTTTTCAAAGGAAGCGAAAAGCCGAAAAGTCACCCTGGCGAAATTCCCGAACAAAAGAGCCATTAAGATTTCACCTCGGCCAAACGAAAACAGGAAGCCAAGTCGTAAAACCGAAAATCAGCACTTCTTGCTGCTGAAAAATCTTTGGCGCAGCCCCTAATGAGCCCAAAGCTCTTTATTTTTTTTTGCCGCCAGAGAGAAATAAAAGTGCCCCCGCCGGTCGCATTTCTCTCTTGCCACCCCCGCTCGTAATCCCGGGAGGATGCTCGACATGCATTTTTTGTCCCAAAGCTTCCTCCCGAAAGAGATTCTTCATTCAGACCGCTCTTATTTTTCATGCGCTCCGTTTGATGTGTCATCCGCCCAAGCTTTTTTTATCAAGGCCCCTCTTTCTCCACGCGCGTGCATATATTTATATCAGAGAGCCTAAGAAAAATTGAACGGATTTTTTGTTTCGACCCCCAACAGGCGAATTCGCGGAAAACAGGAACTCTCAGAGATTTATCTTCAGGCGCGTCGCTCTTAATTAGTCTTTTTTAGCACTTCTTGATAAATTATGAATTGGAATCATTTTTATTATCTGTGTGTGTCTGTTTCCCATTCATCACACACTTCCTAGAAAGAGTCAGGCGGATGCTTCCTCATCCAAAACTTAATCTGATCAAAAAACTCCTCATTTTTTGATTAAAATTATATAATTTAAAGTGTTTAAGTATGTAATAATTGTTGGAAATTAATAGATATTTTGAAATAAATTAAATTTCCCCAAAATTTATATTACAAATTATTTGGAATTATTTGATAAGAAACATAATTTTTATGAAATTAAACTCTTTTTAATATTAAAGATATTAAATACCAACAATTTTCATTATATCCAAAATAAATTTTTATTATAGAAGAAGAATAAAATTATTAAATGAATATAAATTTTAATACAAATTTTAATCCTAAAGATAAGAGCAAATTTTAAATTAATATTATAAAACTTAACATGGAAATTTGTTTTTGAACACTTTCCGTCTACGGATTTTTCAATTAATTTTGACTTAAATTGGGATTTTGCGTTTTTTCACCAGGACAGCAAATTAACAAAAACCTGGCTTCAAATTTTAAAGCAAGTAAATTTACATAATTAAAGATTTTGGGCTTCAGTAAAATATTATTCGTTCCATTTCGCTGCAATGTTTGTTTGGGCAAACAAGAAATCGGCGCCAGAAGAGTGACACGTCCGTGTAAACAAAAATCAGACTTGAAAATCTTGTTAATGGACTCTCGCGGCGGGGCGTGTTTTAATGCATTTGTATATTGGAGTTCTCAGAGTCAGTCAGAGTTTGATATAAACATATGTATATAGAATAGTTGCTGGTCTTTTATTGCCAGCAACGCGGCCATTATTTAGATCATCAGCACATACAACTCAAAACAACCGAGCGCCCTTTCAGCTTGAGACTTTTATGATTGTGGAGGAAATTCCGTTTGCTTCCGTTGCACATTTGATAACTGTCCAGTGAAACTTAACGTTTAATTTAGGTGAAATCGTTTTTTTAGGTCATAAAAAAGTTAACACATAAATCTAAGAAACATCACAAATTTAATTAGCACAGAAAATTACCATTTATGCCTGATGTAAGCCATTTTTTGACAATAATTAAGATCACTTATCTTGAAGTTGTGAAAAAAATTAATTTTGCCCTCATTTTGAGCAAACAGCTGCAGATTTAATTAATGAATCTGGTCTCTCGTTAAAATATAAATTAATCTTTTAAAACTTGTCACTTTTTCTTTTCCTTCTTGGAAATGACGAAACTTCCGGGAAGAAATAGTAAAATAAAAGAAGTTGAGCCGAATTTTATAATTAACAGAGTCTCGGTTTGTGTGTTTCAGGTTTCTGCTCCTTTGATGCGCGCGGCCTTTCCTAACAAACAAACGTGCGGATGGTGAGATTTTTGAAGTCGGCGGCTTTTCTTGAAATCCGACTGCGACTGTCTGCCCGTCAAAATCATTCCTCTGTGACTGGCAGTGATTTCTGATTTCATATTTATTCTGAAGAATTTTCAGTGCCTTACTCTTTCAACTTGTTAAAAATGTTATTGTATAAATATAAAATGACTAATGTGAAATCGCGCAGCTTTATTTAAATAATATATTTGTACATACAACTTCATCTCTTTTTAACAAGATAAGACTTGGATTAAAAACTGTCCTTTGATGTTGTGTAAAAAGAGAATCGAATGTGGCTCAATTTTTTGTATAAACTTGTACAGTTTGATAAATGTTAAATAGAAAGAAATACAAAAATTTATATGAAAATAAAATAAAGAAAATTGCGTTTAATTTTAATTTAAATTATAAATTATTCCGAAATTTCTTAAATTTCTTTACAAGTTAGAAATATTTTGAAAAAATTGACATCAAAATGTTTTTGTTAACATTTTGAAAGGTATTAAAAATATTAATTTTTATAATTGCTTTGTCTAAATTTGAAGAACAGCTTATTCACAATTAAATTATTTAATAACTGAAAATCTGCGAAAGAAAAATCTAAATAAATTTATTTTCGGATCATCCAAAATAATTTTAAGAATTTTTCATCAGGTGCGTTTCTTTCCAGCTGAAAATCGTGTTTCTCCACGCGTGTGAAAATTATGACGAGCGACACGACGTCTGTCTCGAAATGTGCCCGAAATAAATCGCTCGTCAAATGGCACTGTCATGATTATTGCCGAGTGCACCTCGCGCTTGTCAAATTAAATTCGAAAATCCGCGGTGATTCGCACCAGATTTCGCCGGCGCTTTATTTTTTATTTCGTGTCGTTGATAGACATTCGTCTGTGCACAATATCGAAAATAGAATCGCCGCTCAGAGCCGCAATTTATGTGTTTGTTTTCACGCTAAACTAATAATATGATGTCGGCGGGCATCACGATGAGCGCTGCTTGTAATAATTCGTCGCTCGTTGGGCGACGGCCAAAAATTTCTCATTTTTTTCTCAAGACTTTAAATCACCACACCAAAAGCGAGTTGCCTCAAAATTTTTGAATTTTTTCGAATTTAAAAAAAAAATGAGAATAATTTTAGATAAATGGAAAAACAGTGCTAATCAACCATTTAATTCTTATCAAATAAAAAAAGGGAAAGATTAAATAATCTCAGAAACCGCAATTAGGAATTTCCTTTCCGAAAAGCTGAATGTCTTAAAATAAAAATTGATAAAGCTTTTCAGGCTTTTTTTGTGAGGAATTTCGAATAGAATTGAACATTAAAATTTAAATAAAATATTAAAATGTGAGAAATACTTATTTAAATTTTAACTTTCTACTCCATTCATTTCTGACTGAGTCTTCTCTCGTTTGAGGGGAGGAAGATGAACTCGTTTTCTTCTTAATGAGAAGGGGTGCAGTTGCAGTTGTCGCGCTGACAGTGAAATATTTGGAAAACGGGGCCATAACTAAGTCAGCGCCGTTCTTATTATTTTGGTAACCGACTTGGGGCACAAATCGACTTTAAACCCAAATTTTTAAAAAATTTGGAATATATTTAAATATAGCTTATAAGTTTGAAGTAAAAATTTAAAATAATAAGTTTTTGAAAATAATTAATTAGATAAATTTTGAACAAATTTATTTTAAAATTCAAACATTGTTTTCTTTAAATAAGAGAGCATTTTTCATTTGCCTCTCTTTCAGATCTCACGCAGCGAGACTGACGTCATAATTTATTACAAACACACTCTTCTGTTTTTATTTATTGAAGCAAGAACCGACTCGTCTTTTATAAGAGGTCCATCAAAGGGAGGCGATCCTCTTAAAACTTTTACAAGTGGCCCAAGTGAAGACTGTGAAATTTCAAACTAAAAATATTCGTCAAAATTTTCGATTTGCGCGCAGACAGGAAGGAATATAAATTTGACACCGGCGCGCACTCAATTAAATCAGTCTCGTCGGCACCCCCAAAATGAAACAAGACTTTTCAGCCGAACGGGCAAAAATATATAATGAGAGAGAGCAGGAGAGTCCCCAACAGCACAGCCAATTAAGCTAATTTGAAACATTCCCGAGATCTTGCCTTCCATATTTTTGAGAAGGGTCGGAAATTAGGAAGTAGTTGCTGTGTTGGGGTAGGTTTTTGCAGGACAAAACACAATTTAAACTATTTTCAACACTTATATAAATCACAATGAAATATTAAATCATTTTTTTTTTTACAGAAAAATAGTTCAGAATTATAAGACATGATAAAAAAATAAACACTAAAACAATTCTAGTGTGTTTGATTGAAGTGATTATAAATTCCAATTGTAGATAGAACAAAATTTAATTTTTTAAAATTGCTGCAAGTACAAAAAGCAGGAGGGTGGGGAGAAATTTTTTTGTGGCTTTCAGATTGCGATATTGCCGTGAGTGTAACTTGTGGAAATTTGATTTTAAAGCAAAGTTATCGTCCAGCCACAAAACCATCAAGGTTGAACTATGCAGCTGGTTTCAAAGCTTTTTATTTCAATATTTCTAGCTCTGCATAGTCTGCATGCAAATAATGTGAAAACTACAAAATATTGCATGAAGCTGTCTTTAACAACAGACGATTGTAAGTAAATTCTTTTAGCTATTTTTTTTTTTTTTTTTTAATAAAATTACCGTGAAAGTGATTTTTGAAAACTTAATTGCTACAGGTCATGATGACTTACAAGTTATTCAAGAATCATTTAATATAAGCTCATGCGCCAATTGTGAAATGAATAAAACTAATGCCAAAGTTGAAATAAATTGCAACAACAGAAGTAACAGAACTGAAGGTAAAAATACGAATTAATTAATTGCCTTTTTTTTGTTTTGTAACATTACACATTTTTTTGTTCAGATTTTCATTTGAGTGAATGTTAATTATCTTTTTTGATTTAATTTTTATTCAAATAAATTAGTTGGTTCTTCTGCCTGCAGAGAAATATCGAATTATAATTAAATGTTATTTTCCCTTAATTAATTTCTTATTACATCTAAAATTAATCATATTGCCAGATGCTAAGTGTCCCAGTTTATTCTACTATGGAGCACGTCATCGTAGGGATGAAACTCAAAATTTTCATATGATTGAGAGAAATACCAATCAATTGTGTAATGAAGTGAGCAGCACACACAATCCAATCGCCGCCACTGGCTCAAATGACGTTGTGTCAAAAACAATCTCCTGCGAAAAAAACTTTAACACTTTGGAATGGGTGGTTGCTCTGCTATCAACTTTTCTCATAGTAGAAAACATCATAATACTTGTCAAAAAGTTCAAGAAACCGAAATCTCCAGCGCCAACTGAGCCTTGCGACGAGCAATTGATTGAGATGCAAGAATTGGGCGAAGCCAGAAACTCAGTTCCAAATATGACTGAGGTTAACGATTTGTACTCGGCAGTGGCAAACTCCGAAGACAATACAACCGAGGTAGCGGAACCATTGAGACGAGGAAGTGACAATGAACCAAGAGAAGCGATTTACGCGGACAACATTGCCAGCATTCCGGACGAATCGTGCTTCATGCTTGCCGAAAACTTCAACATTTATGAGAGATTGGATTCGGTGACTGAAAATCAAGAAGAATGAAAATAACCTTTTTAATTGCTTCCATTCATTATTCATTAAATGATCTAAAAATGCTTTAGCAAAGACGCAATTGATACTTTTTTTGCTGTAATATTTTATACTTGAATAGTAGTATTAGACACATTTTATTATTATGCATTAATTAATACATAATATAGCTTCTTTCTTGTTTTAATTGTAAAATATAATCTAAGATTTTTAATAAGTATTATAAAACTAATCAATAAATATCATTTTTAATTCATAATAATATGCATTTCAATTACAGTAAAAATAATAAACCAGAAAATACTTTTTGTCATCCTGTTAAATTAAAAAAAATTTAATTTTAAATAATCAAAAAGGCGAATTTTAAATCATTTGGATGAAATAATATATTTAATATTTCAATATCAAATTTCTAACTTGTTTCTTATACAATAGTAATAATTAAGCATATAAATGTCCTCTATAATTAATTTTAGGATTTGTATGTTGATAAAAAATACTCATGAATTTACAGTATTAAAAATTGTCAATCTACGATTAGGAATTTAATTTTTGCTTTGGTTAATTTGACAAACAAAAAATATCACATTTCACTTTCTCCAATACTGGGCAAACTTGTGCAGCTGTTCGACCAGAGCTGCCATCACGGCCGTGACTGACAAATCCAACAAGTTCTGCACACAACTCACTGCTTCCTCGTCACCCAAATCGAGCCTTAACTTGTCCTGGACTTTCTGCACCGCTTTGTCCGGCTCGAGAGCAATGTCCGGCACCGAAGCGTCCACCATCAAGGAGAACAAGTTCAGAATCAAGTTTGCATGTCTAAAAATTTAATCAAATAAATCAGAAATATAAATTATATTAGTAAAAACCTCCTCAAATGAAGGAAGGCAGTGTAGCATTGTTTTCGGAACTCCTGGTAGTGCTCAGAGTTGATTCCTCCCATCGCCTCCACCATTTCTTTGCTCAACTTCATGGGCGGCGGCAGCGGTTTTGGATCTCTGCCCAAGATGTATCCAAAGTCAATGTGGAATAGTTTGCCAGTGGTGGTCAGCAAGAGATTGTCCAGATGTCTGTCGCCAACTCCCAAGAGGTAAGTTATCACACAATAACCGGCTGGAAAGGAAATTTCCTGTATTTAAATTAAAAATGAATAATTTAAGCTGACCACAACTCCTGACGTAAGTGTCCATAACCTCGGAAGCAATTCCGTAAGGTCCGTTTTCCGATGGATTGTGTTTGCGGAAAAAGTTTTGGATTGTTCCTTCCGTGGCAAGAACTTCAGCGACTGGCAAAGACTCCACAAACTGCACCAAACCTTCCAAAATAATTTTAAAATTAATAAAAATAGAAATTTTTTCTTCTTTAAAATTACCGTGTTTACTGCTGGTTGCGAGAACTCTGTACGGGGTGAGTTTGAGATCAAGGTTTTCCCTGCGGAGGAGTTTGTCCATCAGGGTGATTATCTGCAGGATGAGTTGGTCCTGCCGAAGGTCGTCGCCGTGTTTGAAGATGGCTACGTACTCTTGGCCTGTGGTGCTGAGGAAGGTGAGCCTGGACGGCATCAGCGCCGACTTGAACAAGGTTGTTCTTTCGGAAAGGAATTAATTTTAAAAGGCAAGATAAATGAAAAAAGGACCTACTTTCCAGGGATGATTCCTTTGATTTCCACCTCAGGGTCCAGCGGAAACGGGAAAGGCTCGAAATTGGCAAAGTTGTACTTGAACGAATCCGGGTTTGCCAAGAGTGCTTGAAGCCGATCAATCTGTCAAAATATTTTTGTTATTATTAACAATTCATTTCCAAAAAATGGAGATAATTAATTTAAGTTTAAATAAATGATTCAAAATATTAATTCTAAATTTCATTTCTTAATTTGGTTTTATTTCTAGATTTTCACCTTTTTCTTTCTGTTTCCGCTTTCCCTGGCAATACTTTTCATCAGGCTGACCAGTTTGTCCATAAATGCCTGTTGTCTCTTGAGAAAGGCTCGTCTCTTTTGATACTCGGGAGGCCCTTTTTGCAAAGTCTACAGACAAAATCACAATTTAATTAATCTGCATTATAAAAAAGAAAAACATTCTCACAATTAAAAATCTGCCCATCACAGCCATGTACATGTTTCTAATCCTCGTTTCCAACTTGATAGTTGTTTCCTCGTCTTCGCACTCCGTCCACAAATACCTAGATCCAAATTTCAAATAAAAATTTCTACCATTTAATAGAAATTTAAATTTACCAAAAGAAGTAATTTGTCAGGGTAGAGTTGAGGCAAGCTCTGTGGATGAGGAAGGTGCTGAGGTCCATGTCGAGTTCTAGCGGTTTTATCGGTTCGACCGGTGCCTCGGCCAAGGTCATGCTGTCCATCAGGGAAGCAGTCCTTGCAACTGAGGCGCCAGAACCTGAGGCTGCCGACTCGTTGGACACATTCGAACTTGACGACCTTCTCAATTCCCTGAAAGGTCAAGTAATAGCAAAGAAATTAGAATACAAACAGGAATTCAAATTGGATACGGAATTCTGAAGAAAAAAAACTTCACTGTACTTATTTTGCAGGCCATTATTAGGTTTTTGTCATATATTAAATATTTTACACAGTAAAAATAAGAGAAAACTTTTATAGCCATGAATTTGTGCCTAAAAACTTTTAAAATTCCTGTAAAACTACACTTCACTTAATTAATAATTTAGCATTTTCAACACTTTAGGCCAAATTATACACCACTTTTTGAAAGGAAAAAACCTACTTTGTTTGCTTTGAAGTTGATTCGCTCTCATCGACGCTGACTTTCCTCTTTTCATTTCCCGCTTCTGTTGCCGGCTCTTGGGAGAAGGCCTGGATGTCTTCAAAGTTCTCATACTTCAGGGCTTGGACCAGCTGCAGAAGGTACAAGAGCAAATCCTACGGAAACTTCCTCTTTTAGAAAAGTAAGATTATGATTTTTGTACCGACTTCATCAGGCGCTTGGGCCAATCTGGAAACAGCGTAACGCCGAACTGCAGGATGAGTGAAGTTCGGACTGAGAAGTTCAAGGGCATCTTCGACATCCATCGGCGCCCACAAGGGCAGCAGGTCCAACGCCTGCTTTGCTTCGGCCGGTGTGTTCCAATTGACGCACTTGAGGAATTTCGTCAGAGCCTGAATTAAACAAGTTCTTTTTTAAATGTAATATATTTTGAAATAAGTTTTAACCTTCTCCTGACTGCTGAGGTAGAATCGGAACTTCCACACCAAGTCCTGCTCCTCTGCAGTCAGGGTTTTGGTCGGCGGGTAGGCCACAATTGTGTGGAGCTGGTCTCGGACTAGGGCATTCGGCTTCACGTCCTTGTCTGACAAACCACTTCGGACGGATCGGGCCAGTTTGTGATGTTTAATTTCCACCAAGTTTTCCTACATAAAATATGGAATAAAAGGAACAATTTTGAATGTGTTAAAAACCTGTAGAATTTCATTGTCGGGAACTGTGACTATGTCTGCCTGGACGCGAAACTGGTAAATTTCATCTCCATCCTTCTCGTAGTAAACAACAGAATACTGAAAAATCAAAACTTTTAGTAAATATTTTACCAAAATAGTACAAATTTTAATTACATTGGAACCTTCAATTTCAAAAGAGGGAAATTCAACCATCAAATAGAGAAACTCGGAGTTTCTTTTCTCCTGTTCGTTGATCATTTCCATTTCTCTGAAGGCAAGACGGTCCAGCCAGTCTACTTTGGCAATGTGGCCATTTCGATGCTTCTTCGCAAGCTGCAAATTCATAAAAGGTTAAATCTCAATCCTATATAATTCTAAACCAGCTCAAACCTTGCAAAGTTTTTGAACTTTTGCCCTTCCGAAGCCTCCTTTCCCCGGAGTGGTGCTGCTTGCAGATCCGTCAGCAACTTGGTCCGGCCAAACTTGCAAATCAATTATTCCCTGGAATATGAAATTTAAAAAGTAAAACAAATTTTCGATAAAATTCAATTTTTACCTGTCTGAAGACGCCGTGTTTGCCGAATAAGGACACGGTGGTGCCTCCAACCGGGATTCGCCGTCGAGGGCCCGCACAGTCGTAGATCGTGATGGCCAAAAAAGCGTTTCTGGGCAGGTCGCAGTAACTCAGCGGCAGGGTCACCCATTCGTTCCAGCTGCACAATTTATTCTTATTTATTGATTCAGTTTAATTTTGAGGTTCTGTACTTCCATCTGTTGGTGAAGGACTTGTAGCAGGTGTGCACGGGAAGGGCCAAAGACTTGCCGTTGGAGAAAACCTCGCACTCGACCAGCAGGTCTGCGAGTTGGTTGTTGTTCTCCTGGTACAGTCCGGAAAACTTGAGCATCGGGTCCTCCAGCAGTTTCTCGTACTCGTACTTCTGCCTCTTCCCCTCCAGAGATCCGCTGTTGAAATAATGTTAGTTAATCAGGACCAAAATTATTAATAATTCTCACATTTTGATTTGCACTCGAACGTCCAAGGACGAGCTGTAGACGTAATTGAAAGTGTCCTCCATTTCAGCCATGTTTTATTTAACTTTCGCCGAGAAGAATTGGTCGCCGTCGATCACGTGACCTATTTTGGCTGTCATGCGCGCGAAACAGCTACAATTTGAGACTTGTGGTTCTTTTCTTTACCCACAGACCTCGCAGATAAAAAAATTGACACATATTCGTAAGTTGCAAGAGTGCAAGAGTCTTTAGAATATTCTAGATTCTAGTATTTAAATTTCACGCTATCATAATGTGGACTTCATTTGGCTCTCATTGGCTCTCATCATAAAGTCGAGTTTTTATGTATAAAAAAAGATAGATTGATTAAAACGCAAGATGCGGCTGAATTAAAAAGGTTAAAAAGTTCAAACTGTCATCGATGATGTGATATACATTTTTTTTTTTTATCAGAAAATTTAATTGTGAGCAGTGTTCCTGTTGCAAATATACTGAAATGTGCACAATTGAAGATGAAAAAAAAACATAATTAATCCTCTTATAATTATTTCGGGACGACAGTTTTCAGAAAAAGTGATTTGTACAAATATTTTAGTTTATTTTTTACAATATTTTCAATCAAATAAATTAAACATAAAAATAACTGTGCATAAGTCTTTCTTCAAAATAGAAGCTTTATTTTCAGCATTATCTAATTTTTGTTTGTAAAAATAATAATGTGATTTCTTTAAACTTATATTTTTCACAAATTATATATTTATATTTTTTTTTTGCATGTAAAACGTGAGATTTTTAATGTCAATTAAATATTTCTCTTTCTTCTTCCCTGGTTTAATTTGAAGGATTTTGAGAAAACTCTTTTTTTTTAAATTTATTAATAATAAATTCCAAATCTGGGAAAATTCCAACCAAAAGAGAGTTGCCAGGTTGTCTCTTTCTTGGTTATTTAGAAAATTCCTCGCGAGATAGAAAAATATATAAATGTCATGTTGCCACCCCAATCAAGGCCGCACTTCTTTTTAAGCATAGGCCGCACAAAAAATGTTGTTTGTATAAAATCTCTTTTGTGCTCACACCCTCCCCAGAAAGTTTCACCCTCCTTGGTTTCACCGGCCGTTCGGAGATGAAATTATAGAGGATAGCAACAGGTATACAAAATTGTCAGGTGCTTTTCCATTCTCCGAGGGGAGAAGAGATTTGAAAAGTTTTCATTGTCGAGGTCAAGAAAGCGCGAGCAGCAGAGAGGCTGGGGCGGGCGGGTGTGGCCTAAAATATATTTATTCTCTGCCTGCGACGCGGTCACTCGAGGTCGACTGGGTCCCTAGTGAGGAGGCTGCGGAGAAATATCTCCATCAGAAGAAACAGAGACATGCCGACATTTGAACTCTTCTGAAGTGAAATTGTGAGTTTTAAACATTTTTTTCCTTTTTTTCTTCCTGCCATTCCGATCAGAGATTAGTGAATTCTTGGGCAGATAATTTAAAGCCTGGGTCGGATGATAAGTTGCGGGCAAATCGAGAGGCGGACGAGCCTCTCGGCGGACGTGCCTCTTTTTACAAACAACGTCACTCTCGCTGGAACCGCCGAGAGAAGAAGGACAATTTTTGTAACGCGCACTTTATTTCCTACCTTCGGAGCAAACGGTCCAGTCTTCGTGTCCTGCCGTCACATACTTAGAATTCATAAACAGTAAGAAATACTTCAAATTCCCATTCTTTCAATTTTTTTTTTTTTTGTAATTTCATAATAAAATAATCTCATTTGAATTATAAATTGCAATAAATAAGGATTTTTAATATTAAATTTTGCAATTTGTTTCTGTGCATATCATGTGAAAATTTTACAGTGTAAATAAATAAAGTTTTTTTTTTGTAGTTTTTACTGTTCATTAAATATTATCAGCATAATCGGAAGTGAAGAAATGAAATTTCCATCATTATAATTTAATAACTAGATAAATTGAAACTAATTTTAATAAATAATATTTTAGAGGTCATAAAATAAACAAATATTTGGTATATTTATTTAAATTTGTTTCAGATTTTTAAAAATCCAGATTTGACTAAGACCTTTTAATAAAAAAAAAAACTGGTGGCTTTCCTTGATCTTTTCTTTTCCGATATTATTTTCTCTGGCTCGCTCTCTTCTGGTGCGACCAAGGTCACTTGATCACCAGCTTTTATTAATGTACACGTGTTGTGTGGAGTTTATATGCATTCGAATGATACTGCGAGGAGGCCAAGCTACTTTGCCTCAACCTCACACCATTTTCCATTGGCTCCAAAGCATAATAATTTATAAAAAGAAAGAAATATTATAATCGAACCTTAAGCAGAGCCAGGGTCAAACCGGCTTGGCAAACGGAGAACTTCCTATCCTAGTTAAGCTTTTGTTTTAGAAAGCGCCAATTAGTAAATAAATGTCAATAATTATTTTTTTTTTTACTACAAAATAATCAAAATTGTATGCTGGATTATAATTTAAATATTTTTGTTCTGTAATTAATTTTCATTTATATTAGATAGAAAAAAGTAAATTTTATTATTTAATTTAAAATAAAGCATTAAATGTTTAAAATTTTAAAGTTTTAAAGGGCATTGAACAGAATGAATCTTTGTAATTCAAAACATATTTTTATAATATTCATTGTTGTTGTATTTGGTGTGGGTTTTGTGTAATATGATAAGAAACAATTTGTAGCTAAACTAAATTGAATTTTATTATTTTATTTTTCTATAAATCTGCTGTAACAGAATACAAAATATTTATGCTTTAATATTTAATAAAATAATAAAAATATTTATCAAAAAGATCAAACTTTATTTAGCCCACAATAACAATAATAATTCTCAAAGAGAGCAATAAACGCCTGGTTTTATTTTTTCATCATTTGAACGAACTGTATAAACTTCCGGCGCCTCTGATAGCGATATGATAACCCACTTCTAATGCCAGCGACAAAAGACCTCAATGCACACAGTGGTGAACCAAACAATTTTCCTCTCGTTCATAATAACCTTTTATCTTTTTCTTGATAATAAAATGATCCGCGTCTTTATACAAGTTGCACTGCCTGGATTAAATTTGAAGCAGAGCGAACTCAAGAAGATTATCCTCCAAGGTCTACTTGGATATTCGCCAATAATAAAAATTGTACTCGCATAAGACCTTCACTTGCTCTCCCCGTTAACCGTGCAAATCTTTATTGCCCTCTAGATATCTCTTTACAACGACAGTATGTCCATAAAAAAAGAAGAGGAATTTTCTCTCTGTTGACGTCTTTTCTGCTCTTAATTACATTAATTTAAAAAAAATTCTTCGCAAAGAAAACATTATTTTTTTAAATTAAATTTATTTAGCAAAGCTGAAATTTGTTTTAAAATGAAACTTGTTTGACCTAAATTTTGCCAGCCATCATAAAAGAAGTTGTATATTTTTGCCTCATTATATTTGCAGATTTTTATTGCTCGTAATTAAACGAGAGAAATTTTTATGTTTCAGGTGAAAATATAAAAGAGGCAAAATGCAGTGGCGCCTGGCGCACTCGAACAAGTTCCTGGTGATCGCCGCCCGACGATTCACGCAGCGCCATGACGTGAGTTGACCCCAAGCTAGAGATTTGTGCGAAATGAAAACTTTTTTTTTCTCGGTTTTGCAGCCTGAACTGCGGGGCAAGGTCATGGCCATTCGCCGCGAGGACCAGAGTGTCTGGGAGCGACGAGCGCCCCTGTCGCCGTCCAATGTCAGAATTCTCACAAGGGCCGGCGTCAAGGTAAGAATCAGCATAATTATATTTTATTGCATCTAAAATTCCATAATTAATCGAAATATGAACAAAAATTTATAATTGAAAGAAAAACTAAATAGAAAGAGTTATAAATTAAATCCGAAAAATCATATAAATTAAATTTAAAGAAAAAAAAATTTAAAATCCTGTAAAAAAATTTTGTTTGGTAAATAGAAGCCTCTGAATAGGTTAAAAATTCACAGTAAAATAATCAATATTTAATAATGTCTTTAATTAATTTATATTAGTTGAAAATTTCAAGATCCAATCTGGCGGTTTTTATTTCTCAATTAAGTTGAAATATTCCAATATTTAGATAATATTCTGCGAAAGCGTTCCGAGCTGTCGCATTTCCAGCCTGTCCGTCAGTTTTCTCCACAACTGTTCAGCTTTTATAGGAAATCTTATCTTTGTGGTTCATTTTTGCGCGATTTTGTTCTTTTTTCTCGCCAAAAAAGGCAAAAAGGTGTGATTTGAAATTTTAAATAAAAATAGAATATCTCTGAATTTACAGTTTATGAAATATTTTTTTCCAAATAATTTTTTTATTCCTTTTTTTATCTGATGACATTGAAATCAAATATTCAAAACCATTAAAATACAATTGATTGTACTTTTGAGAATTTGAATTTGTTTTTTTTTTTCCAAAGGTGATCGTGCAACCTTCGAACCGTCGCGCGTACCCGATGCAAGCGTACGCGTCGGCCGGCGCCGTGATCCAGGAGGACATTTCGGAGGCGAGCGTCGTGTTCGGGGTGAAGCAGGTGCCGGTGGACGCGCTGCTGCCCAACCGCACCTACTGCTTCTTCTCGCACACCATCAAGGCCCAGGAGGCCAACATGGCGCTGCTGGACGCGTGTCTCGAGAAGAACATTCGGCTCATCGACTACGAAAAGCTGATGGACGACCGCGGCCAGCGCGTCGTCGCCTTCGGCAAGTACGCCGGCGTCGCCGGAATGGTCAACATTCTGCACGGCCTCGGCCTTAGGCTGCTCGCCCTCGGACACCACACGCCCTTCATGCACGTCGGCCCGGCCCACAACTACAGAAGTTCCTTCATGGCTAGACAGGTAAATCATCCTAAAAAAATTATAAATATTTCCCTATTTTAAAATTTATTTTTTAAATTTTGTTTGTCAAAATACGCTTATAGCAATCAAAATCAACATTGATCAAACAACGGTTTAGTAAAATTTATTCTCAGTAGTGTAATAAGTTCCTCATTAATTTTTCACAAAGTCAATGAAACTTGCTGTGACAATAGTTTGATTCAAAATAAGTTCAGTAACATTTGTTTGGCAGTTCGCAAATGAAATTGAAATGAAAGCCGCAATCATGGCTGTTCAATTTTCCCTTTGGCCAATTAAAGGTAAAAATGCAATTGTGTTTCTGGTGCGCATATTCCGTCCACATCGGACTGTGCAAATCCAACTTGGTCCCGTCGCGCCACCGGAAGTCCTTTTCACTTTTGCTTCCCTGGTTTTTTGCCGAAACCCACCAAACTTGACCTTTGAAAGCAGAATAATTTTAATTAGAGAAATGTATTAGTTTTTTTGTCCTCACCAGCATTGATTTTGTGTCCTTCTGACGCGACCACCTCTGCCTCACTTAAATCTTTAAATGTGGCCAATTGGAGACCTTTCTTGGTGCAAGTCTCGTTTGCAGAATACCAAGTTATCTGTTATTGAGAAAAAATTCGAAAAATGTAATTAAGGAACGGAGTTGAGACTTACTTCATTTTGGTAAGAAGGCCGCTCAGGAAAAAAGTATTTCTTACCGTTGGAGAGCAACCTCAATTTTTCCGAATCTGAATTACTTTTTTAAGTATTGAAAATTTAATGGGGGACTAAAAAACTTACGGGCAAGAGCGCAAGACGTGTGGATTGCCTAAAATTATTCAATTTTAAAAGACGTGCAGTAAAATTTTGGCTCTGCTCACCTTTGTTTTAGCATTTTCTTTCTCCAACTCGGATTTTTCACTTTCCAAAATTGAAACCTGTTGCTGCTGGGTTTTGATTTCTGCTTCTCTTTGTGACAACTGAATGCAAAATACAAATTTTAATTTTAATAATATTTTGTTACAGCGGATAGAAAAAAATTAAAATTAATAAAATCTAATTTTAAAACTTAATTTAAATATGTTATGAATATTTTTTTAAACTTATAATTTTTATAAATCAACATTCCTGTTTTTGCAACACCTGGTAGCGTTCGTCAGCGTTTTCGGCTGTAATTTTTTCTTGTTTCAATGTAGCAATTTCCTTTTCGTTCAACTTGATTTTTTCGTCTTTAATTTTGACCTGGGAAAATTCATTATAGCTTATCAAAAACGTTCTTCCGTAAGAATTGTGTTCAAAAAAATTAATTGACCATATATGTTGAATTTTCAAGCTCTTTTGCCAACTGCAATTTTTCGCTGGTCAAATTCGAAATAAGCTGCTGTTGCGTTTTCATTTCCTTTTCTTTTGTTGACAACTGAAGCAAAAATTGAAAAAAAAAAATGTTTTAAAATGGATCTTTTGAATTATTAATTGAAGACAAAAAATGGTTTAAAAATCCAGTAATTTTAATGAAATTCATACCTGACATTGCAAATCAGTTTTTTCACGTTCCAAAGCCAAAATTTCCTGCTCCTTCAACTCCTTAATTTTGACCTAACGTAAAAGTAAACCGAATAAAAATATTGTCCTCAATCTGAGCATTCTCAAATGGATAAATTCTAATTTTTTTCTATCAAAAGAAAATTACCATCTCGTCAAATTGCTTCCGCGATGCGTCGGCCTGTTTGCTCAAAACCGAAATTTGCTGCAGCAATGATTTGCAATCTGAATTTGGTTCGCCAAATGAATCCTGAACGAGGGAAAGAAATTTATTTACTGCAAAAAATGGCCACTGATAATTTACGTCAAATTTCTTCTCCAAATTGTCTTGTCTTTTCCAAGCAAAGTCGATCAACGTTAGCATTGAGGAAAGCTGCGTTGAAATTTCCTTCTCCTACTCCGCCACCTTGGCCACCTTTTATTTAAATTTATTATCAATTTCTGTAAAATAAAAATCAATTTTATTAAATTCAAACCAGATTTTCAAACTTCATAGCAATTTGCTGAAGCCTGTCCACTTGCTGGGCGGATCCGCTTTCCTAAAAATTATTTATTTAAAATAGAATTTAAGAATTTTCAAAATAAATGCAAGCTGCAATTTTGAATTTTGGTTTGGTAATATTAAATTTTATGAATGGGACAGTTTGCATTATATACCTGAAAAGAATGCTCGACTTGTTGGGGGTCGATGGCTCGGACCGAGTATAAGACCAAAAACAAGAAGCAAAAACGGTCCATTGCCTTTTCCTCTCAGCGGCAGAATGGATTTGCAAACGGATGCTGCTGGATTTATCTTTGCTTGAGGTTTTCGTTGCACCCACACCAATCAAATTCAAATCTATTTTGTCAACTGCTTTCCTTGAGGAAAAAATCCAATTAAAATTTTTCAAGGAATCAAATTTACGTTTTATTCCAATGACTCAAAATTTGTTCGCTCTGTAGGAAATTCACGAATACAAATAAAATGCAAGGTTTGCGCCGATATATTTACAGAGAAACACGCACTTCGCTGCTTTTTATCGTTTCAGGCAAGTGCTAGAAGCCAATTTTTGAAATAAAAATTTTATAAAAAACGATGCTGATGATGTTGATTTGATTCTTACTATTTCTTTTATAATTATTACATCACTTTTAATAAATAGTAAATTTTAGACCAGGAGGAAATAAAATATAAACGATATGAATTTCATTGTTGACAGGCTATCAGAGATGCAGGATATGAAATTTCTCTAGGAATGATGCCCAAATCTGTTGGGCCTTTGACATTTATTTTTACCGGGAGTGGAAATGTGAGCCAGGGCGCCCAAGAAGTGTTCCAAGAGTTACCCTTCGAGTACGTCACTCCAAATAATATAAGAAAAGTTGCAGAACATGGAGGTAATAAAATATTAAAACAAATTTATGAATTACTTTCAATTATTTGCTGGAATAATGAGCTGAAATTTACTAATTAAAAGTTTAATTTCACCTAAAATGATACATTTTTAAGCGGATCGAGCTCTAAATTTTCATTTAAAACCAACCCTAAACGCATTGATTCTTAAGAAATTTGTAAAATAAATAAATTTTTGACCAATTTTCAGCCACAAATAAAATTTACGGCTGTGAAGTGAGTCGTCGTGACCATCTCGAGCGCAAGGAAGGAGTTGGTTTTGACCCGAAAGAGTACGACCAGCACCCTGAGAGATACATTTCTACATTTAGCAAAACAGTAAATATAATTTGCTCCGAACAACCAAAATTATTTAATTAATATTTTGATATAAAAAAGATCGCTCCTTACGCGTCTGTGATTGTGAACGGCATTTACTGGGCCGTCGGAAGTCCGAAACTTCTGACCATTCCGGACGCCAAGCACCTTCTGCGACCGGCCCACACGCCCTGGCTGCCCATTTCAGGCGGGGCCCCTGCCCTTCCGCACAGGATGCTCGCGATCTGCGACATCTCGGCCGATCCCGGAGGCTCCATCGAGTTCATGAACGAGTGCACCACCATTGACACGCCATTCTGTCTTTACGATGCTGACAGAAATAAGGAAACTCAAAGGTAAATTATTGCGGAAAAAAATAATAATTAAAAAATATTTGTACAAATAAGCTTTTTGCTAAATTTATTAAGAGTAAATTTTACATTAAATATTAAACAGCTAATTAAAAATATATATTTAATTTTATGTGCTTTTAAGAGTTTAAGAGAAAAATGAAAATAAATATCACAATTATTTACAATTTGATTATAATTATTTTGAAAAATCTATCAAAAATGATGAAATTGATCTTCTTGTTTCCACATTATTTTCCTTTCATCAATAATTGTTCTTTTTAATTGGCAGCTTCAAAGGTCCAGGAGTTTTGGTTTGCTCGATTGATAACATGCCAACGCAGCTACCAAGAGAATCCACCGATTTCTTCGGTGACCTTCTTTTGCCATACGCCATGGACATCTTGAAGTCCGACGCAACAACTCCTTTGGACGCCCAGGAATTGTCTTCAACCGTTCATGGCGTAAGTGTAAAATAATAATAACTTAAATAAAATAGGAAAAATGGGTATTTATTTTTTTCAATAAAAAATTAGTGCTTTTAGATTTTTATAGTGTAACGTTTTTACATATATACCATTTATTCTGATTAAAGGAAGATGATTGCATTTGAAATTTAATTCAAAATATTTAGCAAAGGTCAAATTAAACAGATCTGATGATGTTTCAAACAAACCTTTTTAGACCTCGATATTTTATCAAAAGAAGTATAAAATTGCCTTAATTGGAATAATGATTTTTGATATTTTTTTCTGATCCTTCTCTTATTATTAAATAAAATTGAGTTTTGTTCAAATTTTAGGCCATAATTGCCAGCAATGGTCATCTAGCTCCAAATTACAGATACATCCAAGATCTCCGAACGGCAAACAGGTAAAATTTTTAATTAATTTAAATATATCAAATCTAATTATAAAAAAAAAACAGTAGTAGGAGCCGCCATAAGGTATCTGCTGACATGGAAGAATCTGCCAAAAGGATTGTTATTTTGGGTGCAGGTTTTGTCAGCGGCCCTGTCGTTGAGTACCTGAGCAGAGAAAAGAACATCCACATCACTTTGGGTAAAAATTGCAAAAAAGTTAAATCTAACCTCAAACCTATAAATATTAAGAAAATGTTTAAATGTTTCAAATATGTTCCATTTGGTAAAAATATATATTTATTTAAAAAAAGTCGCATTTAATTCAATAAATTTAATTTTTAGTATTGTGCTGAAATAAAATTAAATTCATTGCGTCGTTTTTGTTCAAATTTAATTTTACAAATTTAAAAATTTTGTAAACAAATAAGAGTTTCTGAATTTTTTTAATCATTGTTTAAAAAAATCCAATTTAATTAACCTCTTTATTATTTTTTTTTCATAAATCCTCGCTCTGGAGGTCAATTTTCCCTCTTATTTTTTCACTTTAAAATTCTTCTTGAGCATTCAACCTGAAAATTAAATTTTGACTGATTTTTTAAAATGAAAATTTAGCTTCTGCGTTGAAGGACGAAGCGGACGAGGTGGCGGCCAAGCACGGCGGCAACTCGGTGGAGCCGATTCTGCTGGACGTGGTGCACCGTCCAGATATGCTGGACGAGCTGGTGCAGTCGGCCGACCTGGTCATCTCGCTGCTGCCGTACGCGCTGCACCCGAAGGTGGCGCAGAGCTGCGTCGACGCCGGCACGCACATGGTCACCGCCAGCTACTGCAGCCCCCAAATGCAGGAGCTGCACGAAGCAGCAAAAGCCAAGGGCGTCACCCTGATGCACGAGGTCGGACTCGACCCCGGCCTCGACCACCTGCTGGCCCTCGAGTGCTTCAACGAGGTCAAACAGGCCGGCGGAAAGGTCGAGTCCTTTATCTCCTACTGCGGAGGACTTCCCGCCCCTGAATTTTCAGACAACCCTCTCAGGTACTTAAAAATATATACGAAATTAATGGAGAAAAAAATTAACTTTGAAAATAAATTTAGGTACAAATTTTCGTGGTCACCGAGAGGAGTTTTGCTCAACACTTTGAGCGGCGCCAAGTACCTCAGAAATGCAAAGGTTAGTTTTTTTGTGTAATGATTTTGAATTTTGAGCCACAAAAATAATTTGCATTTGGAAGTTTTAAATATTCTTGTTGTTAAGTACAAACTTTGGAAGGAATAAAATTATCAAAGTTTTTATACTTTCTTTTTTCTAAAAATTTGCAGCACATTGAGATTCCGTCCGGAGGCGCCCTGATGGACTCGGTGGAGCAGCTGGACTTCCTGCCAGGTTTCGCCCTGGAGGGTTTTCCGAACCGCGACTCTTGCCACTACAAGAGCCTCTACGGCCTCTCCGGTGCCCACACAATGCTCAGGGGCACCCTCAGGTTCAAAGGGTTCGCCGACTCGATGAAGGGTCTGCAGGCCTTGGGACTGCTCGGACTCGACCACCACCCTGCCCTCCACCCTAACGGCCCCGAAATCACATGGGTAAGCAATTTTTATGCCTCAGTATTTAAAAGATTTATCTATTAAAAGAGCTTTTTAGTCTCAACCTGTATTTTAATTTTTGGGGAACGAATTTTAAATTATTTTTTAAATCAGTATATGTTTTTCCACAAGTAAGTTTTTGTTATCAAATGCAGTAAAATATAGTAATGTTTTTAACTTATTTTAGCTCCTAAATTTATGATTTGTAAATTAGACTGTTCTTAGAATGAACAAGAAATAGTTTAAAAACTGATAGTTCGTAAAATATCACAAATATATACCAGATATTCAATAAGTCAAAAACAATTTTTAAATTTTGCATATTTGCAGAATTAAAAACAATTTGATAAGAAAATTTCAGATATTCTTCACGACTATGTACTTATTTATTTGATTTTCGTTCGCAGCGTCAATTGGTGACCACTTTGATGGAGTTGCCGCAAATCGACATTTTCTATGAAAACTTGAAAGCCGCTATTTACGAACGAGTCGGCCGCTCTCACCACCGACTGGACGCGGTTGAGAGGCTGGGCCTGTTGACTGATGACCTCGTACTAAAAAAAGAGACCCCACTCGACACCCTTAGCCACTTTTTGGCCAAGAAACTGCAGCTAGGTAATTAAATAATTTGGAAAAACCCAAATTTACAGACGATGTGAAACTTGGAAATTAATTTGAATAAATATTCTTTACTATTTAGTACTTTTTAGTTCCTAATTTTTTTTTTTAATTTAAACTATTTTAAATCAATTTCAAATTAATTTTTATACTTTTATAATTTAACCATTACATTTTCTATATTTATTGCAAAAAAAATTAATAATTCTATTTTATTGCATGTTATTCTTATTTCTTGCATTAATTAAATTCCAGGAAAAAATGAAAGGGACTTGGTGATTTTGCGTCACGAAGTGGGAATTGTGTGGCCCGACGGCCGACGGGAAATCCGAGGCATCAACGTCGTTTCCTACGGAGACGCCGACGGCTACTCGGCCATGTCCAAGACCGTCGGCTACCCAGCAGCGATCGCAGCCAAAATGGTTTTGGACGGTAAATTTGTTTTCATTTGTTTATGATTGGAAATTTTTTAACAATTTATTATCAGGTGAGATCCAGACGAGAGGAAACGTGCTGCCCTTCTCGCAAGACATCTACTTGCCAATGCTGAGTCGGTTGAAACTCGAAGGACTGCAGGCAACTGAGCAATCTGTGTGGCTCTGAATTAATTAATAATGTGCTCAAGAAAGGAGGCAAATCAAAATTTTTTGTACAAAATGAAATCTCCGTTTAAAATATTCTCATTTTAAATAGGCAGATATATATGTAAGTTTGGACTAAAATTATATAAATGATTTAATAAAAAGCAGTTTATTTTTTAATGTTAAATAAAACGCATTTTACCCTAAAAGTGCATGCAAACATCAATTAATTTTTCTTTTAATTTTATGCATTTGATCCAGAATACTACAATACATTGCAAACGCTCATCAATACTATTTATTTATTCTATTTTTACACATTGACAAAAATTTCAATGTTAAGTATACAGGCGGAAACTTTCAACATAATTTAAAATTTTTTTACTAAAATTTTGCTAAAATTATTATGTCTCTGGATGCAGAGACTTTGTGATTACTGATTGTTATTGGCGCCGGTCAATCCTTATCTTTTTGTTGATGGTATACTCCTTAAAAAGTGGTGTCTCAAGATTGCAAATTTTATAAAAAGTCTATGAAATTAATTAGATAAGGATAAGGCCAGCTGAAGGGTTTGCTTTCATTTTCAATTCTAGACAATGCCTTAATAGAAAGAGCTTTTGTCGGTCGGGCCGCAGTCCTCATCATCATTTAAGCACTTATTTGTAAGTATTACTACTGTAATTGATATTTTTACCTATAAACGCATGTTAATTATATTGTTCTTCAATTTGCATTTATTAAAGAAACTTAATATCAAAATTTTACTTTTCCAAAATATGTATCTATGAAACATTTAATCCAAATTGGTCAGAAATCAGCCGTTGGAAGTAAAAATATCTAAAATTGCGTTGGAAAAATCAAAATTGCTTCAGTCAGGTTTAAATTGCAAAAACTGCAAGTATTGGCTTCAGTTGCCTACTTTACAAAACTTTGACCGCCTGAATACAATTTTGAACACATTTTGATTTTTCCAATGCCAGTATTTTATTTTTATTTTGCATCTAGTGTATCACAATTATCTTCGGATTGGAAATTGGAAAGATACAATGATTATAAAGATAAAGCTTCCATAAGAACGAATGTTATTGAATTACACATCTGGTGAATTATTTTGCTTTTTCCATTTCACATAGAGTCATTTCATTGTTTAATTCTTATTGCGGAAGAAGGTCGCCGATTGATTTGTATTCTTTCTTTGGAATACTAATTCAGAAATGAGTTGATTGTAAAACTAGACCTTTTAAAAAGTCTATATCAAAATTAACTCCTGCTTGTTCATCGCGATTACCTGTTTTTACATGAGACTTGCCATGTTTCTAAAGGATTTTTAGTCTCCTTTATTTTCTTCAATATCTAATGTTAATAAATAAAAAAGCGTGTAATTAACTTTTGAGATATTTTGCCAAATAAAACAGTATTAGTAATTTATTTTGTGGGAAATTAATAAAGCCTCTTTAATCCATATATTTTTCGAACCCCATTGGTGTGCCTCTCTATAGAGTATGCCTTTTAAAGATTAGATAATTTAGATGATAAAAAAAGAACCTAAATGAAATTTTTAATTTCGCCCATGTCCGATGTTCTTAGTCATCTTGTTGAAAAAAAAGTGGTCTCTTCACAGTCTTCGCGTTGCATCAATTTGTGATTGAATAATTTTTAGAGCCTGCTTGAGTATACAATCCAGTCCATATTAACTACCGTAATTTAATAACAATCGCATAAATCTGGAACAAAGCACTTGCAAAGTAAACTCGTAAATTCGTAAATTCGTCTTAATTTCTCCACTCAAATTCAATTCTTCAAAAATTATTCAAATTAGCAAAATAATTATACAGTCAAAATACACCCACACGCGTGCAAAGAATTAAATTTTTAGCTTTGTTTTCTTTTGTTCACAATGTGATGCAACAATTATTATTGGGAAAAATAAACAACAATAATAATAAAAAAATTTGCATATGCCAACGGACTGATTATAAGATATTTGCATTTTCAGCTAAACAGCATATTTTTTTAATTATTTCCGTTGACACCAACATTTTCCAAAAGATGTTGCGCAAAAAATGAAATGGCGCTTATCATAATTGCTTGATTGATTAGACCAGACCCAAGTGGAAAGTCTCACCTCAAAATGCACTTTGGCTATTTCAGCTTTTGACACAACGTTTCGACAAGAGAACCTTTTAAAATGTGTTTTGGGATAATAATTTAACGACTTTATTGTATTTTTAAATTTTAAAACTGCAGATAAGTTCCTGTATTGATAATATATTTAGCGATTTCCAAGTCAGGGAGCGTAAGTTAGGCAACCCAAATACGTGAAAGTCGGGCGAGCTGCCTACCTTCGACTTCTGTAGGCGGTTCTGTTGATTTGCAAATACAATTTCGAACCAGCCAAAGCAGACGCGTAATAAAGTCTAAAATCAAAACCTTTTTTAAATCACGGTGCTTTTTGAGAAATACGACAGAATTTTCAATTATGTTTTATCGTCTAAAAAGTCTGAAATGATTGTTATCAAATCGATGTTGCATTAAGGTCTCTTTATTCAAATTTTGTTTTTTTCCCTTCTGCGGCAGGTGTCCTGGGAATAAATTCTGACTGGCTTTGGCATGTAACGTCTCAAAAATGTCAATTTCATTGGGTGACAATATACATAAAGGTGGGTTTTCCTTATTTGCTAGGATATTTATTTTTAGGATAAAAATTTCATTTATTTTTTGATGCGTGATCCTAGGATCTGAAAAAGGCTATCCGAAAGCCAACTTGGGATATTTTCAGTCTGGCCAGGAAACTGAAAATGCAGACAAGTGAGTTCAAAACATGTGCATATAATATTCAACACTTTTAAATGTCTTTTTTTAATATCAGTGTTTTCGTACTCGTTGTGCACTATGACTTTAAGGACACCAAAGGGTCATTAGCACCGAGATTAGGTGACGAGAAGGATGTTGAAAATCTAAGGGTGGCATTTGAGAAGAACAGAAATTGCGCGTTCCGCGAGTTGTTGTCGCCGAAAAAGGATGACCTGCTCAATTTTCTTAAAGACGAGCACAATCTGAAGCTTTACTTCGGCGCCCCCCCAGATGGTTATTTTGGCCCAGGATATTTTGATATAGTTTTCTAACGTCTTTTGTTCTAGAACCTGCCGTTTTCTTTTTGATAATTTTGTCGCATGGAACAGAGGACGGAGTCATTTTCACAGACACTGTTCTCAGTTTAAATACAAAAGATGAGTACGAGACCTTCACCACAGAAGATGTTTTTAAGTCTATTAGAGACTTATTTCCAAAGTGTCTTAAGGGCATATTCTTTGGGGTAAAATATTGATATTATTTTATCATTAAAATTTAACCAATTTTCTATTACAAAACAGCCCTGCAGAGGCTCAATAGAGGAAAGAATTGAGAAATGTTATCACACTCAATCAGAAACCAAGAGGGAAATAGAGCACGCAAAAAATAGAAACTCGTGCAGAATTACCTTTGAGCCAAACATGCGCAACCTTGTCATCTTATATTCAACAGTTGAGAGTAATATATTTAATTTAAATTATCATGACACAAAATGAATTTAAATTTTGTAAATGTTAATTTTAGCAACAGTGTCACAAAGGCGTGTAAACACAGGCACTTGGCTTGTGGAATGTTTGTGCGAGCATTTGAATAAAATGGGGCAGAACGAAGATGTTCTACAATTTTTTACAGCAATACAAAACAAAATTCATCACAAGCCATTTGCTGAATCCGGTTCAAAAGGCCAGACTCCGGAATTAAAAATGTTCACTTGCGACAGAAGATTCTTTTTCCATGTCCTTGGCCCGTACGTTTTCTGTATTAATTTGATTTTTTTATGCATATTTCTGTGTAGAAATAATGCTGTCGCTGGTACATCAAGGTCTGGATCAGACTCAAAATTCGTAAAGATTGAAAGCCAAGTGGAAAAGCCGCAGTCTATTCAATTCGATTGGTGGGATTCTGATTTAAATGCGGCTCTCAGAGGCAGAAGTGCAGTTATTTTCCACCAAGGGGAAAAAACTATATATGTGTCAAAATTGGAAGCTGCCCTTAATATAAATCTTGGATTTGACACTAAAACTGTCATAATTGACAAAGAACTGGAAGACTATTTTAGTAAGTCAGCTCTTACTTCTTGTGTGTTAAATATTTATTGAATGTTTTAAAAGCAAATAGAAACAAACAATCTTGGAGAAATTACGGTTGTTTTGCTGCCTTTTTCTTTGCCGAGATCGCAGAAAAGGGTGGTGAAGTCTGCATTCAAGTGAGTGAAAATGTAAGTATACCAGTCGGCAAGTTGCTCCACAGATTGCTTGGTCCTAAAAACGATGGCTGGATTGGAAAACCAAAACCCTTTTTCCTACTTAACACAAAATTCGCAACAACAGACTGTGCAATTATGGTATGTATTAAAATAAAAAAATATGGACTAAAATTATGAAATTTTCATTTTGTAGGCAAAAAGATTGAAACTAGAGGAAATTATTCTTCCAGCGACCAAAAATAGTGGTTGGATGGTGCTCATTCTTCAAAATATAGGTGCGATATACTTGGAAATTATTGAATTTATATTGAAAAATAAAATTTCTACAATTCATATTATATATGCAGATATACCCCAAATCGAAAAGTTCGTTGATATCTTTCAAAGTCAAGAAATCAAACAAATAAGCTCGTCTAGAAGCCTTCAAGATTACCTCGTCGATTTTCTGATTGCACGGCCGTGTAATTATGCAGGAAATGGTCCTGATGCAATGATGGTATCAACTTTGCATTGCCTGTTGAATTTTCCACAGTTGGATAAAAGCTTTGTAAAACCAATATTCACTGTAGATTACAAAGCAGACAAAGAAACATGGGATGGATTTGTACAAAAATGTATTACACAAGAAAATCAAATTTTCTTGCTTCCATCGTTTCCAGGATCTGGAAAGTCGACAGTGATGCGCGAGTTGGCTTTTGAAATGGAAAGAAAATTGGAAGGAGCAACCAAAATCTTTCTGGTTATCCTTATTCAAACCTCGCATCTTTTTTACGCCGCTAAAAGAGAAGGAAAAGTTCCATCACTCGCCTCGATTGTCTCCCACGCGACAGGAACCCGAGAAATAGAAATTCAAAATTTAATTCATGAAAAGAAAATAATGTTGTTATTCGACGGATTCGACGAAATTTACCCTCTTTACCGAAATCAAGTGCGTCAAGTTTTTGCTGAAGCGGTACTAGAAAAAGTGCCCTTGTGGGTTTCAACGCGACCGCACATAGAAGGCGAAATTTTTGCAAAGCCCGGAACAGGAAACAAAATTTGCAGAGTACAAATTATGCCTCTTGACGATGATCAGCAAATCGAGTTTTTGTGTATGACTTCAAAAAAACCTTATGATGAATGCAGACGTCGGATCAATTTCTACAGAGTAAATGGATCAAAAGATATACTGGAAAACCGTCTTCACTTGAAAATGATCGCTGAACTTGATTACAAAGAATGGACCAACTTGTATGAAATTTATGAAGAAATTGTACAACAAAAATTGAAGTTTGTGCTAAATGACAATCTTTCGGCTTTTCAGCGCAAATCTGATGATTTTTACACGAAACTGAAGCAACTTGCTGTGCAATTTCTATTCAATGGCGGGATATGTGTAGTATTAGAATATCCTAACAATGGAATTGTTACAATCAGCAATGGACGCGCCCAGTTTGTTCATCAAACGTTTGCCGAATTCCTTGCAGCTGCCCATTTTGTCGATTGGTTGCACTGTGAAGACGAAAAAATGCCGTTTGATATTTTCAAGAAAGAAGTCTTCCGTCAAGTCCGCAATTTCATTAATATGAAAATTCGTTCAATGATTGACGATTCAAAAGTTCAATTAGCGCTGGAAAGGTACTTGCAACAATGCCTTACTAAATTTAGTCTTGAAAACTTTATCCTCAGAGAAAAGCTGGATGCATTTGCCTCAGTCGCTGTAAATCTGATTACTTTTATTCAGACCGACAAAAATCAACTAAATTACGTTACGACCAACGAACTATTGGTGTTGGCCTGTAAACGGGACGAGAACTTTGCATTGCAACTTTTAAATAAAGGCGCTTATGAAAAGTTAACTAACCAAAACACTTGTACTGTAGAAATGCTTGCTGGTGCAATAAGAAATAATTTTGTACGACTCTTTTCCAAAATACAAGAAAAGTGGATGGACCTAGTGCAAAAAGATAAAAGCTCGATAAATCAAGCCGTTATAGAGGCGGTGGGAGAAAATCACCACAAAATTTTGCAGTTGTTGCTCGAGAAAGGAATTGTAAACGCAAGTGATAAAGACAATTTTCAAGCGGCACTGAGAACTGCTGTTGAGAGGAACAGTGTCGAGTGCGTTCAGTTTCTGATTGAAAATACGCCACGTACTGCATTCCTTGACGTTACTGCTTTCGGAAGTGATGGTTTTTTGATTAACATTGAGACTACAAAAGCTCTCCTCAATACAAACGACAATGCCGACGAGCCAAAGACAAGTTTGGCGTCAAGGATTTTCAACAGTGCAGTAAAATATGCAAATGCTGATGTTGCAATTTTTCTACTTCAAAATTACGGAAATGTTGAGGACGCAGATTTCAAAGTGAGCCCAAGTGCTTTGCTTGATGTCTCGAAGTGGGACGATTCTCACGACAAATCAGTAGAACTATGTCGCTGGCTGGTGGAAAAACGACGATTCAAAGTTTATGAAAATGACGTAAAAGGACATGATGCTATTTTCTATGCAGAAAAAAGAGGCAATTCAGAGTTATGCACATACCTAAAGGAACGTTAAAATCCATATGAACACATCGCATGCGCCTTGAAAAAATTTTGAGATGTGCATTTTGTGTAAAATACATTTTGTTGCTAATTTAAGTCCGGTAAACACACCAATTTCAAACATAAAACTAATTATTTTTTTCATTTAGCTAATTTTAAGGAGTAAAATTATGTTTTTACATGTAATTGCTAAGTAAAATGAATAAAAAAAGTATGATGGGAAAGAAAAAAATTGACCTATTTTAAATTAAATTGTCCTATCTTCTTGAAAATTAAAGCCCTGATTTTAATTTACTGTTTAAAGTGGTAAAGAATTTTATAAAAAAAAATCATGTATGGAAAAAAAGACTATTATTATTAATTAATTTTTTTTATGTCTACCAGGGACTCTAATAAATAAAAATTTTGCTAAATTTTGTTTACATTTTTTTCGTCAACTTTACTTTGTATAAATGAAAAACCCATTAGTCGTCTTTCTCTCTCAGTGGCAAGACTCATTCAATCTTTCTCATTTGTGTCTCCAGAGTTTCTTTCCTTTTATTCTCTACATTTTGTATTATACGTTTTTTTTTGTGTAAAAAGCGTTGGCGTCGCGGCAAAATTCCATTATTTGTCTCTCTCGCGTTTCCGTCTGTGCGAAAGCCAAGCGTGGAGACAGTGCGGCTCCGCTTTCTGCGCACCACCCCTGCCACCCCGTCGCTTGCTTGCTTCACTCCCCAGTGTGGCGAGGGTGGAAACACAGTAGGTATAGGGTAGGCCGCACGCACGCACCATGGACAACCCTGGCTTCGGCGAAACCAGCTTTGACGCCAACAACTACCCCCAGTTCCAGGACGCACCACCCCCGCAAACCTACAACTACCCCCAAAATGGTAAGATTTAAATTTTCAACTATAATTTTTAATTTAGAAATCGCAATATTATTTAAACCGTTTTGTTCGTTGTTTCTTTATATTTGTCACTTTTTGTGATATCAAGCGTTTCGATCAAAACCATTAACGCAGTGGAACTTCCCTCCCCCGGTCGTGGAATTCTCGTTTCACTATTGATTTGTATCTGTTGCTTTGTGTGTTTGTCGTGTTAAATGTACAGTATTTTTCGGCGCAAAACACCCGCGCTTTCAGTTTAGTTTAGATAAATGAATTGAATTTATTTCAGTGGAGATTAAATTTAAAAGCTCAAAAGAATTTGAAATTGAAATGGATTAAATTCGATAAAAGTTTCAAGCAAACAAAAATATAAACTTCGTTTTTCACCATGCATAAGTAGGTAGAATATTTATTTCAAATTTTCTTTTCTGCCAATGTTTTTATTTTTCCTCTATAATTCAATGGAAATTGAGCACAAATTATGATTTCTTCAATTAAAATACTATGAATTATTGAGGAAAGTTTTTAACCTGCTTTAAGTCCAGAGTAAGGCGGATTGCATAAGCTGTTTAAATTCAGGAGATAAAACTGATTCATTTGTCTTTTGGATCTGCTAATGAAAATCAGCACCTAAAAAAACAACGAAAGCCTTTTGAATTTGAGCAAAATTAAATTTTACTTATAAAATCTTAAAAGTAAAATCATCTGAACCAAAATGTACATTTCTTTAAGATCAATTTCAACTTGACACATTTTGAAATAATGGTAATTAATTTCATTTTCTTGTGCAATTATTAACATTTCTTCCAACTTTTGTAAAAAATTAGCGAATCATCCCTCAGAAGAAAAAGCCGTGTTGGACAAGGAGCTGTCGGCGGGCCAGAGTCGATTCCGCACCCTTTTCGAGCAGCACCGCCACGAGACGGTCACTTACTGCTTCGTCTTCTGGTCTTTCGGCATGTGCGTCGCCCTGCTGGGACCCACCCTCATGGACCTTGGTGAGGGAGAGAATAAATCAAATTGGCGCGACTGAATTATGGAATGAATGTCTCTCGCCTCCATATATAAATTAATAGAGCCAACGGCTTTCGATTTCCGAGGGGAGTTGCGGCTTCTCTATGTGCTAATTTTGGCACTGGTGCAATTCTCAGATGGGGTTCAAACCCATTAATTAAAGATGATTCAATTTATTTTCCTGCAATTGTTAAAAGTTTAAGGGAGAACATTAATTTAATTAAAAAAAAAAAATTAAAATTTTCAAATAATTTTTACTATTTTGTCCAAATTAAATTTTTAGCAGTTTCATTTTGTATAAAAAATTTAATGTTTTTGTGAATTATTTTGTGTTGCAGGGTGCAAAACGTCGAACCCCGACCTCTTCAGCACAATGAGCTGGGCCTTCTTCTCGCAGAGTCTGTTCACGCTTCTGGGCTCGGCGAGCGGCGGCATGTTGGCCCAGAGGTCTGCATGTCTCCTCCACTTTTTCACCCCTGGCAGGGTGCCCGGCCCGCTCGGAGCTGGAGGGTGCCCGGCTACGCAGATAACGCGCCTTTATTGCCGGGCTTTAAGACGCCCCGTTTTGGCCACTCGCCAAAATTTCCTCGGCCTTGAATGAAAAACGCAGAGAGCGACAAAATATCATCTCCAGAGAAAGATGTTGCATTTTTGTTGTGCTTTTTATACTGCGGTCTCTCTTCAAAATCTTTAAAAATCATTCAAAACTAGAAGATTTCACTTTAAAATAAAACTAATTTGGCAAAAAAAAATTTACTTTTTAAACAATAATTTGATTTATTTTTCAGGTTTGGTCCACATCTGATGCTTTTGGTTTCGTGTGTGATGCTGGCCGTAACTTTGGTCGTAATCGCCCAATGTGAAAGTTTAGCCTCGTTGGCCCTCGTTTTGGGCTTGATGGGCTTCTTCATGGGCACCATCGACACAGTGGCCAATCTATCCATGATAAAACTCTACAACAAGAACGTCGCCCCATTTCTCCAAGTAAAACATTTTTATTTTTATAAATTAATTAACGGACACCGGACACACTGAAAAAGACGCTACTTTTTTACAAACATTATAGAAATGAGAAATGATATAAAGTTTCAGAATTATATTTAAATATATCAAGTACTTTTTTGTGACCAAACAAGAAAAGAAATCGTTTTTAAATTTATTCAGAAACACAAATTTTGTAAAGATGCATTAATGTTACTTTGAAGCGAATTAAGAAAAAAAAGACTGTCAGTTTTTGGGATTTCTGAAAAATTAATTATTAAAATTTTCTTGGAATCTGCATTTAGAAAATCCTCAAAATCTCCAATTTTAATAAGAATTACCCCTTTTTATTTATTATCTATTTTCCTTTCATTATCAGGCGCTGCATTTCTTCTACGGTCTTGGCGCATTTCTCTCGCCTCTGATTTCAATGCCTTTTCTCACGACGCACGGCTGCTCTGGCAAAAGAATCGACCATCACAGTCACCACTTTTACCATCACGCCGACATGCACGCTTCCTATTTACAAGGTACATAAACGTTTAATAAATAAATCTTTAATGAAATTCTTTTTATTTTCCATACAGAAATGACGCACAACATTACGTCGTCGATTTCGCTGACCAACAACACGATTGTCGAGAAAACCGAGCAGGCCGTTTCGGAAATCCAGTACGCCTTTTGGATCATGGCCGTTTTGCAAGTTTGTATAATGCAGAATTTTGAAAAGATCCGAGTTTAATTTAATTCAGATTCCTGTGATTATTATGGTTGGTTCGCTGGTGTGGAGAGAAAGGGCTGCGGGCATCAGACCTGCCGAGGAATCCTTTGAGTTTGAAAGAACCGACGTTAAAAAGGTAAATTTTTGCAAAAATAAACTTTTGATATTTTTCTTTTACATTTTAGCATTGGTTTTTAGATTTCAATTCTAAAGAGACGTTAAGAAAAATTGAATTCGTTGACTGATTTTTTGATAATTTAGATAAAATTCCAGCTCAACCCTTTCCAAACCGAGTTGCAACAACAAAGTGACGCTTACGCGAGTCCCGTCCAAGTGACCATGATCACTGCCCTCACAGCCTCTCTGCTCTTTCTCTACGACGGCCTCCAGGTAAAATTTTAATTTGTCAAAATTTCAGATTTTATTTAAAAAATTTCAGTCTTCTTACGGAGGGTACGTGTATTCGTACGCCGTGAAAAGTCTGAGCGTGCCCAAGGCTGCGTACCTGAACGCGTGCTTTTGGGGTTTCTTCGCGTTCGGCCGGCTCGTCTCGATTTGGCTCGCCACGAGAATGGTGCCGCTCTTCATGCTGCTCGCCAACATTGTGAGCAATTTTTTTTATATCAAAATTGGCGAAAAGTTTTGAGACCAATTTTCCAGGCCGGTTGCTTGATCGCGATGATTTCGATGGTGAGCGCCCCGCACAGCCAGTCGATGCTTTACTTCGGCACTTCGGTTTTCGGACTCTTCCTCAGCAGCATTTACCCAACAGCCATATCTCTAGCCGAGTTCTACATTCCTCTCACGTGTAAGTTTTAATTGATTTATATTAATAATTAAAAACAAAACAATTTAAAGGGTTTGCTAAAAGCCAAAATAAATAAAATGGTAAAAGATACACTAAAAATTTGCAATAATAAAGCAATAATACCTTTTTAAAGTAAAACTTGTGATTATAGAATGATATACAATTAATACAATCAATTATTTGATGAAAATTCACTTAATATGGAATAATAAACAGCCGATTTTCACCTAAAATAACCTATTTTGATTTTATCACGTATTTAAAAAAATGATAAACTTCACCTGATATCATTTATCTTCAGAAATTTAGAATATTTTATAAAATTCCCACCTAAAAAAAGCCTAAAAACACAAAACTGATCACAAAAAATAATTGCTAATTTTGAAAGTTTCTCTAAAGCATATTTTATCAAAAGTTGTTACACCTTTTTAAAATTAATCATTTCATTTGTCTCAAAAATTAACTTTTTTCAGCCACTATTACCTCAATTTTAGTTGTGACGGCCGCCTCTGGTGAAATGTTGATGCCAGTAATTGTTGGACATGTAAGTTTATTAACTAAAGGATGAAATAATGTGATTTTCTTAATTAAATCATAAAGGAATTCGAGATGATCGGCCCGGCGAGCTTTCTGGGCACAGGGCTTTTTGTGACCGTCCTTTCGATTTTCATTTTCGCCTCGATCTACATCACCGGCACCACGATTAAACGCCAATCTTGTGAGTGAAAATTTTAAAATTATACCGGGATGGAAAAATAAATCCAAAATATGATATAAGAAATATTTTTAATGTTAAAATAGAGTTTTATAATCACCTGAAATTACCCATTTAAAAAATTATTTAAATTATTTCACCTTCTTTTCACGTATTTGAGTAAACAAAACTATTCTTTTAAAAAAAAATCAGCCAAGATCACCAATTTTCAGAAAAAATATCTTTTAACGATTTTCACCTCGAAAAAAGAAAAAAATTTGATTGAAAAATAATCTCCTTTTTGGCTCTTTTTGATGAAAAATCACCAAAATAGGCGTTTATTTTGACCAAAAAATCCCTTTTTTTTAAATGCCTAGAAAATAAATCAACTAAACATTTCATTCCCTTTGAATTTAGCATCTCAGGGAGTTTTCGCCACCCTCACCTCCTGCATAACCTCGCAGACTGGCGAAGTGGAAAACGAGGATTCAGGACTGATGCGGCACCACGTCAAGTACTATTCCCGCATGCAGGCCGAAAACTCTCCAGAATACGAATACACGCACCAACAGCAGCCGCAAGAGTACAGTTTGCAGCCACAAATGCCTCCGACTCATTAATGCAAATTATATCAAACTATTTACAACTTCTCTCATTCCAACTCGCTAACTTTTATGACAATAATATAATATTACATGCATCAAAATGTTAATTGTTGCAACGCTTTTCACATAATATTATAAATATTATTACCAAAATACCAAGTTAATCATCTATTTCAATAAACTCGGCCAATTTTTTCGATCTGAATAAAATTTTTTCAAGTAAAATAAATGCAGTTTTCATTTAATTTGAATATTATTTATTTCTCTAAGTTGCACATAGACTTACGGATTATTTTAACAACGTGAATCTAATAATTTCCAGGCACTACGAATTCAGACACCTCATTCAATATAAATTTTTAAATATTTACACACAAAATCGCGGGCAGAAAAAATGCCACAATGTTGAGAGAATTTCAGCTCTTTTTTATACAAAACATTCCCCAAGGCTATTTCACAGCTTCATTCCTGAGTTAGGAAACTTGAACAAACTCTTCTCATGTAGTGTTTTGTTGGAATGATCTGAAACAGCGAAGAAAAAAAATGAAATTTGTCACTCGCGCGCGCCGTCCGCTGTTGTTGTGCCTTTACAGAAAAGTGGTCCAGTAGATGATGTTGAGGACGAAGAAGGAGAAGGGGAAGAAGAAGCGCGAGAACTTGTCGATGTACACGGCCGTTTCCTTGCCTTGGCAGAAGGTGTCGTACTGCGGCACCGTCGCCGTCACCCTCGACGAAGCCACAGGACTGCCCGCTCGATTTCGCACTGAAGCCGAGTTCCACCGCGGCTCCAACTCCTAAAACCAACCCACAAAATAAAGGCAATCATGCAAAATTTAAAATATTAACCAAAAAAATTAATAAATTACCAAAACAATCCATAGGTGCTTTTCCTTCCAAAATTAAATTATTTTGCAAATTTTTCCCTGATTCTTGCATTGAGAAAAAATGAAGAATGAATTATATTTTCTTAATTTAGGTGAATATAAACTTGTTTAGTGGAAATTTCTATCATTTAATTCATTAATTCTGATCAATTTAAGAAAACTAATTATTTTAGAACATTTTCCCATGAAATGTTTAAAAACTCAGCCCCCCCCCAATTCATTCAATTTTTCAAACAATATCCCTTTGCTAATTAAATATTATTATTAACTTTTTCTTATTATATCAAAAAATCAAAATTTTTCCGGCTCTTTAAGTTAATTAACAAAATTAATTAGGAAAATATAATCGATTTTGTTTTTATTTCTTTTCTTGTTTAAAAAATTAACAGGAATGAATTTAATTTAATTGGGTTGCAATCTGACCTTGAATTCATCAACCGCCGACCTGATGTCGTCGTCCGAGTACCCCTTCATGGCTTTTGTGGCAACTGGACCCATGTAGTTGTTGACCACGGCAAACTCCATGAGCGAAAGGAAAACGAAGACGGAACAGGAGGACATCCATATGTCTATGGCTTTGACGTAGGAAACCGGAGGCAGCGATTGTTGTGACTGCGTGTTCTGCGTCGCTGCAAACAATGAATAATGAGAGGAAAAGCGCCTTCCGATTAGTGAGTAGGCAACCGGGTCGACTCGATTGTTGAGCAAGTTGCATAATTATTCATAAATTTTATTGTTAGTCATTTTTAAAAATAAAATCAAAAGAATCTTTTTGATAATAATTTTCTTTTTAATTCGCCCCAAAATCAGTTATAATTTTGCAAATTTTATCTGTTAATTGACTTTTAATTTCAAATTCTTCTTGAAAATCAGTTGTTTTAGGACAAAAATATCCTCAACTTTTTAATTAATAAAAAACCATTTCGCTCAAAAACGACTTTTTCAACTAAAAATTTGTCTGTAGGAAAAGAAGTGGGAAATATTTTTATTTTCATACCTAAAGTAAGAAGCGAGGTGACGCCGAGGGTGACCCTGGCAGGAATGGCCTCCGGCTTGATCCAGAAGGAAATCCAGGACATGACGACGATGAGCGCCGAGGGGATGTAGGTGTGGAAGAGGTGGTAGCCGAGGCGGCGCTTCAGGTTGAACATGACGGCGAGACAGGTGAAGTTGCCCGTCGAGTACTCGATGGTGCAGTCGGCCGTGTAGTTCTTGTCGATGTCCAGCTGCGGCAGTTCGATCTGGTCGCTCACCACCAACGGGTCCGTCATGTTCCAGATGAACATCAGATCGTGCGTCGTGTGTGACACTGAATAACACAAATCGCAAAAATTTAATTGAAATTAATTAAAAAAAGAATTGCTTAAAAAAAATTGGAAGAAAAGAAAACGGGCTTAGTTGTTTTTGAATGGACAACAATTTTTCAACTAGGACATCTTCCATGATCGTCTCCTCGAATGCCAATTTTTTCAAACAATGACAGTAAAAAATTATTTTCAATTTAGGTGATGTAACAATTGTACGAATGATCAACAATAATAATAAAATTCAGTCACTAAAATACTAGAGAGCTCTATTTTTATACTTCTGCATCATTATCATTCATGACATTGAATATTCATTTTGTGTCCTAAGCTAACATTAATGTTCTGATATAGCGGACGATGTGCTGAAAACCTCCAAAAACATTGGGGGAGATTCGATCGCTACAAATGGCCTCCTGTTAAAACCAAATGTTAACAAAACATATATAAACTTTGACTAATATCATAGAATCACAGAGAATGTGGAAAATAACTAAACCCCAAATGGTTTTTGTAATAATGAATATAATTGTAAGACACTATTTTTAACTAGAATTTTAATTAAATTATTTATCACTTTTCTTGCCGTTGAGATCGTTCTAATTATAAATATTAGTAAAGCTCAAAAATTGAGAATTGTAAATCAATAAAATTAACACAAGAATCTCTTAATGAAATTGCTTTAAAAATTGAAATGACGGAAAGAGACTCGAAGGTTTAATTTTTATTTTCCATCAATTTACCCTTCATTAAGTTGGTCTTTTGCTGCATCATTTATTAATTGCAAATTGCATTGTTTAAAATTCATAATTTTAGCAATGGTATCAAAATTTGAAGAAATTTCCAATTAAAAGTGAATTATAGGTCATTTATTCACTTCATAGAGGTTAGAGTTTTTAATCATTATATCTTTTAAAACTTTTCACAAATTTTCAAAGTGTGCCTCAGAAACTTGTAGTTTTAATAATCGCGAATACAAATTTAAGTCTAACTCATTAACTTTGCCTTTTATTTTAAGCGCATGGTTCATTCCATGGTTGAATTTTTCCAACTGGTTTCTAATTATTTAAACCGAGTCGGTTGATTTATGCGAATTTGATTGAAATCGGTGTTTGCAGATTTCATATTTATTCACGTAAAAAAAATGTAATATTAATGAAAAATATTGATTTTTTTAAGATGTTTTTTGTTTGCAAATAACTTTGCAGAAAGGTTTCGTGAATATAAATAGATTGTACTTATTTTTCTTTGAGATAAAAATAGATCGATGCATAAATTTTGCGAAACTTGGTGGCCTCAAAGCGAAATTGCAGGTAAGTGGATAAACGCGTGTGCGAGGCTGCACGCGTCGCCGAAGCATGTTTAGTGAATGGGGAAGTGATTGATTTGTGCCGCAACACACGAAGAGAGAGAGCAGATAATTACCATATGTAAAACTGTATGTATATGATTTGTCGCCGGCTGGACGAACCGACTCTTTTGCGGCTTCGTAATCCGGCAGTGCACGAGATGACGAGCGTGTGTGTTTTTGCCTGCAGAGCTAGCCTCGTAACCAGTGGAGCAGCACCGGCAAAATCGTATTAGCGGAGAGCGCCGTTTAGGCGCTTTTAGCCTTACGTAACTAAACGGCACCACATGGCCTGATTTCGCGTTCGCAAAAAAGAAAAATATACAAACCAACTTTTGCTCAGCAAGGGAAAAAATTTGATCAGTTTTTTCAACCTAATTTGTTTGATATTAAATAAAATTCAGTAAAAAAGCGATCAAATTAAAATTCTTAAATTACTAAAATTGACTGATTGTGAGTAAAAAAATCAGTCTAAGACCCTAAATTTCGAGTATATCTTTAAAAAAAAATACGTGCAAATTCCAAAACAAGAAAACCTACGCGCGAAAAAATATGAGAATTGAGTTGCATGGGAGTTTCCGTCAGTTTCGTCAAAAAACTTGTTCTTTTTGTCACTGGTGGCGCTGTACAGAAAACTGCCAAATCAGCGATCGCAGCGCCACCAATGACCCAAAGCTGAAGTTTTTTGAACAAACCGATGGAAAAACCCCAGCAAATCGAAATTCCCTAATTATTTTTTCGCGAATTTAAATAAAGAGCAATTAAAATCAGTGGAGTGTGGGTATTTAAGTTAATCAATTTTTATTTAATTTTTAGCCTTTGAATTTTAACCTCAAAGAATTCTCCTAAAAACAACACTTTTTATAAAATCCATTCCGAATAGAAATCAAAACATTTTCCCAAGCCTTTGAACTTTGAAAGTAATTATTGATTTTTTATTATGCTGAAATGTACTCACGACTTTCGATCATCATCGAGCAGAGTTGAGTGTCGTGCGGGTACGACTCGAACTTCATGGCGCAAGACAACACCAGCGTTAATCTGCATAATTTTATTTTTTATAAATATTTAATTTTTGTCAATAAAGAATCCAACTTTGACATGTAGAGCAGGGTCTTGTCGTGGTAGAGCCAGAGATAGTGGTTGGGGATGCTCATCTCGTGGAAGGTGACCTTCTTGGCGTTCTTGAAGAAGCAGTCGGGCCTCCAGATGTCGTGCAGCCACTCGACGTCCAGGATCCGGTACTCCTCCTTCATGTTCTCTGGCAGCCGCAAACGCGGGTCGCGCCAACTTTGTGCCAGGAAAATGTCCGCCACGTACGTCTGGTAATTAATTCAAGCATGAAAGTAGCAGTTTTTAATAAGATTTTTATAAAAAATAAAAATAAAAACTGCTTAAAATATTTTTATGCTCCTAAAAAACGGGACGATTGATTTTGATAATTTTTTTTTTAAACTAGCTCAATATTTTATTTTGTGAATTTCCTAGGAGACATAGTTAGTAAAATTGAATGCAATCAAGTAAGTTGGCAAAATTTAATAAAAAAAAAAGGTAACTTATCTTACAAATCTTAAAGGAAAACGGTTCAGTAAAAATTTCTTCCAGCAAGCTCTTTTCTAATAAGGAAATATTCGAATAAATTTTCTTTATTTTTGTAATTATATTTTTTTAAATTCAATTTTATTACCAATTATTAAAAATTCCAAGTTTGAAATTTTACACTTTTCTTTCTCAAAAGTATTTTTTGAAACAATAGAAAAGATAAAATTTTAAAAGATACGTTTTAGTTATCTGGACAGAAATGTTTCAAATAATAATAACAATTATTTATGGTTTATATTGTTTCTTTCCTTTTTTGTCATTTCCTTTTGTAAATCTAAATATAATTTTAAAAATTACGCAGTTGAACGTTTATAAAAATACTAATTTTTATTTTTTATTTTTAAATGAGCTATTTCGATTGGAGATTTCATTTTGACTTTATAAATTCACGCACCTCACTCCATTTTTTAATAGTTGAGGCGAATTTAAAGTTCTTGCTGTGGAAAACTCGAATAAAATTTTATTTCATCTCAAATCGTGTATAAAAGTTGCAGATGATTAATTAGGACCTAACTGCAGAGATTGTATCATAAATAGCGCAATTAAATATAAAGCTTTATGTTGATATCATTCAAATTTTTTTTAAAAAAAAGCAAGAATAAAAAAAAATAATAATAAATATGTACTGATTTAGGTTAGAAGGTTAAAAAGTTTTTCTTAATTTCACTTATTTTTGTGTCAAAATATAAAATAAAAATAAAGCTTTTGATGATAATAATTGTGTCGCTCACCATGGATTCTTCGTTAATTGAGTCGAGTGACAGAACCGTGACGTGGAAGTAGACGATGGTCGGCTGGCCGGCCACTTTTGGTGCGCGATTTTTGTCGTAGTGCTTGGGGTTGACAGGCAGAATGTCGCCGAGCGACAGACTCGTCTCGGGCGCCATGCCAGGCACGCCACTGCAACAATTAAGAAATAAATTATTTATAAAAAAAAATTTAATTTATTATTTTATTTCTGTTAAAACTGATTTTTGGCCTAGTAATAAAGTGCAAATTTACAGCGCAGGTCTACGGGGGAAAGGTCAGGTCACACTCACTGACTGGCAACGGGCTCCTGCGGCCGCTTGACCTGCAGGTCCTGCATTTCGATGAACCTGTTGCGGCCGCGCTCGCGTTCGCACAGCAGGTGAATCATCTTGTCGAGTTGCTTGTGCAGAGGGAGCGGCCGCGGCGGCGGCGGCGTCGGCGGCGCGAACACCGCCGTGCTCACCGTCTCCATCGCCTTCAGGTCCACGAACCGCGTGTTGTACTCGTCCAGCAGGCTCGGGTTCAGCTGCAGGCTGTGCAGCAAACTCAGCGGCCACTGAATATCGCACCCAAAAAAAGCAACAAAAAATAAAAATTGTATAAAAAAAAAAAACATTTCCTTTTGTGGTTGAGCGCTTCAAAAATCGTTTTTCTTTCAATCTTCAACAAGATAAATTTTAATGGAAGTGTTTTTCAGTGCGCGTTCTTTAATTTGAATTATTTTTTCAACAATTATTTTTTAAGAATTTAAAAATTTTATAAATTTCTCTTTAAAAATTGAAATTGATGCAAAAAATTTAATTTTTATTTTCATGGCTGTGAAATTTAAACCATGGTCTTTTTTTCTGAGGTTACAATCCATCATGCCTCTGAAAAATGTTGAACTTTCAAAACCATTTAAGACCCCACTTAAAAACCTCATAGTGTTTTTTACTCCCTCACTAGTTTTTATATTAAACTAAATTCTTGATTTTGGTAATTTTGTTTTACATAAAAAAAAGTTTAATATTTCTCACTTTCTAGCCAGTTATTAATAAATTTTTATAAAGTTCTTTATAAGAAAACTTTTTCTCCTTAGAAAGAACACCTTTTTTTGTTGAAAAGAGTCTGAAGCAAACAAATAACACTCAATTATTATCTCATCTGAATATTTGTTTAATTTCACAACCAATTTTTTACACTTTCGTTTTTCTTTGAAATTTCATTTTATATGTAAACCTTAATTTTCTCTTTAAGCCTTTTTCTGAATTAATTTAAATTGTTAAATATTCTAAAACAGTTTTATTAACACATACACAAGGAATTATTCTTGTGATTTCTAATTATTTCAATTTTCAGTATTTTATTTATCATATTCATCAATACCTGCTCACCAGAAAATTATGTTCGTACAACTCTGTCTTACGATTCCGACGGAAGGCATCTTTTTTGGCCAACATAATAGAGCTGATGAGCAAGTACTGATATTCATTTTTAAATAAATTTGTATTTATTTATTTTAATTTTATAAAATTGATGATAATGATGTGCATACCTGGAGGTCTTCGAGAGGAGTGCAGCGGCGGTGCTTGACCCTGCAGTACTCCATGACGTTGGTGCGGATGGCCTGGGCGGTGGCGCCGGTCCTCGGCGTCTCGCCCTTGTCGCTGCCGTAGATGCTGACGGTGCCGAGCAGATCGGCCATCTTATCGACGACGCTGATGACGGCCTCGGCGACGCGGTCAGGGTCGGCCTGCAGCCACTGGTGCGCGTTCACGTGCACCACGTACAGCGTCGGCGCCGCCAGCGTCTCCGTCTCGAGGGCGGCGCCGAGTCGTTCGACGGCTTCGGCACCTTCGAGGCGCCGCCCCACCGAGCACTTGCGCATCTTGTCGCGCTGCGCCGTGTTCAGCACGTTGCCCAGCAGCAGCAGCGCCAGGCGCCGCTCCGTCGCGTTGACGGCGCCGTCGGCGGCGCCGCCGCAGTCGCCCGGACACGCCGCCACGCGGTGCTGGTATCGCCTCGCAGTGCTGCTTTGCCGCGCCCGTTTCGCAGAGGCTCGGCGCCGCGGGTGCGGCGCCGCCGTCGCCGCCGCAGCCGCGGCCTCCTCCTCGCACGCCGCCGGCTCGCACTCCCTGCAGACAGACACATGCTTAGCCGCACGCCACGTTCTTTACAACGACACGTACACGCACCACTTTTTATTTACGCACAAAATATTCGAACGCATACAAACATTTTGGTATTTTTATAAGCGGACACATTCACAGGCTAACTATAATCAATGACGAATTCTATTTTTTATTATTTATTTATAAGTGTCTAAATAAACTCGTTACACTGCCCTTTGAACTTAAGTACAATATCATTACATTTAATATTATATCAAATTTATTTTAAACCATTTTTTTCTATTTCCATAATATGCATAAATTTATAATTGTAGTTTTGTTAGTAAATTAACCAAGTAATTATTCATATTCTACCTCTTAAATCATTGTTTATCACAAATGTTGTATTTTTAATTATGAAGACATCATTAGTGAAAGAACACGCAAATATCAGTATAATTATCACCACATAATCCAGAAATAAACACCATGTTTTATTCTATATCTAATTGTAATTTTAATATATATTCATTGCAGTATAATTTGTATTGTGTCTCAAATTTAAATTACAACAGGCACTAAATTCAATTAAATTTGCACTAATCAACCAACTTGGTCTAAATTTTAAATAGTTAAAAAAAGATGCACTTTTTGTCTTAAATTCTCCCCGGCAATTGATAGTAGTGATAAAAGGGAACCAATTATTTAAAATAAATTTGATGGTAAGAAAAGAAATATATCATAAACGTATTTTTGGGAAACTCTAACCTCAAAGAAATTAAAATATTAAAAACTTTAAACTAGAAATTTTTTCAAAAATTTTAATCAAATCAAGATTAGGGATTAAATAGGGATTAAGAGGAATGACCAGTTTTCTTTGAATAAATCTGGATCCGCTATTTATTTCATCAAAGCAGGTTTCATTTATGTTTCCGTTTCCCTGTTAAATTAATCTATGATAATTTCAATGGCTGTAATTCTTAATTCTTGTATGAAAAATCTATACACACAATTTTATATCATGCTTTTGATACTTTTTGAACAAATCTGAATAATTTTTATTCTTACAATTGCTACAACGCACATTAAAAAAAGGCATGAGAAAATAATAAACATCACATATTTTATGTTTTTAATTTTCAATGACTCCAAATCCCTGAAATGGAAATAATAGTGAAAATTTTGTGCTTAAAATGATATATTTTTGAATTTTTAAACACACGGCTTTGTAAAAGTTTATTTGAATAAGAAATTGTTAAGTATTTAAGGGCCATTTAATCAAACATATAACTCTCATTACTCAATGTCTTTTAGCAGATCATTTATTTTAAATACATATAACAAGATTTGAGACGCTAGTTATGAGCTTTCAAGCAGAATTAAGCACAGCGTGCAGTTGTATGCAACTGGCGCGACAGCGACGACAAGCGGGCGAGTCTAGCGAAAGCAATCGCAGGGGCCGTGTGTAATTTTTGACGTTACGGAATCACACAAAAGCAGACTGCTCGCTGAAATGCCGAGTCCAGCCGTCACTCGGCTGTTTTAAAAGATTATGACGAGAAAATAAATGACAGTCTCCGCAGTTGGACTTATTACGATGCCGAATATAATGCGATTATTATTATATTTTGCGCGCGCGGATCAGATCAGCAGTGTGTCTGTCACATTCAACGACTTATTTTATTCGTGGCGATAAAAGGGAACCTCTCCGTATGTGTTTGCTTGAAAGGCTGCATTAAGCAAAACGATCGCTTGACATATTTCGTGACCCCAAAGCATCGAACACTATGTCTTTCTAGGCTTCACTTTTCCGCCGTCGAGACCGGCTGACAACCTCTCTTCTTGAAAGAGAGATAGACGATTTCGTTTTAATTTCACATCAATTTTTGACTTTTCCGCTCGAAATATAAAACGAGCAATTGGGTCAAGGAGGGGGTGCGGGAGGGAAATTAAGTGGATTTGGCACGCGCTAATAGGATTGCCATTTAGGACCCTAACCATGTGTGTGTCCAACTGTGTGTTTTTCTCCTCCGGTGACGGTAATTTGAAACCGACGTGTGGCCAAAAGTGCATTGGTTCCGTTTGCGTCTCGCACGGATTATTCAAATCAATAAGCCAATGAAAGGCCTCAGTCCTTCCTACGAATCCTCAAATATATAAAATCAGGGCAGCTGATGATTAACATAACTCTTTTGAAGCGATTTTTTTCCATACAAAATTTAATTTAAAAGGAACAAATATTTTCCTTTTATTTCTACATTCAACATGAAGTTCACTGAAAATCTCTCCTTCCCGTTAATTGAAATTTTATATCTTGTTACAACGATATGAGATTGTTGAGGTTAAATTTTATTAACAATAAGTATGTGATTTTGACTTAAACATTATTTTACAAAATTCCTTTAGAAAGTTAATTTTTAAAAAATTACTGCTCTTAAATTCATTGAATTTGAGTAACAATATCTTCTCATCAATCTTAAAACTCTTATTAAAGAATACAAAATTTGGCCCTTTATCCAGCATAATGCCCATTTTAAGGATTAAATATTTAATTATATTTCCAGCTGGTATTAGTGGTATTTAAAAATTTTAAGTGCCAAATTCATTTCATTTTGTGAATGTCTATGAATTTTATTTCGGTGAAAAACGGCAGTTTTAATGAAAGTTCCAGTTTAGGCGACGAATTTAATTTTGCCAAAATTAGCCCGAGGGTGTAATAAGAGATTTCTGCGGCTTCTCTGCTCTCTGAACCAAAGGGAATGTGCGTTTCTATGCGTATATCAACGGGGGCGGCTTTGCTGTTCCCGACTGATAACGCTGCTCAAGTTTTCTCCACTTTATAAGCAAAAATTAATGGTCGCCATTAATGTTTCCTAACATTTTGGCAATAATAATTATCACTACGCTGATCAGAATATTTGATTTAAAGAAAAGTAGCTAAACAAATTTTGTTTAAATAAAAGTTCCTGAAATTTTATTTAATTTTTCTACTTACAATAGTGGTAAAATTTTATTTTTTTATTTTTTTTTTGACATGTGTATTTTTATACCCTGATATTTTTTGCACCAGGCAAGAGAGAAAAAAGCCATGCAAGTGCTGCAAAATTACATTATTGGCGATGTTTGCATCATACACCCCTCTTGAATTTGATAACAAATCTGTCAGCTTTGTTTTAAATTGATAGAGAATCAGAGAGCCGAGAGCCATGAATGAAGTTTGGCAATTTTGGATATTTCATCACTGGAACAAAATTTTCAATTACTTCATTGTGAGCAGAACTAATGTTTAAATTGAATCAGGGCCAAATTAAGAATTTACTAAAATCAGATAAAAATAAGTTCAGAAAATCTGTTTCTTCTGTTCTACTCACAGGTTTAAATTTTCCTATCAACAAATTCAAATTGCTTTAGCCATTCATTTGTCCTTTTATTCAGTTTTGATTTAATGCCAACTCATTCGTTTTACGCTGATTCGTTCAGGAGAATCTCTTTTAATATTATAATTTGTTTTTTTAATTATAATCAAATACGGCCCCTATACTAGAAGAAAGTTAACCTAGCAAAATTCAACACATTTTTCTAATTACGGAAAATTAAAGATTGCGAAATTGCACTCACTGCGTTTGTGTGTAAATGAGCATGGCGAGCAGCAAGAGGATAAGCAGCAGAATGCGTTGGTGCATGACTGATTGCCAGTGTAAGTCTTTTTCGTCTCTCCTCACATGCTCATCAATTTGGACGATCAGTTGCTCGCTCGCATTTTCCGAAGCACACCTTGCGAACCCGCGAACCGGCTAAAAGAGCAGCATTCGCCGACTAATGGAATCAAGTCGGTGCTGCGGCTGCCGGCCGGCCGAGCACGGTGCGCGCCCTAATCGGCTTTTTCTTGTTGGCAAATGTGTGGTGAAAAGTGCCCTCTTCCGTCATTTTTGCCACACAACAGGGCGAAATGCCCAACTGGACAGTGCTGCCCTTGAAATAACAGAAATTTTGAAGTTGAAATTAAAAATTTTCTGTCTTACAAAGGAACATTATTAGGTGTCTAACTGCGATTTTGATCAAATATGGAATGTCGATTCCAGAATTAAATAATTAGCTGCTGAAATGCATTTTCCACTCCTACAGAAGGGTTTAAGTTTGCCATTAAAATAGATAATAAATAATTTCATTATATATTTTAATGAAAACCTTGGTGGTACCACAATTTGCCCCCACACTGTGGTACCACAATTTGCCCCCACACTGTGGTACCACAATTTGCCCCCACACTGTGGTACCACAATTTGCTCCCACACTGTGGTACCACAATTTGCCCCCACACTGTGGTACCACAATTTGCTCCCACACTGTGGTACCACAATTTGCTCCCACAATGTGGTACCACAATTTGCTCCCACACTGTGGTACCACAATTTGACCCCACACTGTGGTACCACAATTTGCACCCACACTGTGGTACCACAATTTGCGCCCACACTGTGGTACCACAATTTGCTCCCACACTGTGGTACCACAATTTGCTCCCACACTGTGGTACCACAATTTGCACCCACACTGTGGTACCACAATTTGCGCCCACACTGTGGTACCACAATTTGCTCCCACACTGTGGTACCACAATTTGCCCCCACACTGTAGTACCACAATTTGCTCCCACAATGTGGTACCACAATTTGCTCCCACACTGTGGTACCACAATTTGCTCCCACAATGTGGTACCACAATTTGCTCCCACACTGTGGTACCACAATTTGCTCCCACACTGTGGTACCACAATTTGACCCCACACTGTGGTACCACAATTTGCACCCACACTGTGGTACCACAATTGGCGCCCACACTGTGGTACCACAATTTGCCCCCACACTGTGGTACCACAATTTGCTCCCACACTGTGGTACCACAATTTGCTCCCACAATGTGGTACCACAATTTGCTCCCACACTGTGGTACCACAATTTGCTCCCACACTGTGGTACCACAATTTTCTCCCACACTGTGGTACCACAATTTGCCCCCACACTGTGGTACCACAATTTGCTCCCACACTGTGGTACCACAATTTGACCCCACACTGTGGTACCACAATTTGCACCCACACTGTGGTACCACAATTTGCGCCCACACTGTGGTACCACAATTTGCTCCCACACTGTGGTACCACAATTTGCTCCGACACTGTGGTACCACAATTTGCTCCCACACTGTGGTACCAAAATTTGTTACCACAATTTCGTACCAAATTTGAGATAATAAATAATGTCATCATCTATTTTAATGGCAAATTTTAAACCTTTTTTTGAGGGTGAAAAATGCATTTCAGCAGCTAATAATTTAATTTTGGACTCTACTTCAGGATCCTAATTGACATGCCAAATTTGATCAAAATCGCAGTCAGGCACCTAAAAATGTTCCCTTGTTAGGTAAACTTCATGGTTTGTCAAATCACGACTAAAAAAGTGGCATTGCTTATTTGCTTCGAACTTCCTTTTATAAAAGGTTCTGGTTGTTAATTAAATTAAAAGCGTCGTTTATAATTTTTGCACATAAAAGAAGTTATTTTAATTCAGTTTATCATTTATTTCAGAATACAATGAATTAGTTAATTTATAAAAATATAAATCTTCTCTCTTCAGCAATTTCCAGCTTTCAGACAAGGTCAAAATCACAAGAGCATTATAATAATGAGCAGGTAAAATAGTAAAAAGTAAAATACATAACAAGGGTTTGCATTTTATATAAAGCTAAAAATTAAAAATAAATATATGTTTCATGGTCCCAAATAGATTAATCATCTCACTTTGTTAATATCATTTCTATTGTTAGAGGTGTTAGCGATTATGGCACCAGCAGAAAATATATAAAAATATAATGTTGTATTTTTTAATTGCATGAATTGCAAAAGACCAGATTTTTAATTATTGCTCCAACCCCATTAAAGTTTTTTCAGTCTATCGCTTACAAAACTAATTAAAATTAAAGTAGCTTTTGTACTCTCAGCTTTCCTGTGTTTTGACGGCTAAAAAACCATCTTCATGAGGCAGAACTGAGCATGCTCCTCAATATGCTGCTCCTGCATTGCTTCCAGGCAGGTTTTGGAGCAGAAGAAATTCTTGTCCGGGTACTCGGGATTGTTGGAGCACTCGTCGCACACCAGAAAATCCTTGACTCCGTCCGCCTGTCCACACCATCTGCAGTGCTGGATCGGACAGAAGTTGATTTGTCCTGGCTTCTTCATGGGAACTTTCCCGTCTTTGGTGAGCGAGGCCAACACATCTCTGTAGCAGTCCCGATTAACCTTAGCCTCCGCCAGAGTGACCATGGAGAGGTCCTTGGATCCGTCGCTTGAGCTGAGCCACATGGAGGTCGTCATCTTGGCCTCCCACAGTTTGCCTTCCACCACGTTGAAGTAGGTGTTTTGGACGGGGTCCAGGGTGAAGCGCTGCAGATACTCGTACATCTCTGGTTTTACCTTGACGCTGGCTTTGTCCAGGTTGCTCATGAGCATGAACAGAACGACTCCGATCAACTGCTGAGTGGTGACGTGTTCAAATTGTAAAAGAGGAAAGTTGTGATTCCAGAAAGCACGCCCTATAGCCGTTGAAGCCTCGACCAGAATGCGGTCTATGAGTTCCGTCACACTTTTTGGCAGCTTTATGCGAAAAATGTCCATCATCTTTGCAAGCAGCAGGCACTTATGGTTGTTTTCAACTGAGAGGTCAAGTGTGGTGAAGCAATCCGCTGGACACACTGTCTCAAGAGCAGACATCAATCTGAAACCAAAAAATCGGTCCATTTTAATATCAGGATTTGCTTAGAGCAAAATTTTTTATAATTCAGGCCGGCTAAATTTTAATTCAAGAGTGCTGGGCGCAGTAAACAATTATTTTTATCTTGTAAAAATCCATTTAATTTTTCTTATAAAAAATATTCAAAAATGTTTTGATGCACTATTAATATAAGAAAATTGATTGATTACCTGTACAAAAGAAGATAGACCTGCAATGGCCAGGAAAAATTCTCAGCTCTGATCTCGTTGTAGTAATCTTTTATTTTCACCACAGAATCCACCAGACTATGTAAGCAATTCACAAAACGTACTGGAAAGAAGCCAGCTACCGCAAGCTTTTTACGCAGCTCTACCCAAAGAAAGGTAATGGCAAGCATGTGTGAACGGTGCACTAAGAGAATGCGCATGGATGGGTTTAGTGCAGCGAAAGGTTTCTCATGACACTCGTAGAATTCACATCTCTCGTACGTCTTGACCAATTCATGGATTACGTTTAGGAATTGCTTCTTCTGGTTTTCCTGCAAATTTGAGCAGTTGTAAACGGGGATGATTTCAGCAACAAAGCAAGGCAGGATGTACTGGACTGTTGACATTTCAGGGTGAATCCTTGGAGGACCCTTGAACTGCCCCATCTGGTCCTCAATCATATTCAGCAGTATTTTCTTGATTCTCGACTAAAAGTATAAATTGAAAATTATTATTTAATACAATCAATATCTTTATATATTTACCTCCAAATTCTTCAAAATTCCGTCAATACCTGACTCCAGCAGGGGTCGTTTCGCAGATTTGGTGTTTTTGCACTCCTTTCTCAAGGTGGCTAGGATCTTTTCAAAATCCCAGGTCTTGTCCTTCTCAACACAGGCCAACGTGCGCAGCATTTGTTTGCGCAATTCACTTTCCGGAAATTTGCTTTCCCCGTTGTCCTCGGTGGGGAAGTTTTTGAACACTTTCATTTTCCCTCTCAAGTTTATAGAAAACTCTGTAATTTCAACCAGGGCAGCTAGCGCAACACTAAGGTGCATATCTGCACAGAGAGTGTTTAGCTGGTGGATTACTCCAAAGTTGGAGTCTTGGAGGCCTTTCGCCTGGCTGCTCGTTTCTGCAATTTTACACAAAAGTACACTTTCATTAGCACACATGACGTTTGCTACAAATATTTCAAATGATTTTTGTGTATATTTATAAGGACAAAAATCAATTACAATAATTTACTCTCTCAAGCTTAACAAAAAAATTAATTATTTCTAAAGCAATTTTTAATTACCAATAAAATGGTGGTACATCAAGTAGCAGTGGCCCATGAGTTTGTAGTCATCTTTGTTAGCTGCCTCCAGCTCTTTCATCATGGCCTCAAAACTGGCACCCTTCAGCCTACCAGTCTTGATAACCTTGTCGCCCACAAATGCGAACACGTCCGCTGGCGCCAGCTTTTTGATTTTCTTCTCAATTTCCTCTTCAAAGGGCAGCTTGACTTGGGCATGACTTATCATCTCATCTTCTACGGTGACATTACCAGATTTTAAGCTGTCTGCAATGACCAGGTCTGTCCTCCAGAATTTGTAAGCAAACACATGCTTGATGTCCGCCACTCCAGCGACTCCAGTCAAAGAGAGGAGCTGGGCATGTCGAGAATCTCCCTTTAAGTCTTGGTACCGGTTGCCGTATCCAGAATTCCGGCCATTCCAAGCCATCCTCTTCAGGTCATAGAGCAGCTTCTTGCACTTTTTACTTGTGATGAACCTTAGTTGACTTAAAGTGCGTCCGATGATTCTCTTGAAGTCCTCGACAAGCAATGCATTTCGAAAGGTAGTCTGTCTGAGCGGATCATACGTGACTATGATCGTGTACATTTTTTTGAAGAGACCGATGCCATTTATTAGTAGCTCGTATTCCAATTTAAGGAGCTCAATAACAGTTATTGTCAATTCAGGAGGAAACGTCATGAAGTGAAAATCGACACATTCCTTCTGAAATCGAAGCAGCTCGGCCAGATAAGCGAAATGCCACTGCTGCAGGAGCTTGGAGTTGAAGGGCAGCTGAAGAAGAATCCAGGGTTCGAAGAGGATTTCGTCGACTGACTCGCACACGTCGAGGGACCCCTGCGCACAAACAAGAAATTAGCTTTAATCAATTTTATAATCGTCTAGCTCATCAGATAATTTTTTTGTCAAAAAATATAATAATGATTTTTTACTAAAGGTGTAAAATATAAATTGTTTACCTGCAGCATTTTATTTGTCACTTGACACAAGTACGAAGTCAAAGGAGTTTCGTCAAAGTCAGAGCGATCTTCAGATCTGAGCAATTTCTCGATGGCATTTGTATACAGGCTGCCGTAAGCTTGTGTGCAAATCAAGTAATGGAATGCGTTTAGCCAGTGCGCGTCAGTCGATTTCTCCAGCAAAGATGGACAGTCCATTTGATGGTACCTATAAAAACACATAAATATGTATATAAATTAATTAAGAGAAGAAAAGTATTAAATTAAAATAAATTATTATTTTCGCATTGAAAATTATTTTCTAAAGGAATTTTTAAATTGATTAATTAAAATAATTCAGATATTCAAAAATACCTTTTGGGCAAGTAATAAGGGAAGGTTTTTTGCAGCAGCGACAGCAGCTTGAGGCCGCGCTGCCCTTTGTCCTCCCTTGTGGCCATGATGTCTCTGAAGAAGACCGAGTCTTCCAGCTTCATGTCGCCAATATTTGCAGGAATCCACGGCATCCTGGACACGGCCATGTTCGGACGCTGCAGGTCTGCTTCGGACATCGTAAGGCTAAAGAAAAATAATGCCAGAAATAAATAAGAAAACGCAGAATTGCGTGTGCCTTTCAAGTGAAAAACAGAAAAGAACATGCGAATTTTAACACACATTGACATAAAGGTGTTACCTGAGCTTGATGTATGTAAGTGTAAGTTTTCCTTTTCTTCTGTTTTTACATAATTTCCTTAACCTCGAACCTGCCTCAATGTCTTCCTCCTCGTGCTGTTTGTTTTCTTTCGTTTCTTTTCGTTTTCGTACTTTTCTCTCCTGCTTCGTCTTTTTCCCCACTTCCCTCTCGTCTCTCCCCCACACCCCCTCTTTTCTTCTCGACCAATCAGCGCGCTCCGTTGTCGGTGACTCACAATCAGATGTTTTTGGCAACGCAGCCGCTTTGTTGTTCTCGTGACTGGCAACAACACACTTATCTCTAAATTCTCGTTCTCCATCACCCGGCCAGTTTGCAGACCAAAGGACAGGAGGATGTCGAAGACAATTCTCTCTCTACTGCTGGCCACTTTCCTCCTCGGCGTCCTCAGCGATGCCCAAATCATTAGGTCTGTGAATAAAAACACACACTTAATCTGGAAACCTTTTTTTCATTTTTAATAATAATTAATTTCTGTAATTTTAGAGTGCCGCTCACCAAAGTCCAGAAGGCCAGGGAGGCCCTGAGAGAGGTGGGGACAGACATTTCGCTGATCAAACACCGATTTGAACACATGGCCTTAGGAGGACCTGTTCCGGAACCTCTCTCGAATTATCTAGACGTACGTTGGTTAATACAAAATCTATTAAAATTTTTATTTTCTTAAAAAACAGATCGAAAATTTCAGAAGTTATTCTATTTTCCTTAAGGCTGTTGATATTTTTCACAATCAAATCAAATTATTTGAATAAGAGAAATGTTTTTATTATATATTTTTATTTTTATCAGTAAAATAAGTGTATTGATCTGGCATTTTTTTTTTATCTTTAGCTGCTGTTTGTGAAAAACATTATATATTGAGCAGTTTGGCCGGCCGGTTGCTAACTAGTCGGGCTTCTGAGAAGTCAAGCAAGTGCGATGCCTCGTGATAAACTTTGCCATGCAAATGCTGCAACAACCGGCCCCTCCCAGTACTCTTGTTTTTCCTCTTTCAATGATAATAATTTATTCCTACAACCAAGCCGCACTTTGCAGATGAATCAGATTCTGCAATTATTCATATTTATTCAATTTAAATGTTAAAATTTTCTCCAGTTAACAAACTGAAGAGGAAAATATTGTATTATTTTGTTTCATTGCCACATTGTGCTCTTATTATTGACAATCAATTAAGTAACCCTTTAACAGGCTCAATACTACGGACCCATCAGCATTGGCAATCCTCCTCAGAAATTCCGAGTTGTTTTCGACACTGGCTCGTCCAACCTCTGGGTGCCGTCCAAGAAGTGCCATCTTACCAGCATTGCTTGCCGTAAGATATGAAATTAAGAAAATTTGTTAAAATTTATAAATTTTTTTCAAATATCAAAGTTGACTGAAAAATATCCTATTTTAAAGCAATAAAATATTAAATGTCCTTAGTTCTTCATAACAAGTATGACAGTAAAAAGTCGTCAACCTACAAGAAAAATGACACCGCCTTTGCCATCCAGTACGGCTCAGGAAGTCTCTCGGGCTTTCTTTCGGAGGACGTTGTCCAGGTAAAAATCAAAAATATATTTTACTTCTACTTGATTTTTCTTTTACTGCAGATTGGAGGACTGAATGTGCACAAGCAAGTGTTTGCCGAGGCCACCAGTGAACCTGGATTGGCCTTTGTTGCTGCCAAGTTTGACGGAATCCTCGGAATGGCTTACAACTCCATCTCCGTCGATGGCGTGGTTCCAGTTTTCTACAACATGTTTGAGCAAGGCCTTGTCCAGGCTCCAGTTTTCTCTTTCTACCTCAGCAGGTTGGTAATTCAATTAAAATCTTAATTGAGTGTTTTAAAAGCAAATAAAAAACATTTCCTTCCTACAAATTTATTTATTTAACTGAATTTTTCTTTCAAATTCAAAGGGATCCTGAAGCTGCTCAGGGTGGTGAGATCATTCTCGGCGGCTCCGACCCGAAGCACTACAAGGGCGAGTTCACCTATTTGCCTGTGGACAAGCAGACCTACTGGCAGTTCAAAATGGACAAGTGAGACTTTTACTTAAAAAGTTAAAATCATATTTACTTAAAAAACTTTATTTAGAGTCAAGGTTGGTGATACGGAATTCTGCAAGGACGGCTGCGAGGCCATCGCAGACACTGGCACCAGTTTGATCGCTGGTCCTGTTGACGAAGTGACCAAATTGAACCAGGCCATTGGCGCCACCCCCATTGTTGGAGGAGAGTACATGGTGGACTGCACCCTCATCCCCAAATTGCCCGAGATCACCTTCATTTTGGGAGGAAAGGAATTCACTCTGGAAGGAAAGGACTACGTTCTTAGAGTAAGATTAAAATAATGATTTGTAGATTTTGTAAATGTTTTTAATTTTATTTGAAGGTGTCTCAAATGGGCAAAACCATCTGCCTCTCTGGTTTCATGGGCATCGACATCCCCCCTCCCCATGGCCCTCTGTGGATTCTGGGAGACGTCTTCATTGGCAAGTACTACACCGAATTTGACATGGGCAACAACAGAGTTGGATTTGCTGAATCCATCTGAATATGATTTTGTAGAATTCCCAAAAACTTTTTTTGTAAGCTAGCGAAGTAAAATTTATACGAAAGCCATATTTTTGCCTGTATTCCCGAATGGTTCACACCAAAGAAATAAAAAGTTCTTCTAATAATAAATTTTTTTAATGAATAATAATAATATAATAAAAAGAAATTGATTGTTAAATAAGTTTGTTTTAAAAAAATTACATGATTTAGTTCACAGACGATCTAGTTAAAAAGTGATAAAGGGCTTTCACTGCTTTTTGACCTTCTTCCTCTCGTGTCTAACTCTCTTCACATACTCGCTCACAAGGCCTTTGATTTTAGCGGGATTAATTTCACCACTTTTATTGTGGCAGACCTGTTGAAATACAATCATTGTTGGTTATAATGGGAAAGAATTTAAGTGATAATTTGTACCTTTGGAACAGCTCTACGCAATATGTCTTTGTACTCCTCCTTGTTGATGAGCTTTTTTGTGTAGTGAGGTTTGAGAGCTACTTTTACTTCTTCTACAACTCTTTCTTGTCGGTTCAGCTTCTTCAGGAACTGCAAAATTAATATTTTATTTATCTTTTCTGACATTGCATATTAATAAGGAAAGTACCTTTTCTTTGACTTGAGTTTCAATAGCTGTGGTTGGCAGATCACCGACAACTTTCAAATTGTTCCTGTCCATTTTAATAGAAATGTCCTTCTTGCCTGCAAATCAAAATTTAGATTCAATTTTTTGACATGAATTTTATAAACCTCACCTGTGCTGGTTACAACCGACGTCTTGACTTCTTTCACCGGCGTTTTACTTGAACTAGGTTTGGACGAGCTTTTGTTCACTTTGTTGTTGCCGCGACTCTTGATTCCGAACAGGCTGTCAAACTTCTCTTGCGGCTTATTCGCAGTCTTTGTTGGAGTTTGGCTTTTGCCTGCCGGAGGCTCAAAGAGATCGTCTCCCTCAGACGCGGCTGGAGAGTACGGAGATTCAAGCTCCATGTCAACCACACCGTTGTCAACTTTGGGTTGTGCAGGAGCGGATGCTGTCGAAGGCTGATTTGCTTGTTGCACAACATTTTGCTAGAAAAACAAACAAAATCCAATTGAGTCTTAAAGGGATTGGAAGAAATGTTTCAAAAGGACAAATTTTTAAGAAGACGCCTGTGTTCGAGAGAATTTACTGACTAGAGAATGAAAAAAGTTTTCAACTTTTTTTACCATGTTCATAAAACAGGGTGCTGAAAGTAGCAATGGCACAGCAAGGGCGCTGAGTTGCGGCGTGAACACATTCTGCAGTTGGGAAGAGCACAAAATATTGGCGACGTTGGCAGGCAAGCCAGGGAAAATTTCAGTGACTGGCTTTGCAGTTGTTACCGGAATTGCAGGAGGTGGCCGTTCGATCTTGGGCATCTCAGTGAGCAATTTAGGTGGCGAAATGGGCCTCAGCTGAGGTTCAATCAGGGGCAGCGCCTGACTGGGTGCCTGAACAGCAGCCGGAGGTTCATTTTCTGCCTCTTGCATGGGTGATGCGGTAGGGTTGAAGGGGTCGTAGGATTCGGCCACCGAGTTTTTGCTCGTATTTGAATCTTTGAGCTCAGAAGACGATTGTTCGGGCTCATCGTCATCATCATCATGAGCTCCCAAAACGTTTTTATGCTTGAGTTGAGGCCGAGACGCAATTGAAAATTTGACCTGAAGGAAAAATTACTTAATTAACTCGAGGGAATTAATTTAATATATGCAATTTGATGAGAATTTGGAAAATTCATTTAAAAAAATAATTGTAGCTCATTTTTAGACCTTTGACCTAGAAATGTTTTAAATTTATTTTAATTTAATTAAAATTCCCATTTCATTGCTTTTAATTTTCTGCAAATCAAATTAATTTAAAATCCGTGTTTATTTCTTTTACCTGGGGTTCAGGAGGAGTTTTGGGCCCACTATCCTTATTTTTGGAGCTTTTGTCCTTTGACTTTGATTGACTTTCTTTGTGTTTGGGCTTTTTGACTTCCTCGTCTGTGCTCCATCCTTCGTCTAGTTCGATTAACTCCTTCGGACTGTCCCCTTTTTCTACAACGGGAGACTTGTCGTCGTCAACAGCCAAATTGATCACAGCCACGGGCCTCCGTTTAGCAGCAATTTCAGCAATTCTTTTTCTCCTTCTGCTGAAGTTTACGCTGACCAGAATGTTCTCGCCCGACGAAAACACCTCCTTCTTGCCTGCCTCCTCACTTCTGTCTCGAGACCTTCCTCTTCGGGGTCCGAGTCTTTCGTGCACAGGGACACGGCCGTTCTCGTCGTGCCTCTTGCGGCTTCTGCTTCTACTTCGGCTTCTTTTCCTGCTGCGCCTACATCAAAAATGTTAAAATTACTTATAAAAAATTATGAAAATCTTTACCTTGGTGGAGATGATTTTCTAGAGTGGTGCTTTTTCCTTCGATCCGAGGAGGATGATCTTGACCTGGACCTCTTTCTGTCTTTCTTCTTCTTTTTGCTGCTTTCTTTGACCTTTTCCTTCTTTCTCTTCTCCTTTCTTGGTGGTGATGTTGCTTCCCTCTCCTCTCTAAGTTCCTTTTTAACAGGCTGAGCGTCCTCCTTTTCAGCACCGTTCTTCTTCTTCTCTTTGATTTCACCGTCATCTCTTACTTTCTCCGCAACTACCTTTTTAGGGGGAGATTTCTCTTCGGTGTCGAAGCCAAATAATTCTTCAACCAGACTTTTCTTTCTCGATTTGACGCCCGATGGTTTCTTGTCATTTTCAGTTCTTGTTGAAACAACACCATTGGTCATTTCAGGTGGGTTAATTCTAGTCTTGGTTGAGGAGCTTGTTGGAGGGGACAGTCTCAAGGACGCAACTCTGGTGCTTTGGCTGCTTCCTGGTAATTGTGGTGACGGAGTTTCCGAGCTTCTCTCAGGCGCTGGATCATCGACACAATTTTCAGACTTCACCTCTTGATCGGATTCTGGTTCTTCGGGAAAGTCTTCTTGTTCAGGAGGCTCTTCATTTTCCACTTGAGGCACTTCATCATCCACATGCAAATGTCGAGCGATTTGCAAACTGGTGTATGAATATTTAAAAACAGGAGGAGTCTCAACAGGGAAAATGGTCTCTGGAACTATTTCTGGGACAACCAGTTCCTCGGCCTTAACTACAACAGGTGCAGGTTCTGGAGGGTCTGGCAATTCCTCAGGCTCGGCTATTTCAAGAGGATCCTTTATTTCAGTTTCTTCCTCCTCTTCTTTTATCTCCTCCTGGGCAATAATACTCTCATCAATGACCATCTCGTCAATTTCCTCGGCTTCTTCATCATCGTCATCTTCCTTTTCATCGTCTTCTTCCTCTTTGTCATCAATAATTTCTAAAGCAAAAATTATTTTAACTAAATTGATAACGTAAAAGTACCTTTACCTTTATTGTCATCTTCCTCGTCATCATTGCCATTGCCCCCATCTCCGTTATTGCTACTGCCACCACCTCCCCCTTCAAAGAGGTAGTCGTCTTCATCACCATCGTCACCTCCAGCATCGCCACCACCAGCACTAGGGATGTCTCCGTACAAGTCCAAATCATCCTCCCTGGTGGGACTCTTTTTGCATTCCACAATCACTTTTTGCCCACCCTCCTCCAAGGTAAAAACAATCTTCTTTCTGATGGGCAAACTAGTCTCTGTGCTCTGACTTGTTGACGGTTCGTCACATGAGAATCTAATTTTGCGCCTCTCTTGGAAAGAGGTGCTTGGCAGTGATGTCTTCTTGTACGGGTCCAACCGCTCAGTGATCCCAGATTTGATTTCGAACTTTTTTGTTTGACTTTCAAGAATGGAATCCAGCAGATTGCAGGTGGGCTGAGAGGAAATGGCAGAAGCAGCAACTGCCTTTTTCCTCAACGACTTGAGAGCATTGCTCTTGTATCTCTTGATGACACTGGCACTAGTCGATGGCAGTGGCTTCTTCGGCATGTGGTAGCTTGAGCTACTCCCTTCAGAGTCAGAGCTGAAATGAACAAAATTAGCAAAAACAATCAAAATTTAGAATATGGTTTACTCTGATGGGAAGTACTCGAGCTCTTCCCCTCCAAAGAGATGCAAAGTAGGGGTCGGATGATGATGATATTCGAGACTGCCGAGAGGTCTGTTGTAAACATTAGAGGCACTGCTTGAAGCTGCCATGGCCTGTCTCTGAGCTGCAGTCACCGGCCGCTTTTTGCAGCCTCTTGGCAACATCTGGCCATTGAATTTTGGTGGACGAACGCCCAGGATTTTGGCCAGACGCTTTTTAGCCGAGTCCTCAGGCAGTGTTGGTCTGTTGGTGACCCTCTTCTTCTTCTTTGTGGTTCTCTAAGCATGGGATAAAACGGTAAAACTAAATTAGAGAAATTATCTTAAAAATACCCTCTTTTTGACTTTTCTTTTCCGTCTTGTTTTTCCTCCGGCAGTGGTTTTTCTTTTAGTCACCTTCCTCTTCCTAGTTTTTCTCTTTCTCTTGGTGGTGGTTTTCCTTTTGGTTTTTGCAGCAGTTTTTCTCACCACCTTTTTACGCACTGGACGAGCAACAGCTCTGCTGGTTGAGGGTCCTGGCTGGGCAGGGTCAAAGTCTTCATCGACTTCTTCATCTTCGTCCACTTCCGAATCGGAACTTTCCGAAGAATGGTCCTTTTCGCCCAGTTTGGAAAGGATTTGCGAGTTTATTGAGCAGTTGCTATCTTCTTCGATTTCTTCGTTTACGACAAAATCCTCCAAGTCCCGGTTTATTCTCCTCCTATTGCGAGAAGCACGCTCTCCTAATTTAATGAAATTGTTATAAAAATGCTTCAAAATTTTTTATATGAATTTACTTGATTCTGCAGACCAGTCATTATCATCCAACAGCACATGCTGGTTGTTGTCACTTCGCTAAAATTATACAAAATTATTAATAAAAAATATCTTGAAATTTTCAATTTTTACTAACCAGACTCCTCCTCCTGCTGCTTGATTGTGGATCTCTGTTTGCCTCCGGAACCCACTCATCGTCGGATTGATTTGACTGAAATTTTATAGAAATCATTAAGACAATTGATTTCATTACAAAATTTTATTTCTACCTCATCCTCCATACACTGTGGGCAATTTCTGACGGGGAACGGGTTTTCTACGTGATACATGCAATGCAGGCACACACCCACCGTGGCTCTCATCCCCATCCAGCCACAATCCTACAACCACCAGCAATTATAAACCAAATTATTCAGATAATTAATCTCAAACTAACCGGGCAAATTCCGTCATCATCGAATTCAAAATCGATCTCGTCCTCCTGTTCTTTGGGTTTCACTTTTTCTGTGCGCTGAAATTTGCCTTGCGAGTCAAACACTTTTAGCTCAGCGATGTCCATTCTGTCCATAGGGCAGTTTGATTTTGACTTGGTGACCCAAGACTTGATGCATGTGTAGCAGAAGAAGTGGCTGCAGCAGTCGGGCACACCGACAGACTTCGTTCCCAACAGTTTCCTGCAAATCGGACACTCTTCATTGTCTGCCCAGTCAATGCTTGTGAAGCCTTTGACAGTCGAGGCCGCCTGAAATTGAGGAAAATTTAAAACTTCAATAATTAGAAATTACAACGCATTACCTGAGCAGGTGAAATTCCAACAGTTTCGTCGGCCATCCTGTCTCGGATTGTTTATCAAGAGAAAAACACAGGAACACTCTAAACTGGAGCAGTCATGGGAAAGGAACCATTTCACGAGACCTGTTGGAATTTGCTTTAAAAATATTAAGGCTGGTGTTTTCCTCGGCCGAACCTCGACTCGGAAATCTTCATTGTTAATCGCAGATTCCGGAGGATTCCAAAATTTGACGTTATTGCAAATAAATAAACGAAAAATTTGAGCGGTCGCAAAAAAGGCAACAGAGTGGCTCTGTGGATTTGTTTGTTTTATGTTCGTATCTCGACGGCGATTGGTGGAACGAAGCAGCCATCATGGCGCCGTCAGCCAATCAGCGACGCCGTCAAAGGGTTAATGACTCGATCAGCGGGACGCTTGAATCAAGGGAAATAATTTTAATTTTAATAAGGCAAATTTTAATTCCGGTATCCTTGTTCAAATTTACGATGAAAGACCATTTACATTGTATATTTTTTATTTAAATAATCGTCATAATTCGGAATAAAATCTTAATTGGAAAAATTTATATCATGAAGTAAATTCCGGTAAATTCGGTAAAATCCTTTTATGTGTTTTAGATAACAGAAAATTAAGTTAATATTTGTTCGGTATGCAATTAAAAATCAAATTGAAAAAAATAGAAGGACTTACTAAATAAGATTATGAATGAATATTTTTTTTTGAAATTTTATTCCGTATCAACACAGCTCTTTTTATTTAGTCACTCCACTCTTTTTTTACTTTATTCCACTTTTCCATTAACGACGAGACGTTTTTTCTTTTCATGCCGACGGATGTGCTAATCCTTCCCTAAAAAACCAAATGAACAAAAATTTTATAATATTTAATAACTTTTTCCCCCTAAAAACTTTACTTTTCTGTTTTTGTTGACCATTTCAACCGGTTCTGGAAGTTCTTCTTTGACAGGTTCAGGTTCTGGCTCTGGTGCTTTGCTATCGGGATTGCTTTCTTCTTTTTTCTGATCTAGAGCTGCTTCAATGCCAGCCATCTCGGAGTAAAAAGAGTCGAGTGCGTCTCCCAAATCAGACTCTGGTGGAGGAGGAGGCGGTGGTGGAACTGACGGATACTCTTCCTCAGGAGGTGGTGGAGGTGGCGGAACAACCAAAAAAGGTTGCGTCGGGGGCATTGGAAACGAGCCAGATTGCGGAGGTGGAAGTTTATTTGCTTGGAAATTTAAAATTTTATTAGATTTAATTTTCAACATGAAAAGCGTGTTTCTTACTTGATTCTTCCCTGTTTGGCACATTTGAAGGTTGAAACATTTCTAAAATCTTATCAAGCCGAGATCTTAAATATATACCATCCAATGCTAGTGTTTCCCAGGCTTCTCTGAGCGCCTTGAAATAAAAATTAAAATATCAGCAATTATCAAAAAAAAAAAAAATAATAATAATAATAAAAAAATAAAAAAATAAATAAAAAAAAAAACGTTTTAATTTTAGTAAATTTGTATTATTTAATTTATTACCTGAAGTTTTGATAGGGAAGAAGCAGCTCTTTCCAAATCTTCACAGCTATTTCTGATATCAGATGAAATCACACAAAAACACTCTTTCAGCTTGAGATTTATTTTTAAATCCACATCTTCATCAACTCCTAAATAAATAACAAAAAATAAAAATTAAAAATTATAAGACTACTTCATTGTTTTGATTAAGACCTTTGAGTAAAATAGTAGTTCCACTGGGATAGTCTACAGGTGGAAGTGAAACCAATTCCAAGCTAGAGAATAATTTCAGTTTTTTGTCAACTACGACAGACGTTTCAGTCTTCTGATCATTGGATTCAATCACTTGAGGCCTAGAACGAAAATTATTATTAGACCCCCTTCTTATATATTCCTATTTACCCTAAATTTGGAGGGAATCTGTTGGATGTCGAAGAAACAAAATCGATGCGCTTTTTTCGCCTCAGTTGCTTGGCAGGAATCATTTCTTCCTCTTTCTGTGCCTCCTCGTCACTGATTTCCATGTCTCGCTGCATATTAGCCTAAAATAAATTCAAAATTATTTATATACACGTGGGAAATATGCAGAAAAAAATGTGTTTCGCACCTGCATCAGACTCCAGCCAAACTCTGCTGAATTTTCAATCAGTCGACTTTTCCCCTCAATGGCCGGTTTTTGTGCCGCCGCTTGCTGCTGCTCTTCGTCCGAGTCGTAATTCGCGACTAAGGAGCACATGGTTTTTAACTGAAACCCAAAATGCAGTCACTCTTGCGAAATTAATGACAAAAAGCAAATTTTCTGCACGAAACTCGTGCGGACTACGAAAGCGCAAGCTGGAGGTTGAGCGCATGGGGGCGTAACCAACAACAAACGCTCTTATTGGCGGAGAGGATTTGGTCCAGCCAATCAGCGCACTTTGCGCCTTTAATGATCGAACATGTCGGAAGTGCAGCAACTTTAGCACGTTTCGCTCGTTCTTGCCGAAATTTTGCCAAATTACGTCGGATTCTTATTTTGATTCAGCGAACCTATCAACTATTTTGAATATTCCTTATTTGTGGACAAATATTTGGCGATGTCAGGTAAAAACACGTTGTTTGGCTACTTCAAGAAGATCGAGAAGCCGGTGACTCCAAAGTCTCAGTCAACTACACTGACGGAGGACCAGGAGAAAGAAAAGAAAGTTGAGCCCAAGAATGATGAAAACAGCCCTAAGAACGTGGAGAGCCTGCAAGGGAAGAAATCAAGTAAATCAGATAGTTCCCCTGAGAGTGCCAAGAAGAAGCGGAAGGTTGAGGAAAAGCCAACGCAAAAAGGGCGGGAGAAACAGAATGGCAACAAAAAAGACAAGAAAACACCTCAGCGGGCTGCAGGCAAAAAGTTCAAGCGTGTCGTAATTGAAGACGGTACACACATTAAATTCCATAATACAATTAGTCTTATTATTATTTTTTTTTTTAAATTTAAGCAGACTCGTCTGATGAGGAGTCGAAAGCAAAGAAGAAGAGAAAGGTTTCTGACGATGAGGTCGAGGAAGACTGGAAACCCAACGATGAAAGTGAGAGTGAAGAGGAAGATGTAAGTGCCAGCAGTGCCTCTGAAATTTCTTCCGAGGAGTCTGAGGAAGAGGAGGTTGTGGAAAAGAGCACTAAGAAGAGGAACACAGGTGGCGGCAAAAAATCTGCACCGAAGAAGAATTCACTCAATTTGAACTCTTCCGTCAAGGAAGAAAAGAAAACTGTACTTACATTAAATCCTCTTAAAATATTTTTTCAAAATTAATTTGCAATTTTTAGGGTGCTTCCCTTGGTGAGAAGGTCTGGGCCCACTTGAAGTATGACTTCCTGAAACCGGACAAAATCAGAGACGCTGACAAGAAGAGGCCCGAAGATGAAGGATACAACCCGCACATCCTCTTTGTTCCTCCTGATTTCATGAAAAGTCAAACTCCTGTAATATACAAAATTCTTTGAATTTCATAGTTACACTTAAGCAATTTTAATGTAGGCCATGAGGCAGTGGTGGGAAATCAAATCCAAACACTTTGACTGTGTGATTTTCATCAAGCTGGGAAAATTCTATGAACTTTATCACATGGACGCATCCATTGGAGTCAACGAGCTGAATCTCGTTTACATGAATGTAAGAAATTCCAAAAATTACCAAAATTGTTCTTATGCCTTGGTCCACAGCACCCTGAGGTTGCCCATGCTGGATTTCCTGAAGCAGCCTACGCTCGGTACGCTGGTGCTCTTGTGGAGAAAAGCTACAAAGTGGCTCGGGTGGAGCAAACTGAAAATCCAGAAATGATGCAAGAGAGATGCAAAACCAGTAAGTTATCAATCACTTGCAGAAAGCTTCATTTCAGTTTAAAATTTTGTTTCAGTTCGCAACCCCACTAAATTTGACAAGGTGGTGAAGCGAGAGGTGTGCCAGGTTACAAGCAAAGGGTCCAGGATGTATTTGGCTATTGAAGGTGACGCTGCAACTGAAGACCACCTTTATCTATACTCAATTACAGAAGGAGTTAGTATTGTATAATTTAACTCTTTTATTTTTATTAATTTGAATTTTTCAGAGATCCTCCAATAACAAGCCAGTGTTTGGTGTGTGCTTTGTGGACACATCGGTGGGATGTTTCCACCTTGGGCAATTTGAAGATGATCGATATGAGTCTCAGCTCAGGACACTCATTGCAATGTATCCCCCAGCACATGTAAGTAAAAATTTCAGATTTTTTCAGTAGCCTGTAAAAATAAATTTTCTAGGTTCTTTTGGACCGAAGCAAGGTGACTCCTGAAACAAAGCATATTTTGGAAACTGCTGCTCACACAGCCATCATCGAAAATCTTGTACACAAGAACGAATTTCTGAGCGCTTCGGAATGCCTTGTCAAGCTTCACGAGAACAAGTACTTTGCAAATGATGATGATGGAAATCCTCAGTGGCCATCCGTGTTGGCTGAAATGACCTGCTTCAAAGATTTGAGAACTCCTGAGCCAGAAAAAGAACTTGCTTTGAGTGCATTGGGTGGATGCTTGTGGTACTTGATTGACTCCAAGATTGATTTGCAACTCATTTGCATCAAAAACTTCAATTTGTACAAACCCCAACTCTTTGATGGTGTCGTCAAGAAAAAGAGTTTGAAGAAATTGGCAGGCAACATGGTAGTAATAATTTAAAATAAACAGTCATTTTGTCTAACTAAAACACTTAAACAGGTCCTTGATGCTACAACCATGCAAAATCTGGATGTGGTGGAATATTCCGAGACTGGTGAGAAAGAGAATAGTTTGTTGGGGAAACTGGATAATTGTTGCACTGCATTTGGAAAACGGTGAGGAGATTATTGATCTTTGATTTATAAAAAATTGTCTCATTTTTTTTATTTTGATTAGTTTGCTGAGGCAGTGGCTTTGTTCGCCTTTGTGTTCAGTTAGTGCCATTCAAATGAGGCAGGAAGCAATCTCAGCTTTGATGAAAATGCCGAGTGAATGCGAAAAGGCTCGCAAAATTCTCAAGGACCTTCCGGATTTGGAACGCTCACTGACGAGGATCTCAATTTACGGAAATGCCTTGACTGCAGCCAATCACCCTGAATCTCGAGCTATTTTCTATGAAGACTTCTCCAAGAAGAAAATTGCAAACTTTCTCTTGCTGCTCAAGGGATTTGAGAAAGCTCTCAAAATGCTAGAGATTTTCCAAAGTGACGAACTGCCGCAACTACTCAGGAGGCTGACCAGAACTGCTGGTTCTGATCAGGAAGGTAGATTCCCAGAGTACAAAGACCTTCTTGACTACTATAAGGTATAAAATCAGCTACCAGTTAATAAATTTTAATATATTTTCCCATAAATTAGGATGCTTTTGATGCTGACGAAGCCTTGAAGACGGGAAAAATTGTGCCTCGGAAGGGAAAAGATGCTGAATTTGAAGAATGTTGCCAGGCACTGAGAGATGTTGATGATGAACTCAAGGATCATTTGCGAGTAGTCAAATCAAAGCTCAGATGCGAAGTGAGTGTTTGCTTTTGAACGAAATTAAAGTTTCTTACTTTAATCTACTACAGGCCAAATATTTTGGTACCGACAGAAAGAGATTCCAGATTGAAATTCCTGAAAAGGTGGTTGTTCCAATGGATTTTGAATTGTCTTCATCAAGGAAAGGCTTCAAGCGTTACTGGACTCCAGAATCAAAGGTAAATTAATTCCAGTAAATGCCATTTTAAAAAATTAACGTTAATTAACTTCAGGAACTCTTGGTCAAAATGCAAGCAGCTGAGAATGCAAAGAAAATATTTTTACTGGACATGAACAGACGAATGTTTGCAAAGTTTGCCGACAAGTAATGTTGCCTGTTATTTTCTAAAAACAAAACATCAATTTAATTTCTTTCCAGTGCTCAAATTTGGAAAGCAGCTACTGAGTGTGTGGCTATCCTGGACGTACTTTTGTCCCTGGCCCTGTATGGAACAAGGGAGGAAACCTGCATGCCTGCGTTTTATGAACCCTCCGAAGAAAAAGCTGTAATTGAGATTTTATAAAATAATGCATAATCATTGATTTTATTCCTTAGCCCTTTGTTGACATCAAAAATGGCCGCCTGCCAACAACAAAACTGGTCGACTTCATTCCCAATGACTCGATAATTGGCGTCGACGGAGTTCAGTTACTTCTTCTCACAGGGCCTAACATGGGCGGCAAATCAACTTTGATGAGGCAGTTTGGGCTCATCGTCATTATGGCTCAGATTGTATTAATGATAATTTTTAAATTCTTTTAGGTATTTAATGTTTCCTGTCTCTAGGGCTGTCCAGTTCCTGCCGAAGAATGCAGCTTGACTCCTGTGGACAGAATTTTTACTCGAATTGGAGCTCGGGACCACATCTTGGCAGGAGAGAGTACATTCTTTGTTGAAATGAGTGAAACCTCGGCCATTCTGAAACATGCCACTGACAGGTCAATTGTCCTGGTTGATGAACTAGGTAAATTAGATCTTTTAAGTAATGTTAAAAAAAGCAAAAATTGTCATATAAATTTTGAGTAATGATAAATACGAAAAATTCAGGGTTAAAGAAATATTCTTAATTTATTAATTTTCAAATTATTATTTTTAATTAACTTAAATGCTTTGCAGTAGATTCCAATTTGTGGCAAAGGAATTTGTAATTAAATATATTTTACTTCAGGTCGAGGAACAAGTACCTTTGATGGAGCAGCCATTGCTTCGGCCGTCTTGGAAGATTTGGTGCAGAAGCAGTGTTTGACCATTTTCTCAACTCATTACCACTTCCTGGTCGAGGAGCACATGAGCACTCCGAACATCTCCTTAGTCCACATGGCTTGCATGGAGGAGGACGACGATGATGAGGAGAAATCCGAGGCCAAGGTGGAGAATGTGACTCTCTTGTACAAACTGAGTCCAGGCGCATGTCCCAGTTCTTACGGCTTTAATGCAGCTCGCTTGGCTGGTCTGCCTGAGCAAGTGGTTCTGCGGGCCAAGCAGCAGGCCCTGAAACTGCAAAGCCATCCTAAGAAGATGAAGGTGTTTATGGAGCTGATGGACCTAAAGAAGGACCAGGCTGAACGTCTCAAAGAGATTGTTGTCCTCTTGAAAAAGGGGCTGAAAATTTAAAGGGGATCATTTTTTGATCTTTTTTTTGTCTACCTCTGAAATCAAACTATAAAATCGCTTAGTATTAATAAAACTTATCTTGCAGATCACAATTTGTCTTCAGTATTTTCTGTAAAAACGTTTATATTCAGTTGATAATAAAAATTGAAAATTTAACTCAAAATTCAAGTAATAATTTATTTAAATTTACCAAGGATCTTTGATTTATAAATGAAAGATCCTTGGATTTTACTATATATATTGAAATTACCTCCAGCTCAGCACCTTTGTCTGCCTATATCCTCTGCATTATAATAATCAAAAAAGGTGGTGCGTGAATTACAGAAATCCTGTAAATTTATTGTGATTAGTGAAGTTTTGTTTAATTTTTTCGAAGCAATGCCTTCTACAAAACCATTAAGTTGAAACGTTACGAATTGACATTAATTTACATAAAATCTTGAATTTATTCCTTCATATCGCTTTGGAAATTTCTTAAATTGAGCAAAAAAATAAACTAAAACTATATATCAAAATCAAAGTCGTTTTTGAAAATTGGGAAATAGTTTACCCTATCTGCATGATAAATAAAAATGGTGTCAAAATATTATCTTTTATTTTGCGTTTTTACGAGGAATATTATGATTTAAATTACAGGTAAAAATCATCTTAATATGTTGCAAAAAAATGTATCAACTTTCCATCCTCTGCGAGAGAAAAAAAACTTGCTTTTGCAATTTAATAATAATAAGTCTTTTATTTTAACACTTGCGTGTACATGCGCTGCAGTAGCAGCACCAAAGGAGCGACAAGGATCGCATCTTTTTCGCGCCAAAAAATTTAAGGGGGAAAGGTGGCGCTCTCGTTGCCAACCAAATCGCGCCTTTTCAGACACGTGATCAGTCGACCACATGTGAAATCGGGAGACAAAGACCGCCAAAAGGCTGCTAAACATTGTTTTTTCGCCGAATTTAATTGATTTTGGAGCTGTTCTAGGTAATTATCTGTGCAACCTTGATCTTTAAATCTCTCTCAACTTCAAGAAGTTTAAAACGCTTTGATGTATTTCCGAATCCTTGCATAAATTGAGAATTTTCTTTGGCTCTGCAGCCGGGCTTGCACACACACGATGTCGAGCGTCGTGAAACTAGAGCCGGCAAACGCCGAGGACTTTGAGTCTCCGATTTCGAACAATGACAACGCCAAGAACTTGATCTTGTCCTCTCCTGTGCCTGAGATCTGCAAGAATGAGCCCTGCACGTTGGGCATCGACGAAGCCGGACGAGGGCCCGTCCTGGGTTTGTTTTCCTCAATATTTTTTTCTCCCAATTTTTATTATGGAATTTAATATGCAGGACCCATGGTCTACGGTATTTGCTACTGTCCCCTCGCCTACGAAAGCGAGCTGAAGGCCCTCGGAGCCGTGGACTCAAAAAGCATTGACGAGAAGAAAAGGGAGGAGATGTTTGAGAAACTCTGCAAACACCCTGACCAGATTGGGTGGTCTGTCGAAGTGATTTCGCCCACCACCATTTCAAATGACATGCTTAGGAGGTAAAACTTAATCTGAAATCTTTAAATTTATGTTCTTATAAATTTTTGCTTAGATCTAAAATTTCTCTGAATGAATTGTCCCACAATGCGGCCATTCAGCTGGTGCAAAGAGCCATCGAGGATGGGGCCAACATCAAAGAGGTCTATGTGGACACTGTTGGGCCTCCAGAAAAATACCAGGTTTGATCTTAAGAATCAAGAGATTAACATTTTTCTGAACTTTCCGATCTTCAGGACAAACTGAGCAAAATTTTCCCTGACATCAAAGTCACGGTGGCCAAAAAGGCCGACGCCACTTATCCAATTGTCAGCGCTGCTAGTATCTGTGCTAAGGTCTGCCGAGACAAGGCTGTCCACCACTGGAAGTTCAAAGAGAACGTTCAGATGAATGGTGATGCTTGGGGCAGTGGATACCCCGCAGGTATAAAAGTTTGAAAATGAAGATCAGGTCTTATTGTTATAAATAAAACGTATTGTGACAGAAAATTGACGTAACTTGAATTTTAAGCATAATTATTATTTTTCATGACTTTTTCGCAGAAAGAAATTTAATTTGCGTAATTTATTTTCCAGAATACTCAATTTAATGGAACAATTTTTTTAAATAAAATCTTTAATATATAATTTTTTTCAAAAATTCCGATAATAAAAGTAATTTATTATTTCAGACCCTGTGACGAAAAAGTTTCTTCAGGAGAATATAGACTCAATTTTTGGATTCCCTCAGCTTGTCCGATTCAGCTGGTCGACGGCTGATAAAATCATCGAGGAGAAGTGCGTCACTGTCGAATGGTGAGTACAGCTTTTTGCCTATAAAATATATTATTTCCTGTAGAGATATTGTTTTATGGATGCTTTGCATGAGGTTGAAAGTTATTATTTTTTGGTTGCGTTTTTTGAAAAATAATAATGATGGAAAATAATCGCAGGAGTGATGATGAGGATGAAGGCGCACCGAAAAAAGTGGCAAAAATTCAATCATTCTTTTCTTCATCAAACGCTGCCAAACAACCGCAACTTGGCCACAAATTTTTCACTGAAAGAAAACTGAAGAGAGCAACAGATTTGTTTTAAAAAAGATCAAATGTGCGCGAGTGACGAGTGCTTTTCCGATGAAAACCACCAGAGATTCCAAAAGTATAAAATTTGAAGCAACTTCTTGTGAAAAGTGCGTGCTTAGAATAGAGGAAATTAAAAGTAAGCAATAAATTTAGGAGAACATAAATTATGAATGAAATAATTGATAAACAAAGTTCGTAGAAATACGCAAAATTTAATTTATAAATAACAATAAAGTGCTTAGATTAAGATTGATTAAGATGAAAAAAATAATTATAAATTTGCTTAATAAGAAAGTATATTATTATAATTTAATAAATTTGTTAAAAACAAACTTCAAATATTCACTAAAAAATTTGAAAAGATTTTAATAAAAAAATTAATTTCAAGAAGATAATGTATCAAAATACTCTTTAAATTTTAGCATTTTTTTTATTATACATAAAAAAACAGCGATTCAGATCCATCTTCGCACCATCCATAAATCTCACTTGCAAACTTCCTCCGACAAAGTTACACCGACGCGTTGAGAGATCAAAAAGTTGTTGTTTGCAACCGGCCGCACCTCGTTGTCATGCGGGCTGCATACTCGCGTGATTTAAGGCGTTCGACGGATGAAAAATTGCTATCGATGTAACGTGCCAATATTATAAAAATGATCTTACAAAGGTGATAATTTCCTACAATATTTGACCTGTAAATACCGACTCATGATTTAGAACAAGCTACACTGAGAAAAAGTTTTACCAAATTGAGTGAAATTAATGCAAATTTTGACGTTAAGATTTTCATTTTGCAGTTTGATTTCAATGATATGATACATTTATAAATTTTAAGAGGAAAAATTAGCAAACATAATCCGATGAAATTTAATTCATTTAGTTTCTCTTATTATATAATTTGTTATTAAATAATTTATTTGAATATTATTTATTTTTCTGGAAGTGAAATATGAATATTATTTAAAAAATTTATCCCTAAAAAGAGGAATGATTGTCTCGAAAATTGCTACAAAATTGACCTCGATGGTCCTTCGAGCAAATAAATGAAAGAATACCGGGAATAATTTTCCATTTTTCTGCTTGAAATGTATTTAAAGGAAGTATGCATTGTCTGTTTTGGGAGTTGTGTTTTGCGAAGCGGAAGGCATGTATTGAAGGCGACGTTAAAAGCCTGTTGGGATTACATTTGATGGCTGATTCGATATGTTAGCGCCGAACTCATCTTTCACGCCATCTCGCAGGCTTTCACGTCACACGCGGCGGAAAGTGATTTTTGGCGCCGAGTGTCATCTCGAATGAGTGATGAAAGCGCGAAACATCGCCTTTGTGCACACGCTGATGGAATTCGCTGCTTTTAATCAGCGCCGGTTTGATTCGATTTTCCTCGACAAGACGAACGCGATTCCTTGCACCGACTGCCTTCTGATTGCCTCTGGATTCGTTTGAAGAAATAAAAAACTTAATAAGGAAAACTTTTTGATCAAAAGCAAGATGGAGAAATCCGCTTTGCTCCAATTCATTCTGTAAATCGGCTTTTCTTTTCGTATTTTTTTTTTTGATAATTTAAAAATTGCTTTTAGTGTCGGAGCTTGAAAATATGTCTGTAACTTTTGTAAATTTCAATTTGTTTTTTCATTTTTTATTGTAAAGAATATAAAATAATAATAATAGTGTATTCCATTTTATTTATAGAAAATGAAAATGTTACTTTGTTAATTAAGTTCTCTCTTTTAATATTTTTAAACAATTTTTCCCCCTTGTCGTGATAAAATCCCACGCGCCCATAATACAATCGCACAAAAGAATCGCCTGAGGAAATAAAAAGCCGCTCGCATTGTCAGTGAAATAATTTTTGCCGTGGACGCGCCAGAGAGCGAATGAGAACATTAATTAAACGGTCCTTTTTGCACGCCCAGCATTGATTCCCTCGCTTCTCCGCTTCGCCAACCTAAACGCGTCAAAAGGGAGCAAAAAAAGTGACGCGAGGGACAAACGTTTCGCCAAACTCGTCTAAAAAAAACGTCAGTTCAGAGACGCGGGTGAATTTTTGCAGCCAGCTTTTGTTTATAAACTTTTCGTTAACAAATTTAGCTTTACTGAATTAATATTAACAAATTCTGAGAAAGTTACTAAATTTTTGTGATATTTATCATTTATATTTTGAGCACCTTCAACTTTTGTTTTTAGCCGAAATTGCTGCCAGCTATAAAGTTGAAAATTACAACCTGGAATGGGATGGTTTTTGTCTTTTTGCTAAAATCTGAGAGCCCTCTGTCTTTTTAGTGAGATCGCATTATTTTCTCCGTGCTTTTGTATGAAGAGGCGGCACCCATTAAAAGAGGCCGTTTGCTTTACGAGCGAATAAAAATGATATCACCGCGCGGCTTTGCAAATAAATACGACACTTTTGCGCTCAGCAAAACTCAAAGGACGCATTTCAAGAGATGAAAAAATAAATTCGTCAGAGGCAGAGATTTTGAACAAAAACTGATTTCAAATAGAAAGCGTTGAAATATTTTATAATGTTCCCAAATGTTCCTATATTCATATAATACTATTTTAAAAGTAAAAGAAAATAACTACCCCTCTCTTAGTTTTTGCTCTCCAATTTTGATACAATTAATTGAAAGTAGAAGGTTGTCGAAAAGCTTAAAAAATTTCTCTTGAATTTCTTTGTATTAATTTATATTTCCATCTTGTTCATTTAGTCTTTTCAAATCTGCCCATTTCACGAAATTACAAGTCAATTGACTAAAATTTGTCTACAAATTATCAAACGTAAGAAAAAGTTAAAAATTACAGAAGTTTTTTACATATCACGATTCTAAATACCATCTAAAAATCCCTGAAACACAATTAAGATCATTTCTAGGTACACTCTGTGACCAGTTATTTGGCCTCCTCACTACAACAGTTAAGATAATTTAATCTATTAAAAACGGTGTATTTTTCCAAAATAAATGACAATCTTAGAAATATTTATTATTTCCTGCTAGTTTCTTTCCTATTTTAAGGGCAATTTATAAATTTCACTTGATAATTTAATAAAAAAAAGGGTAAAATATTTGTATAAATAAAAAATACTTTAAATTGTCTTTTGGCCACAAATCGGAAACCTTCTTATATAAATAAGTCTTCAATTGTCGGCTAATTGTAAGTAAAAAAAGGAATTTTAAATATATTATATAAATACCAATAAATAATTAATATGAATTAAACCTTAAAAACTAAATTAAAATTTCAATTTTTAATTTGGAAAAAAACTTGCTAATTATGTTGTCAACTCAATTGTATAATCCACAATCGGCAAAGTTGGCGGGGTCACGGCACGAGGTCACCGTTGGGCGCGCCGTCGTTTGTTTGCACTTGCGTCGGTCGTCGCGACGCGGCGCTGCAGGCGGTGACCTCGTTGCCGCACACGTTCGCCGCCGCTACGAGGTCAGCTCGTGACCTTTCGCTGCCCCGATCGATACTCGGCGCCGGGCCGGGCCGCCCCCCGAAACCCCCGAGCCGCCTCCGGTCACCGCAAGAGGCACACGTCGATTATTTCTCCGCCGTCAAGTCGAAAACGGAGAATTTCCAAACGGGGCCTGCGGAAGCCCAAAGAGAGTTGAAAAAGTGGGCCCGGGCTAAATGCTGATCTGCCGCACTCTTGCTCGCTGACGCAGTTTGCCGCCGGCTTGGCCGGGTCGCTTCTAAAGAGACAGACTTGCTGAGTAGTTTTAGAGGGAAACGTGAATTTTTTTTTTTTCAAATGAATGATCTTGGTTTAATGAAAGTTTATTTAGTTCGAAAACTAACACAATTACATAAATTTTATAGAAAATTCAAATCACGTGTAAGAATAACTATAGAAACACATTATTATTCATATTCAGGAATTTTTATCGCTGAATGAAATTAAAATAATTTAAGCAAGCATAACAGCTTAAATAACATTTACAACTTTTCCATAGAAATGGACGATCGATGAAATAGAAAGCTGTTTTATAAATTAAACAGTAGAAATTATATAAATATTTAATTTTTCAATTAAACTTTCATTCATTTCAATATAATTGAAAAATTGTTACTAATTATTAAAAATTGATAATCAAATTTTGATTTTAGTTTATATGAGTTTATAGGCAACTTTGTCAAACAGTAACAAATAGAATTGATCATTAAAATCCATATTAAAATGTAAAAAATAAGCATAAAAACTAATAAAAAATAATTCAATAACTCCATCTATTAACAGATGATGAAATTATTGATAAAAATCCCTCTCAATGCCTGTCAAATTTAAAATAAAGCGTTTAGCTTTTCCTCTTTCCTTACTTGAACTTATCCAAACTAACAAGTGTTGAAGTTTGATTAAGCAGTTTTGCATTCGTTCTTTGTTACGATTTTTTTCTTTGCTCGTTATCAAGCCCGCAATTTGGCTACAAACTGTTGTGGCGCCATAAAATAATGTGTGTGTAATAAAATCGGTGCGGCTGCGTGTGATATACGTTTATTTTCCACTTAGAAGGAGAGAGAATTAAGAGTGAAAACTACTTTTGCGTGCACGCTTGACCCGAAATGAGGGTAACACAATCCGCCCCCTGCATCGGCATTATTCACGTAATGACCGTTCTTGGGGAAAAAGGAAAAAAAATCAGGCAAAGTCAAAAGTATAGTCTCTGCGGCAAAGTTGGTTCCCAAAAAATTTAGAAATGAGAACACGCACGACTTCACAATGGTCGTGTGTAGAGAGAATAGAAAAAAGAACAAAAAAGTTGATGGAATTATAAATAAATTGATTACATTAAAAAAGATTTTTTTCCCAATTTGCTCTTAACTTTATTCTGAGATTTTTTTAAATTTTATTTTAAAGTAAGGGAGAAATATAAAACGATTTTATTAAACTTCTTCACAGCGAGAGTTTATTTTTTATTTTTCGCTATTTAGAAAAAATTCTACTTTCTAAAAGCCATTTTGAAAATAAGAGACAAGAGACTTTATCGCCATAAATTTGATTGACGGCTAAAAATTGAAGTAGTGAACATTAATTTCCCTTTAATTAGGTTTTTCTAAAGGTTGTAAGGGTTTAATTATAAGCATGTTCCCTTCACTAAAAAACGTTGAATTGTGCGGGTGAGTGAACTTAAACCGCAATTTATATAGATCACCCATTCACAAAAACGAATGGAACGAATGAATAAATTTACATGATGTAATTGGCTCCGGGTCGTCCAGATGGTGGGGTAGAAACTCACTTTTGCCAGCAGGACAAATGTTAATAATTCTGAATGTGAAAGTTTTTTTAAACCAAAGTTATAAAGTAGATCAAAATAAAGGTTTAGAATTTAATATTTTAGATGAAAAATATTAATAATTTGCTCCTTGTTTAATTATTAACCAAAAAGATTACAAATTATTAAATAAATCTTGACTTTTTTCATTATTTTGAAATTAATTTGGCTTCGATGTAACAAGTTTTTTCTCTATAATTTAATTTTTAACTACATCAAAACAATTAATAATAGTTTTAAACAAAATTCAAAATGAAAAATTCGTCTTTTTTTAAATTTTCATATTTCAACAATATTTATTTTTCTCTTTCTAGCAATATTTATTTATTTATTTCCACTTTGCCAACTTTTAATTAATTTTTAAGCGCTGTTATTTCAGCTGCACGATTCAATTTCACGGTCGTCCGGTTAAATTTGAAACACGGGCCGTGATTTTGATCTCGCAGGGTTGAAATTTCGGGTCGTCCGAATTACGAGGTGCTGCGAGCGATCTACGAGCAGGTGATAATAAAAACGACACGCCGGCGCCAAACAAATTGAAAAGCACACGAGCGAGAGAAAGAGAGAAATCCGGTGTAATGTTTATTTTCGCCCGCCAGCTGGCCCGCAGAAATAATATCGCTTCTCTTGTCCGATTTATATGTTGCGACCCCCAATAAAAAAGCAAGAGTTCATTTCGCGTCGGCAAACTAATTTAACGCGCACCAAATGAAAAAAACGAGTCCTCGGCTATATAAATAAAAACGAAGCGGAATGGAAAATATGTGAATTGCAGGAAAAGTGGAAAAGCTTATTTCACAAAGTATTGATATTTTTGAGTATTTTTTTTCCAATTTATCACAATTTATATAAAGAAATAATATAAATTTTTTAATTGTGTTCTTCAAAATAAAACCGCTTGATAATATTCATTGGAAGTAAATTTTTATTTAATTTTTATTTTGCATCCTTTTTATTAATTTTTAGAAGCAATTCTGGCTATGAACTTGAAAATAATTACTGTTGAAAATTTCTTGCTAAATTCTAATCATTCTTTTCATTTTCACATTTTTTATGCCACACAAAATGAGTGAAATAAAATTGAAAATAAATTCAAGGAAAGAAAATCCTTATTAAGCTTTCGCAGAAACGAGCATGTTGGATTCGCAACTTGATCAAATTAAAAGCATGCCGAGACGTTGATTCATTCAAAGTTTGTTGCGTGAACAAATTTCGCGTTTTCTAAAGTTTGCGTCGTCTCGAAATCTGCCAACCCCGTTCCGAGTGTATAAATCCCTTTTAGAAAAAAAAGCAGCAGCCCCGGGCACGAATCTGCATTCAAAGCCGCTGGACCTGACGCGGAAAGCAAGAAGTGCATTATTCAAGCACCGCTGAATGCACCCCCACCCCCTCCGCAGCCGCACGCTGACAACCCCTTTGACAGTCAAATGTGATCAATCTTGCCAGATTAGTTCTCGGCCGCTCCCGCCGCCACGTGATTCCTCGCACCGATTTTGCTTACATGTCTAACAATGTCAACAATGTTTGTTTGTCAAACTAAAACTATATTTAATTTTACTGAAATTAAAAATAAAATAAAAAATGAAAGAAAGTAAAATATAGGGAATATTTTTGTTTAGAAATTGAAGAATACAAAAAGGAAAAGCCCAGAAGTTTCTTTTGACATTTTTATACAAACAGAAGGACTCATCTTAAAATATAAAATAAATAAAATGTTATTTTTAATAATTATCAATTTCAAGGTTTACTAATTATTAAACCAAAATTATTACAAAATTGATGTTTCAATTAATAAAAAAAAAAAATAAATAAAAATTCAATTCTAAATTGAAATGCCGCAATGAAACTGTTATTTATAAAAAGTAATTTATTATTTTTTTTTTTTTCATATTTCACGAAGATTTACAATTTGCTGGAAGTTGGCAAAGGTAGCGGTGTGTGGACGAACAGGGCAGGTCGTGCAGTTTGTTGGCCAAAACCATGACGCACGTTTCTCTACCAGGGCGGAAAGTGCTTGGCTGGTCGTGGCTCCACCAGGGACTGTCCTTGGGCAGGTCGGGGCCGCCACCCCATCTAAAGTCCCCTGCGCGTCTCCCCACGTCCGAGGCCGACAACCAATAACTCGCGTCTGCCGAGGGATTAGAAAATTGCCAAGCTCATTAAACTTACGGAATCCGATTTCCGGGAAGGCGTCGAGCAACAATTGCATCTCTTCCTCGCGTTCGATTGAGGCCAGGCCGCTGCCACTTTTCTCGCATGCCCCCTTCGCCACACTCCACTCAACCTTTCAAAAAAGGGTGTTTTATTGAAATTTTAATCAAATTGTTTTCTTGCATTATCATATTCGTCGCTGGCGAAATACTTCTTGCCGTTGGATAATTCCGTCCAGTTCTGCTTCACTGTAAAATTTGGTAAAAAAATTAAATTTTTTATAAGTAAAGCTTAAAATTGGAAAATAAAATTATGGACCAACTCCCAGTCTCAAATTTAATAACGTCAAAATAGGTACAGAGCAAAATTAGATCCTTTTTCAGGCTAATTAATTTTGAAGCAAACTCAAAAAGAACCCAAACAATTAATTAATTTAAAGAATTCATTCTTTAAATATGTTTTAATTTTCTAAAAATTTATTTTAATTTATTATATTTTTAAAGATAGTTTTTATTATATAGTTTTTTTTACAACCAAAAACATATGAATTATTGTTAATTTGTTATTAAAGTCAAGATTAACAGGACAATTTTTTCCTGTAGATTTCATTTCCCATTGTAAATTTCAAATCAATTTAATTCTCCACTCTAAAATTTCAACTGGAAACAATTTCCTTTCATCCTTCGAGATTAAAGGGTGTTCAAATGAAAAATGACCATTCAACGCGTCGTCAAAGGTGAAAGGGCTTTAAAATTTGACACTCACGGGCGTGTGTGCATTTGTCCGTTGTCGCTTCCTGTAATAATGAAAAAGTGCTGCCATTCATTTGAAAACAAAAATGGAAATTGAAGCCGAACCTGGTGATCCGCGACCGCTCGGGCACAAAAGCCGCCGCCGGCCACCATCAAAAGGACGACGCATCTCGCCAATCGCCTCATCGCGACTAAATCTGCTCACAATCAACAAACAAAACAGTCGCCGCTATCGCACAGAGGCTCACATTTCAAAGGTCAAACTCACGCAACTCGCTGACAAATGGGTCACTTTTTTGCAGAATAATTTTATCCAATTTGAAGCAGAATCTCCTACCATTTTTCTCCCTTCAAATTCTTCAGCTTTGATTGAAATAAAATAAAACCTTCTAAATTTGACTATATTGTGTTGAAAAAGAGCATTATTTTCCAATTTTTGTATTCTTAAAACGACTCGTTAAAAAAAAAAACAAAATCTGTCTTCTTTTGCAAAATGACATTCTCAAATTTCATGAACCTTGTCATTCAGGCCGATAATTAAAACTGAAAATATTGCTGTCAATTCACTCTCGCCCTAAATCTTTTACAATAAGTAAAACGCTTTATAGAACGCGTTGTTTTTGCGTGGAAATTGCGGAGGGGCAATTAAGTCTGTTTGTTTACTTTTGGTTTAAGGCTGATGTGCCGCTTTTCTGATTTTGTAAATTATTCGGGACGGTGCGCGCCGTCGAGGGGGAAACAAAAGCATTCGGCGGCCACGCGAGGCGAGAAAGGGTGCGCGGAGGAATGGCACGAGAGTGAGTGGTGCGGAGGCACTTTTCGCCTGCATTCCGATACCATCAGTCAGAGCCAAACTGCAAACTGGGGCAGGGAGCGAACTTGAACGCAATCGATGCTCTTTAAATATTTATCACCGACTTGTGCAAACATTCAAGGGGTTTGTCGCTTTTCCAATTAAGATTGAGGGTTGAAAATATTAATATTTTATTCTTCGAATATTGCAAATTTTCTAAACCGTTTGAGAGGAAAGAGTTTTTGTTTTTATTAACTTCTTTTTATTTAAATTTTGTATTTCATATGTTTGTTCTAAAATTTATGAATGCAGAATTATGAAAAATTTAATAATTTTGAGAAGCAATTAATCAAGAATATTTAATTTCAACTTTTTCAATCAGAAATGTACAAAACATTCACATTTCATATCAAAATCCCATCGCGGTTTGTGCGGCGATGTAATCAGAAATCAGAGAATTTTGCTGGCAAATCGATACACGGCGTTTCTTGTAAGTAATCAAAAAGGGTGGCCGCACAATGGCATTCCCATACCACTGTTCAAGAAAGGCGCGAGGAATAAAAGCAGAGCAATTAAGCGTTGTTCGTTTAGTTGTTTTGGGCCCCGAGTTTATAAACAGGCTTTCGCCGGCGGCAAAAGTGGCTAATCCGCTTAGCAGGTGCCTCCAATTAAGTCGCGGAATAATAATCATAATAATGCTCGTCGGCACCAAACGGCCGGATGAGCCGACAATAAATTTGCTGCCAAATCCGCTCGCATTTTAAAGCTGCAAACTGGCAATGTTTTATGAAGTGATAAAAATATTAAACAAAATATGTTGATTTGATAATTAAATATTTTAATACATTAAAAAAGTTTTAATTTTATTTATAATTTTGGATTGTTATAAACTTTTCTACCTTTTAAAATCTAGATCATTTAAATTTTAAGTTTCTAAGTAAATGCAAAAAATTAATAAATAATTTTTGAAAAATGAAATTATTATATTTATAAACCTTCATCTTTATCTTATTTTTTAAAATTTGTCATCTGAATTCTGACGTGTCATTCTGATTCAAAATATGAAGAAAAATTTAATTTATTGCTACAAATTTTTAATGAACAATAATTTTTTTATTAATACTTTGATACTTATTTTAAATTAGTTTGCAAAACTTTAATTTATTCTTTTGTTAGTACTTCCACGAATTTCTCTAGAAACTTCAGTAATTAATTAACATCTTGTTACAAGATCGTTTTCCCGCATTGATTTTGATTTTATCCTCTTTTGAAGAGCCCTATTAAAACGGGGCCAGCAATAAGCATCGGTTCCACGAGAGTATCTCGCACTCTTGATGTACACACAGTCGAGAAACGTTTGGGGCTTTTGTGTGAAGGCACCATAAAATGATGCTTCTCGAGGGAGCGAGCAAATTTTCTGCGCCGCCAAATCGCTGCCGAATTTACGCGTTCACCCTTCACTTGCGCAATTAATGCCTCCCTTTATTTCCGTCCTTGGCCTCACAATGGATCAATTCTCTTTGAATCAAAAGAGAATCAAATTTATTTTTCTTCTGCAAACTTGAGCGACTGCATTTGATTCTGCGCGGCATTAATATTTCAACGAATTCGATATTGCATCCGCATATTTCCTTCCGCCTAATACGATTCGCAGCTGCGCCACAACTTTCCTCATACAAATCGCAATCGAATAAGTCTTATTATAGATTCGACACAAATATACGGTTCTTGTTTCTTTCAAAGTTCAAAGAAATATTTTGAACTTAGCTGGAAGATTTTTAAGACAAATTTAAAACAATTATAAATAAGGAGGACAGGAAAAGAGAGCCATTTTTAATGTTTATTTTGGATGAAATTGAGAAAAATTATAGTCATTTGCAGCAGTTTTTTTTATGCATTGTTGGATTTTGGTAATATTTTTTTTCTAAATTTAGCATTTTATAAAATTTCCACACAAGAAACCAATCAACAAAGAGCTTACAGAGTGGACAAAAAAGGAGACTTTTTAGGCAGCACATACGCATTCCCTAGAGCTGTGTTTGTTCTTCGTGCGCTGTGCTCGGTAGCAATTTGCAAATTGCCACGGGCTAGAAATTCGCAGCTGAAAACAAACAACTGCTCTTGTTTTGCAGGTGTTTTTGCATGTATCGTCGGTAAACTGCCGGATTTCAACAAGACTTTTCACACTTCAATCCATGAATTTAATTTCCGTCAAATGAAAGGTCAAATCGCTGAAAAGCCTGCTGATGAAAGTGAAAGTAGATCTATTATGGGCATTTTGCCCTGTTGACCTTGACCCCAGGTCAACCTCCCATATAATTAACATGTGCCATAAGAATATCATTGTAGAGTTTTGGAAATTAATTTGGGAATTTCATTTAAAAACACTCCAAAATTTACTTGCAGCTCTGAGGTTGATATTTTACAAATCATATTTACAAAACTTTTTATATTTTAAAATGAATCAAAATTAAGTTTATTTACTTATTTAGTTATTTATTTTATAAATTATTATTGCCAACTATTCCACGAATTTTCTAAAGTTATATTGAAAATTTAGTTGAAGAGATAAAAATATTTGCGGAAAAACCGACGTTGGAAATTTGCGTTGGAGCAATTTAGCACGTTTCAGTCTGCAGCGCCGTTTGTGCGTATCAGGCTGGACCGCTCAAGTGCCGCCCGTGTAAACACGCGTGATTGCGATTATTATTTAAGAGCAGACTTTGCGGAACGCCCAGGCACGCACGGGCGCCGCAAACAGACAGACAAACGACTGTTTTGACTGCAAACACCGAGACCAAAAGAGCTTCTTGCTGAAGCGAAATGGCCGCGGCTTGAATTTTGAGAGCTAATTGAGTGAAACTTCCTCGATGGCGTGTCGCATGAATACTTAATTCGGAAGAAAAAAACGTTTCATTTAAGGTAGTTTTTAAAATAAAATTAATATTTTTGAAAACAATCTACAATCTCATTCATCTTGGTTTCTTACTTAGTGCGATGAAAACGCTTAAAAATTAATTTCAAAATTATTAAAGTCTTTTTAATTGATTGCAGCAAACTCTGTTTTTTTTTTCTTTGCAATTTTAGAGTTTACCAAGAAATAAATTGTACCCCAAAGTGATTTGCATATTTAAATATTATTTATGCGTCTAATTAATTTGCAAGTTATGAATGAAAATTACTTTCTTGCCTTGTCGTTCAGGTGATAAATCGCACACGTGGCTGTCGGTTATCAAAATAATCGGCTCAGAATGCAAATTTCGAGCAGCTACCGAGTTGAATTTGCCCCTCTTCTGTACGTGTGGCGGAGGCATCTGCAGCACCGAAACTCCCAGCGGACACGGAGGCTCGGTTCGCGCTAAAATTTCAGGGACGGTTCCGAATTAGAATTTCAAATCACGAGAACGCGAGTTGTGCAGTCTCGAGAATTTTTAAATAATAAATAAACATTTTGCAACACGATCGACGAGTCTGTCGGGCCGGTTGCATAACCACTCAACGCCACAGTTATAATTACTCCAATTTACTAAATTTTATCATAAACAGAAATATTCAGGCCTAGTGCAATTTAGTTTATTTCGTTATTAAAAGTCTCTCAGAAATATAAAATTCCGTGCTTGACCTTTTCATCATACAAACGCACTCTTGTAACTTTTTTTTTCATAAACCGCTGGTAAAAAAACGGAATTGAATAAAAGCCCTCGAGCCAGTGAAAAGAAAAGAGGTGAATGCAAAGTGCATCGCGCTGATGAATGAAGTGCACCTGGCGACCTTGCCCCGCTGCATGAAAAATTCAGAGCTGCCTCTGCTTTGCCAGCTTTTTACCGCGGCAGCGCCGATTTCCTTTGCACCCATTCAGCACCGGTGTGGATTTATTTCCGACCAACGACCGGTAAAATGAAGCTTTAATCTCACAGCACGTACTTACGTATTAATGCATTACACTGCCTCTGACATGCACATAAAAAAGAAGAAAAAATTGTCACAGTACTTTATGAGTGAACTTGTAGCAGCTACGTTTTTTTTAATCGCGTGTCTTTTTAAATTGAAATTTTGAGGACATTGAAATTTATTTAAAAAAATTGAAATTAAATTTTAAAGTAAAATTTATTTATAAACTAATTGCATAATTTTCATTTTCATTCGTTTCTTGACAATAATCATTTAGAGCTGCAAAAGATGGCGGTGGCAAAGGTCAGGCGGTGTATTTATCCACCCTTTGTGTGTAATTCCGCAGCAAATGATTGCACAAAGGTCGCGGCAGGAATGCAAATCGACGACGTTCTCAAGAATGCAGCAGCAATAAAGCAGAGACCAAACAAGACTTGCGCGCGTCTCGTTGCTCTCCGCTCGTTCCGTGGGTCTATTTGGGCGGAGGGGGAGGGGAGGGGGCCGCCGA